TTTAGGCTTATAAAATTCTGAATAAAATCGATGAGGTTTTTTCGGAATGGTAGACCAAAACCATGAGAAAAAACAAAACGAAATCTAACATCGATTTTAAAATTAAATGTTATTCGAGCAGATCAATTGACTGCTCAAATATGTGCTATAACTAATAGCCTAAATAAAAAAAATTCCAAATAGCGAACAAATGCGACAGATTGTCCAAAATTTAAGTTTGTTTGGACCGCTGTCGTAAGCTTTCGAATCAACATTGCTTTCGAAATTACATTTTTCACCCTACTTCCGAATTTCAAAGTGGTTGAACAGGAAGTTTTTTTTTTCTCAAAACTACCGTGAAGTAATATAAAAGAAAACAGACAAGTGTTTCAACAACAATCAAATTAATTGAAAGCTTAATAATGTTCACAAGTGGTCAATGATGTGATCTTCTTTTTTGTTTTAGATATTTTTTATATGTTCAATAGCTTCAATAGCTGTAACGATTTTTTTTGCTTCTTATTTACTGCTATAGGTAAATCAGCCTTGACCTTGTTAAAAATAGCCAAGCAAATGCAGTAAACCAAGAAAGCAGCAAAAAATTTCAATCGCAACAACGTGCTTGGTGGTACAAGCGCTACCATTTAACGTCCAACTTGTTTTTGTTGATTTTCTAGGCCGCACTTCTTGTAGTGCACACATTTTAAGCATGTTCCAAAGGCTATTTCTGCAATTTGCAAAATTAAATGCTTTTACAAATGAAACAGTTCTCTACATACATTAATTGAAGTTGTTGGCGTTCTAATATTTTATTCATTCATTAATTTTTTTAGGGAATATTCATGAAACAAGTCTTAATATCGTTCATAAACTTTCATAAATTGATATCGTACGAATCATAAATGTCGACGCAACTTTTCAACAATTACAGACGACTCTTGTGAGGGGTCAATTAAAGTATAATAAATTTGTTTATTCCTTTTAAATATATTTTTTCTGTTGTCTTTCTTTGCTAGTTTAAGCGAACGCTTCACTTTATGTATCTTAGCATGTTTTTATTGAGTTAAGAGTTAACGAACTTTTCACCTGATATTGCTTGCAATTTCTGCTTCAATTTATTTCCTGTTTTGCAAGATATTTCTATATTCTCTTGCTGAACTATCAATGTTACACTTCTGATATATTTTTTTTAAATTCACGGCACAATCACGTCACTTGAACACTTCCGACCTCAGAAATTTGCAAAATTTTTTAACAAAAAAATTCTTTCAAAATTTACTGGTCGAAGATATCACGCGAATTTTCCCGTGGCTATAAAGACAACGTTTCAAAAGGAACTAACCTGCGATTAGAGGCTGAATGAGAATTTATAAGTTTTTAAGCGTGCATCATGTTATGGTTTTTTTATTCTCCACAAAGCTCTCGCTATAATGTGTTTACGCTCTCTCTAATGTGCTCAAGAATAAGCTTTTAGAGTTATGTTAGTGATATAATTTTTTTGAAGTTCTTCACAGATTCTTTCAAAACTTCTAAAGAAGCTTGAAGGTTGTGTAGATAAATCACAGACGTAATCAATATAGAACGAAATAAATCAATTAATTCCTAATGACCGGTCGCTTTACATGATGTAATAATATCAAGATGAATAAAAAATCTAATCAAATGTAAGTTGCTTGTAAGACGTAAATATTTTAGGATTCTTTTAAATTAGTTTTCAAGTTTTATTAAAATATTTGATTTTTCTTAAGAACACAAAAAAATTCTATTACATATTACCACTGAAATTTTTTACTTTTGTGAGATATCTAGAATGATTTAATACGTATTTCTATACACATCTAATCTAACTAAATTGATACATCTCACATCCTTGATAATCTTAACTTCGTTGACAATGCATCCCTTCTCAGTTCTGTGTTCTCCTAAGTGTATCGCTGATTTCTTCCCTTCCTTGGTCTCCAATGCTCTCCTATGTTCATCTAATCTTTCAAAAAATCTGCAGTATGTTTGACCAATGTATTTGTTGTGGCGCTTCACTGGTATTCGTGAAGGTAAAATTATCAGGGAGGTGACATCTCAAAGTAATTTAGATTTTGAATTATCTCATTTGAATCTGACCACTTCTTATAATGATGGTAATGCAATCGATATACACACACAATGTTAAGAAAAAAAAATACCGTAATTGGTAAATAAAAGATCATTCTATTCTATTCTATTCTATACGCTTTAAGTGAATTTGAAAAATGAAAGCAAGAAGTTATAAAAGTTTTTCCGTTTGATTCAGTTTTAACATTTAAATGTTGCATGTTGCATTCTATAGAAACCTCGAACATAAAAAGCTTAGAGAAAGCTTTCAGAACTTTCATTAACTAACATCACTGAGAAAGTGTAAATGAGTTGTTTTTCGTTAATTTAAATTATTAACTTTAAAATTTATAGAAGGAGATGTAGAAAGCTTTTAAAAAATCTAAAAATCTATTGACGAAATTTGTCTAATGCAGAAACTTTTTCATCAAAAGCTTTCAATTGATATGCATCAAATTTTTATGAATATAAAATTTGCAAGTATAGCTTGAATTAAGTTTTTTTTACAGCAGGCTTGCTTCTTATTTAAGAATAGTTTGACAGATGGCGTATGATGAATTTAATTGATTAATTTTTTAAAATTAAATTTTTAAATTTCCCGGCAAAATTGGACCGTTTTATCGGATAATCAGAAACGGTTCAATTCAAGACCCGTTTCAATCGGCTGGATAATTGATCACTTCTTGTACAGTTACAAAAAAAAATCGGCAAGAAAACAATCGACTAACTCTTAATTTTATTGAAGTACTAAAGCATTTCCTATGACATGGAACGCTTTGCAAAGATCAAAACTTCTGAGAGAAAAAGAAAACTTGACGTTAGTGGCATTTGTCGATGCTGTGGCATGGAAAATGAAGAAAAATATCCAATATTGGGACCATTTCAAGAAGACGATGGAGTAGATTTCAAAGATAAATTTTACAAGCTGACTGGTAAGAAACTTTTAAAGTTTTATTGTTGTAGTGTTTAGAAAGATGAGTATTTGTTGTTCTTCTTTTCAAGGAATCATGGTCCATAAGACGGACAAAATGCCGCAATTTATTTGTGACATGTGTATGGATAAAATCAATGATTTTTATGAGTTTCATCTTATGGCACAAAACACTGAGAAACAAACCAGAGAAGGTAATTTAATTATAAATTTATTAAATTAAACTTTTAAATCATGATATTCCTCTTTCTAGCTCTTGGTCTACCTAAGTTAACTGTATTAAATCAAGTAGAACCACATGTACGTCTTCGTGATCTGAAATATTCCGAAGAGGCAAAACTACTAATGGAGCGAACAATAATGAAGAGGGAAATTCATAATGATCACATTCCATCCACTTCGAAAAAGCGTTCTGAGAAGCTTATTGCTCTACCACAACCGCCAATAAAGAAATCAAAGAAGGATATTTCGTGTTCCATTTGTAGCGAAAGCTTTTCTTACCAAAGTGACTTCAACGAGTAAATATAAATTATTAGATTAAGTTTACTTAACTTATTCATCACAAATATTTGTTTTCAGTCATCTTACTAAAGATCACATACCTCATATTGCCAAATATGGTTGCGGGTCATGTCGTGAAACTTTCGATCAATTATCAGACCATAAAGCACACGAGACTTGGCACACTAAAGGAGGAAATCATTATTATTGCTTCAGATGTTTAAAAAAATTTTCAAAACTTAGAGATTACAACAAGTGAGTTTTAAGTCTTTCTAATTATTGTTAAGTTAATAAATGATTTCAATTTATTATCATTCTAGACATATGAGCAACTCCAATTGCTGTAAATCAGAGAAATTCGAAGTTTTCATTCAAGACATCAAATGTTTTCAATGTAAGAAAAAGTTTTTAACACAAAATCTCTTCGAATGGCATGGATGTCTGTTGAAAACAAAAGGATGTTGTCGAAAGTGTGGACAATATTTCCGACAAAAGAAATTACTTTTAAAGCATTACGTGCTGTGTGAAGAGAGATTTGAAGTCCCAGACTTTTGTCTTGATCCTGCATTAAAACAAGTTAAGAATGAAAGAAATGCTGTCACAAAGAAAGTCGTTGAAGTATCGAATGATAATAAAAAAGGCCCAAAGAAAAAAACTGTTCCAAACCGAAAAGATTCGACGGTTCCTGTAATTGTAAAAAAAGAGTTGATGATGGACTCACAACAACCACCACCGATGGATGATGATTATGATAATTACGATGAGAATATAACTTACGATAATTATGGCAATGATTCAGATTCAGATGAAGCACCTCAATCTGCTCTAGAGCCACACGTTGAGCTTAATGAAAATGCTCCTAAAATTCGAATCAAACAAGAGCGTCTAAGTGATCCACCAACAGTGATAAATCAAAAAAATTCTTCGCCATTAACAGCTCAAATTATTCGTAATATAAAAAAGGAGAAATCGCAAAATCCAACTGTGATTACGACGGCAACTTCAAACATAATGAAGCTAAAAATAAAAGCAGAACGTGGTGGAAGCGCTCAATTATTAAATCCACTGGCTGTGAAGCAAACGCCAACAGCACGAAAGAAATGCTTCAAAATTCCTCAAGTCTTGAAAATGAAAATTAAGATGGAGAAGAAGGATCGAGGATATGGTGACATAATTGATGAACGTGATGAAGCTGAGGCTGAAGATGAAGATTTATTAAACAACGAACCATTACCACCTGTTACACGTATAAAAGAAGAGAAACTTGATCCCGCATATGGAGATGTTCATGTGAAGAATAAGTTGAAGCAACTTATTAATCCCATGGCACTGATAAGACGCGATAAAGCGCCTGTTTCAAATGGATTTGAGAAATCTCTTGTCATTTCATCTGTGACAAGCATCAATCCCATCAATTCAACATCAACCGATATTCAAACTGATGAGATTATGCAATCAATGAATAGTAACGTAGACAACAATGCTCGTGAGAATTTTGATGATACAAATTCTAAGACGATGCCGGAAGAACTCCACGAGAATGACACAAACATGGTACAAATTCCAACAGATCTTCTCAAGAATCAAAAGAATCATTTATCACAATTAACTGCAAATTATGAATCGTTGTCGTCAACAGAAATGCTGGAAGCAACAAGCAACATAAACAATGATGAAGCGACCACAAATGATGATTTAGATGCTCTCCTTAAGAAATATGAGGACACACCATCAGCCGATAACAATGATTTATTTCAAGAGCTTTTGAAATTTGATTAGTCTTGAGACTGAAGCAAATTTTTATTTTCTTTCTCTCTCACGTAAACATGTAATTAATGAAAGCTCTTTCGTCTTTTTTTTAATATATTTTTTCTCTAGGCAAAATGAGCATAAAAAAATAAAATGAACTAAGAGAAAGAAGTTTATTTGTATGAAATTAAATGAAAATAAAGAAAATGTTAAGAAAAAATAAAATAAACTGTAATGATTACTTAAAACTTCTCCTTTTCTAAAGCTCTTCACTGAAAATTTATTCATGTTCAAGAACTTTAAAGTTTTAACTAAATTTGTTATCATTTGACTGACTGTCACTATCCTGCACTTCCTTGATTTACTATTAACTACACTCAGTTGAAAACTTACCATGAAATGTCTGCAATACAATTGAATTGTGATAATAAATTAAAAATGGAAAAAAAGTTTTCAGGATTTTATTTCTCTCTTAAATCAAAAGTTTACCTTGTGAAAAGCTCTAATGAATCGTGTAACAAGACAACTTTCTGTAAATATAAAAAAATTCTCATTCAACTTGAATTTGGTTTGTTTATGTTCCAATGCGCAAACGTAGTTTTATCTACATATTTTTTGTATGATTTTGTCATAAATTTGTGTGTCTATGTGTGCATGAATTTTCTTTTCTTCTACGAAGCGAATGCTGTTGATATTGCGATTTCGTATATTGCACAATTCGACACATGTATCAATTCACGAGATATTTTTTTCCACATGCAGCCTGGTGCCTCTTTTCTCCTTTTCCTCTTTCTCTCCCTCTCTCTTCGATTAAATGCCTCAATCGATTTCCTTGTTGGAGTGGGTTAAAAAAAACGTTTTCACATTCGACAAAGAGCCGAAATTTATTCTGTTTTTTTTTTGCTGATATTTTCTGCTTTGCGAGTGCTGCGAAACATGATTGCAATGCTTCTGTCTCTTAATGATATTAAGCAATGATGAAACACTCGATGGAAGAGTCGAAAACATTTGCACAATTTTCCTTTCCTTTTTTTAATAAAAACAAAATATTGATTCAAGCAATGAAATGTCTTTTGAGTTATGCAAAATGATTTCACGAAATAAAAAAACGAATATTAAAAATGAATATAAAAAAGTTCTTTGGTTGTTTTTCTGCTTATCCGTTAATCTTTATTTAATTTTTCTTAGAGTTTAAACTTATAATTCTTTTTTCTTCTTCATCTTTATCTCAAAATTTCATGTTTTTCCATTACAGTTTTTAATATTTTTCTGCATCTTAATTGTTTTCTTCAATTCTATGTAAGTATAAATGTTCCATCAACGATTTCCTTTTTAATTCATCGCTTTAATAAAACCTAGGTCATCGATAAGAATTCATTTTCATTGTATAATTTGTCTAAGTATTTTCCTCCCACTTTCATCTTGACAACAGATATTTCAGAACATAAGAATAAATGCCTCGAAACGAATGTTTAAGTAATAGAAATTCTCTCAAATATATTTGAGAAATGCCCTAAAATGCACTAATCTTATTTATTCAATGATTTATCATATCGTTTCAGAACATTAGAGAATGCTTCTTATGCGTTTCAAAATGCATTTCATGTGTTCACGGAACTCTCGAGAATCGATTCAAAATATTATGTTGTCAATTCAAAGTGCATTAGCTTATCTATTCCTCTAAAAGCTCATATTTATTCGTTTCTTTAATTTTGCAATTTTAATTCTCTTATTTTAAATAAAGCAGCCAGCAGCAAAATCATAGCAAATACGTTCATCATAAGATCAGGCCCTAAAGGAACTCACAAAAATATTTATTTTCAAAAACAAATTTTAAAGTGAACTTATAAGTAAAATAAAATTAAACATTTTAGTCATAATTCATGTCAATTTCATATCCGTTTTCCCTCGCGTTTCCCGATACACGCACAATAGCAACAACAGAAAAAATAATAAAGGAAATATGTGAAAGAAGCTTTCCTTGCGATTTACTTTCAAACATAACAGGGTAGATACGATGAATTCTGCTCACACCGCTCTTCTTTAAAATAAAAATGTTTCTTAGATCGCGTCATATCTCCACGCTTCCTTTTTGATATTCTCAAAAGAGCTTTTGACTGTCGAGCGAAAATTTCACTTTGTACATCTTCACTGTATGCTTTTCCTAATAAATATTTGATGATTTCCTATTCTACCTTATAGAGGATTAGAATCTCTGTGTGTCAAGAGAAGAAGCGAAAAAGCCGTTGAATAAATGAAATTATTTATCCATCCTATCATGAGCTCGTGCTTTCTGGTTTTTTTTTCTTTCTTTTTTAGGGGGAGGCAAACATAAAACGTTTTTCCTTTTGTAAGGAGAAAATTCTTAATCTTATTCTTTACTATCATTTACTTTCTTCATTTTTTTTTCTTCATCATCTTCATGTTTTTTTCTTATTTTGGTTGTGCAATAATATGTTGTGCTATAATCTTATCAATTACGCTATATTTTTCATCATATTTATATCTAGTCGCGTCAAAAGTAAAACATTTCTCGTTACTCAACCGATGTCATAGTCAACAAAAGCGAATAAAATTTTTTTGACATATCATAACGAAAAGTATGGGATTTCAACAGCTCTTTTTACAAAATGCACACGTACATGGAATAAAATTTAGGGTGGAAATAAATTAATAATTTAATGATAATTTTGTGTAAAAGTATCACTGAGAGGGACAGATTTTGTGTTATCACTGAATTTCACCTCTTTGTCTTTTATATTTTGATAGAAAATTTCTCATTTAAAAACTTTTCCGGGATGGAAAAAAAACAGAGACAAAAAATAACGTAAATTTATAGCCTTTTGAGTAACAATTTTTCTTTTATCCAACCTTAAACTTAGGACAACTTCAAGCATAATTCTAGTCACTTTTTCTTTATTTTATTTTTTTCTTTTGTTAGGGTAAAGTTTTCAATTTAGGCTGAAATTTCACAGACATCTTCCTAGTTGCCAATTTCTCTATTTCTGAAACTTCATTAGATATTCTAAAGTGACTGTTAAATGTCAACGTTAAAACGCAATGACCAATCTTGTTATGTAGGAAAATCTTTTTCAATAAAACCGTGAATTTCATGTCTCAAATGTGAGTGTCTACCCTAACATCTTTAATTTCCATGCTTTTTTTTATTCTTCTTTTTGGCGATCAAACACTTTTAAAGGGGATTATTTTTGACAATAGATTATGTTGGTCCCGTCCCTCTGACCCAACATTTTATTTAAACGACTTTAATTGTAATTTTTCTTTTTAAAATAAAACAAAATGACGATGCAACTAAATTTTTCTTCTTTTCTTTCTTAAAATTGCGTTAGCTCGTGATAATTTTTTATATGATTATCAATTTGACCTTTTTTTTATTTACTTTTTTTCTTGTTTAGGTAATTGGCGTTTTATATTTCAATTGTATCTTTTTTCACTTATTCCTAATCACATGCTGTGTATGTGTGTGGGTGTGTGAAACTTTTCATCCTTTTTTTCACTTTCAAGTGAGTTAAGTATAAGTTTTATGTTATTATTAAAGTAGAGACTTCAGTTTTATTTATTTTCCATGCTTTTCTTCGTTTGCTGTTCTTGTAGTTTTAATTATTTATGCTCGTTGCTATGATTTGTTAATGCGTGGACTCTTTTCTCCTGACTTTCATACAAACTCATTATGAATTCATGTAAAAAGCATTTACATAAATTATTTAATGCTCAAAACATAAATATAAATTCACATAAGTTAGTGTAGTTTATAATTAATTGTTGTATGGTTGCTGTTTTTTGCTTTTTTTCGTCATTAACAAGAAATATCATTGCATGTGTTAAATAGTTTTATGCAAATATTTATACGTTTCCCATATATTCTCAACTAATTAATATTAATGTCAACTAAGTAAATATGTTTGTAATATAGAGTTTCCTTCTCTTTGATCAATTCTACTTTTCATCACATAACATGCTCGTCCGCTATTTGCTTAATAACTCTTCTCACTCTTGTGATAAACAAAAAGAAACTGAGAAGGTTAAAAAAGAGAAAAATTTTATGAAGAAAAAGCTTTCAGCAACTTTTCTCACGTATGTTCATATAATTTTCAATTTAAATGACATCGTGAGTCTTGCTAAGCATAATTGAGGGGGAGGACAAACAATAATCGATCGATCGATTGATCGATCATCATCATCATCATCATCGTCTTCATGGCCATTATCGCATCCTTTGGAAAATGTATATTTAAAAGTTTTCATCCAAAATTTGTTCATTTATAGAATATTTTTTCATCTCTTTCGTCACCGTTTATGGCATTATTTAAAATTATCACTCAATATATCTTTTAATATCAAATATAGAATGTATAATTCTATTTCTACAATATGTGTATAAGATCCTACCTACGATTTTTTCCATTTTTATTACTAAAATTCATCATTTTTACCTTCTTATTTCTTATTATTTTTCTTATTTACCTCATGTCAATAAAATATAACTGTGTGTGTATTATTTTTATTTTATTTTTCATGTTCATTGTCTTAAAATTATTTTTTTTTTCTTTAATCTCTTATTTATTTGTTATATTTTACGCCACAAAGGACTTCATCATAATGAATCCTCAACTTTCTTTTACCTTTAACAAAATAATAATAAAAATTTTAATGAAAACTGCATGATAATGAAACAAATTTTAAGAAGAAATGACATTTTTCCCTTCGCGAAGAAGACAGAAATTTTGATTGATAGAATTAGTTTGAGAATTTTCTTTAATATTTTCCCAAAAATTGAAAACAAAGTTTTTTATTCTTCTTTAACTTTTTTTTCTTTTTGATATAATTATCACATTTTAGCAGAAGGAAGCATTTTTCTTTTATCTGTCGATAGAGTAAGTATGTAGATAGTCAACAAAAATTATTTCATTTCCCTCGTATTCTTTTCTTTAAAACAAAGAGCGAGAAAGATATCGGAATTGTCTCATTTGGTTTATTTAAGTATCTTATGTGATTAAGTTAGAAACAAGGACATTTCTTCTATTCTATTCATTTGCTTTGATATTATTGCTAAGAACGTTGTTTGGGGGGTAAGAGAAGAAAAAAAAAGACATAAAATATCGTTTAACGCAAAAAACTTCACTTGAGCTTGATTTGATCCAATGCTTATTATTTTCTTTTCTGATTTCTTGTTAGATATTTTTTTTTCGAAGATTGTATAAGTCGCTTATTGCTTATTTTATGAATAGACGTTTTTCTTCTGTTTGATGTAGTTTTTCTAGTCAAAAGAGGATAGTTAAAGTTAGAGAAAGAGAAGAGAGAGAGATAGAGAGATTGAAAGTGTGCTTTGGTTTAAATTTACAGTTTCCTCTCAAGAATATTGCACAAGTTTTATTTTTATTAGGAAAAGCTTTTCTTCTTGAACGAAATTTAATAACATTCGTTGTTTGCTTATTGAACTTTAACTATTCACTGTAAACGTGTACAAATCCTTAACGAGGGAAAACTACACAACGGGCTCTTCTTTGCATTTCTTCTCAAGTCGTCATTTTACTTCTAAAATTTCACTACTAAATACCAATTCTATCAACGGATTAAAAAATAAAGAATAAAAAAAACTAGAAAATAGTAATTTTTCTTTTTGTAAGTTTTATCGTTTCTCCAAATTGAGTTCTATAAAAATGTCTCATTATTTTCTTCCGTGTAAAAAGCACAACCGAAACATTATGATTGATTATCCCCATGTAAAATGGTTTGAACTTAAAATATTATTTTTACATTCTTAAATAGAATTTTTTTTCTCCTTATCAAGTTTTCATGTCACTTTTCTTTAGCCAAAAACAAAGGAAAGAAAGCGACTTAATGTCGAGAAAGTGTTTTCTTTGGAGAGTAATATGTCTTTATAATAATTAAAAACTATTCTAACTCAACCTATCAACTACAATTTCAACTACATGCCTAATTTAAGTTCTTGTTTTGGTTTTTGGTTTCATTTCTTCCTTAAAGATTTAAAATGGGGCGCATTTATATTATGTTTTTTATTTTTTGCTTCATATATCCATCACAATCCTCCTTGATATTTTAAAAGATGTTTTAAAATTGTTTCACATTTCTCCTGCATTCGCTTTTTCAATCATCGTCTCCAACATGATATTTTCGTTATATCAAAATAGAATTGTTTACCACAAACATTGCTGCGAGCGATTCAGCAAACAGTAGGTTTTGATGATTAAAAACATTTTCTATCTCTCTCTCACTCATCAAAGCTTTTTTGTGATCCACAGGAGTTTAAGTTTATGATACAATATTATACAATAAGTATATGTATGTAAATACGTTTTAAAATGAGGGGAAGCATTTTCATTTTGTGGTCATTTACTAGAGTTTATATCTTCACAGCATCACATATCGAAAGAGGAAAGAGAGATGTAGATTGAATTGACGACGAGTAAGAAGATTAGAGGGACTTAGAATGTTGATGGAAAACATTTTGAAGTAGAAAGCTACTGTAACATTTTTGTTGTCAAAAATCATAAATAATTCGTCTACCACCTCCACAAGTGAGTGAAAGAGAAGCCAAAAATGATTATCTCGTATGATTTCAGCCATCAAATCCCTCGCTGTTTGCTTAAAAGCTCAACGTCATTTATTGTAGTAAACACACAAGTCGTGTTGAGACGAGGCGAACTGTCGTCTTAAATGTGTTGACTCGCTTTCTCAAAGGATATAAAACTTTCATTTCTGCTTTTAATTTAAATAGTTAATGGGTTCTTGGTGTCATTTTATGCTTTTTAATATATATGTATGTATATATATAATCTTTTTATACTTTTTCTTCTTACATAAGTATTTCATTTTGGGAAAAAAATGTAGTTGTGGATTCGTTTATCTTACCTATCTAATCTACGCAATTCTCAATGTGTTCCATTCTCTTAAGATCCTAATAAGTTTCTGTTCCTTCGTGTGTTGATTTATCGCAATTAATCGCTATTAAAGTTTCTTTTTTAATTTTTAAGACTTCACAATATTTTAATTTCTTTTATCATCGCTAATTGACGAAATATTTTTAAACTTTTTTTCCTTTTTATAATTATTTATTCTGTTTTCTTGATAATTTCCTTTTTTTCTGGTAGTTATTATTAATCCGACAAATGATAAGAGATTGGGAATGCATGAGACTGACAGAAATATTGTAAGTTGGTCTTCGATTGACGAGGGATCAAGAACTCAGACAATGATACCAAAATAATCGGGAGTCTTAGTTTTGATCTTATGTTTCGTTGATTTCTTTTGATCCTTGATCAAATAATATTCAAGTAATGTATATATAGATTTTAGAATTTAATTCTTTACTTTCTCTAAAAATTGGTTTTATCATTTTTTTCGGAAGCTTTGATTTTCTTTATTTTTTTTTCTTCTCTCGTTAATGGGTTAAATTTGTCAATAACTTCAGTTTAATCTCGTTTAATTCATCTTTTTAATGTATAATTCCTATCTACGGTTTATTTAAAATATTTTTTATTTTATGAATTTTTTTTTAATATTTTTAATTTTTTTTTGTTTCTGGGTTTTGCTTTTTGATGATTTTCATCTTATTCAAAATATTTTTCACTTAATAAATAATCTTTGCTCCACAATCCTTAAGATCAATATTTAAAAATACGATGCAATAACTTTTTAATTGTTTTCTTCTTTCTCCTCATCAAATTAATTTTAATTACTAGCTAATTCTTTCCCCTTCATATAGTTCTTCTATTCTACGATCAAATTTTTTAATTTTTATTTTCTTTGGTGAAGAAGAAATTGAATTTCAATCAATTTTTCCCATTATTTTACAATTTGTTCATCATTCGCATGTGGAATCATAATTTTCCATTTTCATGCTTATGATTCGAAAAAAAAATTTCATGCAATTTATTTTTTCCAATATTTATGAAAGTTTATCAAATTGCATACGTACACGTTTCCATTTCTTCTGCTCTCAACACTTTTTTTTAATAAATGTTGCGAATCTTTCGCTTCAACAACGATGTGCTATATCAATATTTAAACCAAGAGACCTGCTGGTCCAGTGATCCATTCTTCTTCAGCCATCTGTATGTGGAATTAAAAACATAAATTCAGTGAATATTAATCAAGCAAAAAACTTGTTTCTCACTGCCACAAACTCTCTCGCGTGTGAGAGTTATGAAAAATGGAAGCGAGATGTTCCAAATTGATAAATGCATTTACCTGAGGGCTGACTTGGAACTGTTGCATTGTTGGATATGCAATTGCTTGAGGCATTGCACTGTTTGGTGTTGCAGCAGGTGTCAATTGGGCGGGTGTTTGTGGAACCCATGCTGCCGCTCCGGGTAATTGCATTGATGCACCCATTCTGTTAAGTAATTAGATTCAGTCAAGGTTGAGTGACGTTTCGAAAAGCTTCAACTTTTCTAGCTTACCCCATATAACCAGCTTGTTGGTAACCAGCAAATTGTCCGTAAGCATATCCCTGCATTCCTTGCCACTGACTTTGCAAGTGTGCAGCTGGTGTGGCTGAATATGCTGTCGGTGCAGCAGCTTGCGGATACCAATAGCCAACTTGCTGACCATAACCGAACGGGAATCCAGTTGGACTTAAAGCTTGACCGGCAGCAATAGCAGCTGGAACGTTATTTGGGTCACCAGACTCCTTTCCCCATGAACACTTAACAGTTTGCTGATTAATTTCAGAGTTGTGAATTGCAACAATTGCATGAGTTGCTGCTTCTTTTGTCGAGAAACGAACAAACGCATAACCTTTGTCCTTAAAAACACGAATCTCTTGGATTGTTCCAAATGGTGCGAACTTTTTCTGCAATATTTCTTCTGTCAGTTCGCCAGCCAAGTTTCCGCCAATTCCACCGCAATAAACGGTGCAGTTTGTTGGGCTGCTTTGGTTGTAAACTTCATCGAATGTTAATGGTTTTACGTTTGCTTTAGCAAGAGAGAAAATGAAAATTGAAAAACAAAATATGAAATATGATGATAAATTGAATAAAACAAAATAAGAGCTCGCAAAGTTTATTGCATGATGTGCATTTCATCTACTTTTCAAAGTAACTTTCAGAGAGTGTCTCAACGTAACGAAAGGCGATGTTATGTATTAAAATTTATAAATTTTACTTAAACAGATTTTTCTTTATCATTCATCATAAGTAACTTTAATAAAACATGTCGTCTCTTGCGTTGTGAAATTCTCTGGTTTTTTTATTAAAAATTTTCAAGGTATAAATACGCCATACAGAATATTTTTCCAATAATTTCATTTCTTTTTCATGAATGTTTTTCTGCATAATTTACAATAATGATTTTTCATATACATGTATATGCTTAAAATGCATCCCCGGATGTATAAATAGAGTTTTTTTTAGGTTTTCGTTAATAAAATACATGTGAAATGGCTTCGGTTAGCCATCTTCATGTCTCCATTTAGCGAGTATGAATATTTAGTAGCGATAAAAAAGAGAGGAACGGAAAATGAAAACATTTGCAGTTTTCAATGAAAATTAAATGTTAACGCTTTTTATATCAAATTGAAATGAGATTTTAAGTATGGTTTGAAATGTTTTTCAACTCCTTCCACCGGATATCAATAGCGAAGTTACATTTTAATGTACATGAGGGGATAAATTTTCCAATTCGAATTAAAATCAAATAATGGTGAACTAAGCGATTAACACAGTTTTTCCGAAAAAAAAAGAAAAAAAGGAAGAAAAAACATCGTAAAGTGGAAAAACACACTGAATAAATAAATTGGCGAGAAAATCTTTACCTTAATTTATTAACTTTTTCTTAAGTTTTCGATTTTCTCCTTTCTCGCCTTTTCTCTTACTTACTTGTTGATAACATCGAAAAGTTAGAGTAAGTAAAGTTTTTCTTCAACATCGATTATTCTACAACTTATTCTGGCTATGTAATTGTCAGATTATAGTTAAAGACTGATGCTTGTTATGCATTCGAAAATGTAAATGATGTAAGTTTTCTGTCTTGTTATTTATGGCTTTTCCTGGTATTAAGATTATTTAAAGCTCATTACATATCCTTCCATTTGAATATGTCGAACAATGGAAATTATTTATTGCTTAAGAATGGCTTCCCAGAAATCAAATGAAAAAGTTTTTAATTTTAAAAAAATATCTCCGATCCTTATTTGAAGAATTCAAAAGTAAAGGAAATGCTACTGAGACTGTGTAAACACAATTTGTATATTTCGACAGAATGCTTACTGAAGTGAAAATATTCATGAATTGTTTTTTTTTTCACTTAGTATGAAACAATTTATGTTTAATCTCCATAGAAATTGGAATCCAACCAATCATCTTGAAAATGCCAAGCAACAAATAGATCATGTTAAGAGCAAGTTGTCATGTTTAATTTAAATTGTTGTAAAGATTTTCTCAACCATATAAGAACTGTTATAGCTCTAATAATAATTAAAGATTGAAAATACACAGATTAGGTAAAAAGTAAATGTTGAAAAATGATTAAATATGTATGCATGCATGAATGTAAAAGAATTTTGAAAGAAACATCAACTATGTCGAGGATATGAGCTTGTAGTCATTAAAAATTTATATATTTCGTTCGCATCTTCTCCTTAGAAGACATGAGAGAGTGAGAAAGAGAGATTGTCAATAAAAAAGGAAAATTTGTTATCGATGAACGGAAATTTAAATATTTTATACTTTAATAGAAAACAGAATGGAAAGTACTGATCATGAGAGAAGTGAAACTTGTGTCTTTGTTGTTTAACAAACAAGATTTATCAATATTCAAGTGACTGTGAATGATGAGATTCGAAAGAATCCTTTCAATTGAATGTTTCGAAAAGAATACGCAGGAAGGCGGAAAGGAAAGTACATCATGAAAGTGTAAATCTTTAGTCAAATATTTTTCCTTTCCAAACATTTACAGTTAAGCTTTCTTTTCGTTTATCTCTGGGTAATATCGTTGAATTGTTGATGATATATCGAAATTTATTTATTCATAAAGGCATGTAAACATTCACACCCTCATCTGAAGATAACTTTCAACAGGAATGAAGAAGGAAGAAGATTGAACTTATTTTAAGAAAAAAATTGAGTAAAACACGAAATCGAGTCAACAAATTTCCTGCTTTCTTCCTCGACGGTTTTAAAAGAAGAGAGAAAAGCCCTTTAAGTGCATTATATAATTTATATTTATATGGATAAGAAATATATGTTTATGTTGAACAATACTCAGAAATATTTTCGTCAAAAATAAATATATTATTATATATGTTTGATAAGACTTGAATTCTATAAGAAATATTTTTAAAAGGCTCGCCAGAACATGCACTTGGTGTTTGGTTTGGTTGTCAAAACTTACGGTAAAGCACTTCCAGCATTGATAGGGAAGTTCTCGCTCTGGAAAGTATTTGCAAAAAGGAGCGCTCAGTAAATTTCTACTTTTGTTTTCTTTCTTTGCTTTAAGGGTAATCAAAAAATATATTATAAGATATCTCGAGAAAAGAGAAAAAAAATAAAGAAACTTTTTCCTTCCATCTCGTTGATTTCAATTCAACAAAAGTAAGGGAAGAAAACAAGAAATCCGAAATCAAATTAAAATAAAATTAAAGGCCAAATGATGTTACACAAAATAAACATTTGAAACATAAATAAAAACCAAGACGGTGACCGCTTTCTTGAAAAGTTGCTAAAGAAGAAATAAATATTTAAAGAATGTCGCTTTCTCTTTTATAAATAAAAAAATTTACTTTAAAAAACATAATGTTTACATGAATGGCTTTTCCTTCCATTAGTTTTTTCCCTTTTGAAACATAAAAAAAATCTAGGTAGTATTTCTCACTCAACACAGGAAAAAACATAAAAATTCTTTTTTTTTGCCATAGAAACGGTAAAAATTGCTTTAATGTGTGTGTCTATTTTGATTACTATTTTCATGAATACATTTATTATCATGAAGCCTGTGTCATGAGGGACGGGAACAGACATATAAATAAATAATATTCAACTGACAGAATTGATTAATTAACACTGTATATAATTTCATATCTATATGGATTATTAATATTTTTCGTTTGCAGTATTAAGTTAATACTAAACATGAACACATGTATTTGAGGAAAAGAAAATGAGAGAAAGTGGCAGAGTTTCGAGTTGAAATTAAGCTTTCATCAAAGTTTCCTTTTTCTATGTTTTATTATTACTTAATTCACTCGTTCACTCGAATGAAGAAGAAAAAGCAGACAAACTTTTTATGGAAAAACTTTTCTCTTTACCCTCTTATGCTTATTTATATGTTGTTTTATTATTTTTATGATTATTATTATAATTTTTGACTTCATAATCAGCCGAGAAAACTAATAAGCGGAAATGTAAAGTTTTGATAAAAATATTTACCTTCAGTTTTAGCAGATGGTGGTTTGCGAGTAGCCCAATTTGTTCGAATCGAACGACATCCTAGAAACTGACCGTTCATAGCCGTTATAGCGCTTTCAGCTTCCTATGAAAATTGAATAAAACTTTAAGCTCTCTTGACAATATTTTCTTCCGTTCCAATTTATTTTATTGTACAGTCAGTGTCTTGAAAAATGTGACTATTCCTTCTCAAAACATTTAAGTACACTTGAGGCGTCTTCATGTCGAAATATTTGTATTGTGTAAGTAACAGTGAGCAATGAATAAAAAATTATATTATTGTCAGAAAAAGGTTTGTTTCAGTTAAATATGACTGTAAAAAGTTTTTTTTTCTAAGATATGTGGTGTCGAAAGGAAAAGAAAGAAGAAAACTGAGAATAAAAGAAAAAGAAAAAAGAAATGACAAGTAAAGTTAACTCACAGATTTCTTGACAAATGACACAAATCCATATCCCTTCGACTTCAATGTTTGCGGATCTCGAACAACTCGACAATCCCTACATTAGGAAGGAGAATAAGAAGAAGAATAAAACATGATTTCTTATATAAAACATATTCAAAGCGACTTGCCGAATAGGCCATAACAAATTAAATCATCATAATGGACTTACGAAATGTCTCCAAATGGCTGGAAAGCTTCTTTCAACGTTTGTGTTTCGATTTCAGGCGATAGATCGCCAACAAATATGTGATAGTGTTCTGCCAAGAAAGAAAGAGAAGAATAAGAATTATCGTTTGAAAATTACAAGTTTTTTTATGACTAAGTTTGCAGTAGCAGAAGCTTAAATAGATTTTCTTCGTCTCTTTATATCTACGACTCTCTGTTAGTTTTATCGTATCGAGTCTTGAATTTTTAAACACTTTTGAGAGAGAGAAATGGAAGTCTGAAATGGACGACGTTCTCGAGATGAATAGCTCTGCAGACTGCGTCTTGATATGTATGGGAATGTGACAAAATGTGATCGCATGAAAATTTAATGCTTTAATTCAGTGGTTCTCAAGTGGAGATGAATGACTATTTACTTGTGAAAATGAAAGACAAACATGATAAAATTTAATTGAAAAAGTCATCTTCCCAGAAATGTCGTAAAATAAATAACTAAATTTTCAATTTATTTTCCAATGTATTTAATTTTATTTCTTCCCTTCAAATCTTTTTCTTTTCAGATAACGAAGCACAAAGCTTGTCAACCTCTGGATAGCTCTTCATTCCATACAGCTCGTCGAATTAAAATAATATTCAGAGAATCAAGATTCCACCCGATTCGCTTCCGGGATCGAGGAGAATTCATTTTTATGGTCAAAGCCGTCAACATCATAACATCAACGACACAAAAAAAATGAGAAAATTAACAAAAAAAAAATTGTTGTTATGAGCAAATTTTTAAAATCTCTCCTGACCAACAAATCTTTAAAAAATTTAAGGATGATAAAACACCCAGCATGAATAAGCTGTCGGTCGTAAAACAAGAAATAAAAAAAATGTACAGTCGTCTGATTTTTTTTTTGGATAACGAAAAGTCCATTTTGTATTATATTACGCATTGCAGATACACGTTTAGAATGAAAAAAAAATCATCTGTTTAATCTGAAAGCCCTGCACACAAAAGCGAAAGACAGAAAGCACAGTTTCTATGTACATAGCAGTTTTTCATTTCCACTGAACACTGAAACTAGAGAGTATATAAGCCATGTATTATCACAACAAACAAAACTGCTGCGAGAATATTTCTTCCTACAGCTTTCTAAATATTTCGTCTTTTGTTTCTTTCAACATACAGTCGAAAGTAAAGAACGAGAATAATAAGAAAGGAAAATTTAATGCATTTTCATGTGCGATGGAAGAAGAGAACAAGAAAAGATGGAAACTAAAACGAGTTTAAACATCTTATATTCATTAGATTTTTTTAAATTGTTTTTTTTCACCACCTTCTTTTGGGATTTTATAGATTATTAAAATAAATTTTCTCTGACAAGTTGAACAGCAATTTTTCTCTTTTTTTTTGGTCTTATCAAAATCAAAAGCTTCTTTTTAATGTGCTTTCTTTATAGAGGTGAAATTTGCATTTTAAGTTTTCCGGTTTCCTTTTTTTTCCTTGCATGGATAGAGTGGATGGCTAAACCATGACTAGCACAAAACGATTTCTTTCTTTCCTGTCACTTTTGATTAATTTAAGAAGGGTGGTGGGTCGATGTTGTTTATACCTGGCTTGGATTGTTGCTGCTGTTGGTGCTGTTGCTGCATATGATTTGGCTGTTGATAGTTATGTTGTGGTGTCGGCTGCGGCTGAGAATGAGCCGAATGAATAGCCAACAATTTTGCCTCTGGTGGTTTATGCATAAGTTGACTTCCAAGCATTGCTGGAACTGGCATCATTAAGCTTGACATGGCTAACATTTTAATTGCTTGGTTATTGACAAAAGCTTCTTTTTTATAAATTTTTCTTTTTTTTATTCAAAAATATATTTTAAATATTTTTTTTCTTTCTTTCTACGAAATAAATCTGCACTACTTTTGAACGTACAACTTAGAAAGATTACAGTTGTTTCAAAAACACTAAAAAAAATTAAATTTGCCTGGTTTTTCTTTCTTTTTTATGTTTTAACTCACAAATAAATTTTCACATCAAAAAAGCTTCCTTTAAAACGGAACTGCTGAGCTTTCAACTCTTTGTTATATGTTTCGTTTTTTTCCCTTTTAATCAATTTAATGTGTGCGCTTTCACTGAAAATAAAATTGAATAATTTTTTAAGTGCTGCTCACTACTTGAAATTAAAAAAACGGTTGTTCTCTACACAGTAATTTTACGCTGACTTTAACGAGTATAATTCAACACTTTTGAAAAGCTCTTAGCATATATGTATCAGCAATTTTATGTTCTTTTTCTCTTCTCCTGTTTTCAGTTCTTTTTTTTTGCTTTTGGAACAAACGCGAGACAAGTGTAGTTGTGTGATATCCTTTTTTCTGCTACTTTTTTTTATTTATTTAGTTTGCTGCACTTCCTTTTTTTCTATTTTTCTTCTCTTTTGATTTTTATTTTGATAGTCAGAAAACTGAGCGAAAGATTTTCTTTCTGTCTGTGCGTTTTTGTTTTAATTTGCTCCTAGGCTGGAGAATTTTAATTGTAAAGAAAATGTGAACGAGAAGAGAAAAACTGAAAAATTTCTTTCTTCTATCCTTTGAAGCACTGACACGAGCTGCGACACTTCACAACTCTTTGCATACACTCGACAAACTTAGAAAATTACGATTTGTATAGCGAACCTACAAGCTTTTTCACCAACTTTTATTTTTCCCGTTTACAACTTCGGTATGATTATGGTTAAAATTACAATAAAAATTACACAGGAACTATAACAGCCAAAGCACACAGGATTCTAACTAAAATTCGTTCTAAACTGTATGACGACAATTCTCTAACTGAAGGAAATTTTTCCTGCTTTGTGCTTTTTCCCTAATAAATATTCCTTTTGCTCTCAAATTTCTCTCTCGTTTTTATTCAAACGAAGCCCGAAACATAAACTTTCATGAATGATTCAACTGTATGTGTTGGGGGGAAAATTATTGAATTTTTCTGACGAGAAGCATGCAATTTGAATGCGCAAACGTCGAGAGAAAAAGCTGTGTGAAAATCAACATTGTTGATTCTCAAAAATAAAAAATTCTTTTCTCTCGTGATGTTTGAAGCCTTTTGTGTATGTACGAGGATGTTTCATATCGCTTTTCAGTATCTTTCCCCCCAGATTCATCTAATTTGTAAGAAAATATTATTTCTGATCACATAAACATTAAGTATAAAATGTAAAACGATTTTTTATTTATGCTGTATGGGGAAAGAAGCTTTCGACAACTAAATAAATTTTCTCTCCTTCCAACTCTTCCAACTCGTTAGAAACGAAGATACAAGCGATGATCTTATCGTGAGAAAAGTTCATAAACCTTCATATTTAATTGTTTCTTTTCCCTTTTTTTTCCGTTTTGGAGTATAGAGAATCTTGATTCGTTATAGTTTCGTATGCGTGCCTAATTTAAGAGACGGTGAGGCTAATGACGAGATTAATGTAAATGATGATATGAGTATAGCTTATGTAAACGGGAATAAGTACCTTTGCTTTCAGTGAAATTAAAGGCTTTACATATTACTCTCATTAAAAGCTATAACTTTTAGTTTTATGCATGAAAAATGACACAAAACCAACACATTTTAACATGCAATTTCAAAGAGATTTTAATGTCTTTTTTTCGCACTTTTGTGGTTTTCTGGTTTCTCAAATATCAAAGATACTTTTAAGAGTTAAGTCAATTCAGCATAAATTAACGTCACATTCATCTCCCTACATGCGATGTAAATATTTTAAGTGTAAGAAAGTTTCTTAAGAAATATGTTAGGAATTTTCCGATAAATTTACCCTTTATAATTTTCTCACAAAGATGTGGAAAAACTTTTGAATACATTTGTATATAATTTAAATAAATCAAATTAATATTCATTAAGCCCTTTTTTTATTTGGTTATTTCTGACTTACTTGTAGCTTCGTTCCCGCAGCTTTGTTGTTGATCTGTTGAACAGCGATTACAGTTATTCCAGGTGACTTGTTCCGACTGTTGTTGAGCTTGTGAAACGTTAATTGTCTGCTTGAAATTAAACACCAAAAGAAAATTATTTCAATATTTTTCGCACCCATAACAAAAAAAAAGGGGAAAATTAAGTACAGAAAGTTATGAACTAAAAAAGCTTTTCAAAAGCATACACAAAATATTTTCATTCTACTTTGATTCATTTTTTTTTGCTTTTGTTTTTGTTGGTATTTTTTTCCTTTCCATTGCTTCTTTAGTCATTCAAATCCACAATGGCTTTTGACTGTAATATATTTAAAAAGATGTAAGGCTCTACACACAGTAATTTATTTCGTTTTTTTTTGTGTTTTGTTTTGTTCGTGTAGAGGTGGGCGCGACCCTTTTTAGTTAATATAATAAACCGTCCACCTGTCTCTAATAGCATCCACGCATTATAAAAGCAACTAAAACGACGCATAATCATTTTCCGACTCATTCCACGTCCTAAAAACCGTTGTTACTTCATACATGAAACAATCATTAGACCATATTGCATTTTCCAGCACACAAATTTTTCATGCTTAGTTGATAGAAATAGACGTATGAATGAATTATAAATGTTTTCACTCATTTCACCTTACGGCATATCATATTTCGATTAAATGAGAAAAGAAAATTATGCGTATCATAAAAACCTACATGTTGGATTACTGGAAAAGACGGAAAATGTTCAAAACAAAACATCAAATTGAAATTTTTTTCTTTTCTCTTTTTTACCTTAAAAAAATAGCTAAAACAAAACAAATTAAAAAACAAGAGAATTTTTTTTCGAGGGGTGCTTCTGTAAATAACGTCGTAGAGCTTTGAAAGTCAAAAAGCTTCTCATCAGAAAGCTTTTTATTTTGTCTTCCATTTGAAGCGTAATTGATTAACCAACCCTGGGTTTGTTGATCAAAAACCGCAACAAAAAAGAGCCTTAGGATGTGAACGAATAATTTTTTTATGGCAACATGTTTTTTTTTCGTAACAAGCGGCAAGCGTGAAGGGAGAAAGAAAGAAAGAAAGCTTTGTTGGTAGGAAAAGGCATTAAAAAATGCACAAGCAGAGAATGAAAAAAGCGGCAGCAGAAGTTTATAAAACAACAGAAAGAGGAAAAGAGAGGGAGAGAGAGAGAACAAGAAGAAAAAAAATCCAGCACATCCTAAGGCGCTTTAGCATATAATTTTCACTTGAGCTGGTTCGAAGCTAAATTATACTTTTTTTTTTCAGAAACATGCAAAACGTAAATAGGGGTCGAACTCCCAAAAAATTGTTTATATTCACCATGAAAGTTTCATTTGAATATGTCTCTGGATGGCGATAAAAAAGAAGAAAGAAATGAAACAATTTCACTTGGTTGGCTATGTGGGTGCTTTGTTATAAGACTTCACAGTTCGTGAGGTAACGGGAGTAAAGAAAAAGTTAAATGGAAATTATTCATTTATTTGCTGCTGATGGTTTTGTGTGCATTTATTTAATGAACTTTTTTTTTTGGTTTCAGTAAATGAACAAGAAATAGAGATTTCAATTTTCATCGAGAATCAAAATTGCTTTATTATTAAAATTTTAATAAAATTGTTTTCCAACAGCGTGGTTTTTAATCAATTATCTTAACGTCATACTAAGATTTTAAAGTGGTATTTAGATTAACTTTTGGTAGCTTCAAGTAACGTTGAACAAAATTTTTCCCATACACTTCACATCTTTTCACCCAAAATTTTAGAGCAAAAGCTCGTTTTATTATTTTCTCCTTTTATTTACATTTTATTCGTTCTCCGTTATATTCGAGGTAGCTATTTCAACAATAATAATATACATTTTCAGTTGCTCTGAGCAAGATTTTCTTTCACTCTCCACCTCCCCTCATCACCCGGCTCATGCTTACTCGCTCTTTGTCTACATTTATTTTTCATTTAGCAATTTTCATGCACAGATTTAACCCTCATATACACGAAATATCATCATAGCAAAAAGGAAAATTTTTAGATTTTTCTTTTTTCGTTTTGCTTTCCTATCGAAGCGAGTCAGGAACGACGATAGAATAGTAGAACAAAGGAGAAAATATTTTTGCCTAAGCTTTTGCTTTGTCGAATTTTAAAATGATATAAAAAATGGAAAACGAAAAGGAAAGAAAAAATTCATTAGTATAAGAAAAATATTTAGACAAGTACCAAAAGCAGAACGTTAGCGAAAGAAAGAGAAGAATTTTAAATTACCATGCTTGTGCTGTCTTCCGGTTTCTTGGCATGAAGAACAGCGAGTGATTGCTGGATGTATAAATTTGGCAGCGATTTTTGTTGACTTTGATTAGGTTTTGCTGATACGAATGGGAGAATCAACATTGGACTACCACTATACATATTTGACATCTGCAAGCTCGTCGTTGATTGTCCGTTGTTCGATGTCTGATTATTTGTTTCTTTTTGTCTCTGATGAGTGCAATTTGTGCACGACTTTTTATCAAGCGATTGACGTTGATGATTACCAACCGCTGAATAGGGTTGTGTTCGATTTGATTTGATACTTGTTCTCGCACTTTTATCGACTCTACCTTGAAAAAGATTTATGGGAATTGTCGTGTATGGTATGGGAATCGCTGCGACCAGAGGTATCGTCACTTTGGGCTTTGAATTTGCTTCCATTAATAAACTTAATCTCCTTACTAGCTTTAGTTGTTTCAGAGTCTTTAGGAATTATTCAAAACCTTAACTGCACTTTTTACGTCTTGGTGCTTATTTGCCCACTTGAGAAATGTTCTTACACTTTCATGATCTCTGCGAAAAATTTATGGAACAAGCTTTAAAACTTAAACTCGCATGAAAAATGAGTTCGTGAATAAAGCTTCTTCTTGTTTATGGTTTAGGGTGTACAGGAAGTTTCTTAAATCCTAACTGAAAATTATAATGCACAGTCATGATGGGAGTTTTTACGTAGAGTTATGACATAAGACGTGAATCGTGAAAGCGAAGAAATCTGCTCTGAATAATCATTGAAACTTTCTTAAAGGTTTTTGAGATGTTAAGTGAATGAATGACTTTCTAGAATCTCGACTTTCAATGAAAAAAAAATAAAAGAAAAAGTTGTATTACTTTCATAAAAATAAACTTTATAAACGATGAAAGAATTCAAACTTTTCTTTTGACGAAAAATAATTTTTTTTTTCTTATTTAAATAACGAAAAGTGAAAATAAACCCAAAAGAGATTGGCTTTGAACAAATATCAAAGAATAGAAGTTTCTTTGTTAGTTTGAATATCTGAAATTTTTAAATTTAAAGCTTTGAAATATTTTAAATTTCTGATATTTCTGAGAATAAAAATATGAAGGAATTGAAATTCATGCTAGGAAATCATTCAACTCTATCATGTTGCATTTCTCTGATAAATAAGACTACAGTTGAAAGCTCTCGTGTGCTTTTAAACCAAAGCATAGGTCATCAGGGTGTTGTAAAATCTAAACTCATAAATTTATTTACAATGAAGTTTCAGTGCTTCAACATAAACATTACTGACTGATTCATGAATCTTTCCAAGTCTATTATGTACTACTAAATTAATCCCTCGTAATGCTTGCTACCACCACCACTGACCTGCTACCCCAATAAAAACTTTATTTATTTCTTGTAATGTTATTTCATGTTTGGTAAAGGAAACAGCGTTGAACTTAACAATGAGCAGCATAGCAGCATGTGATTTCCGAACCTCCCCTGGGTTACATTCCCCTCCACAGTCACAACACTTTCTCTTCACCTCTTTTACCAGCGTGAACTTTGTTTTGTGTTACATATTTAGAAGAAAGTCTCACATCTAATCTAAAACGTGTGGTTTCCATTTTCAACGATTGTGATCGCGACCAAGCCTTCATAGCGTAAAAAAAGTTTTCTTTTTGTAAGTTTCTCTGACACGAGAAGATATATTTTGGTTTTTGTTTCGACAATAAAGGAAAAGCAAGACATAAGAAAGACTGCCGGCTTCACATGCGCCTATAAAAAATGTTTATGTTTCGTGTTTAGTTTCGATTTCGACGGCAACCTGTTATCAATATGTAAAGTATTTCCCGAAGAAGGAGCAAGCCAGGCGAAGAATTTTATTAGCACTCAATTTGTCACATTTCCAATTTGAATAAATAAAAAGTTTTGTTTTCATTTTTATATTTTTTTTTGTGAAATTGATAACAATCGTTTCGATGTTTGTTTACGAGCTGTATGTGCTCAGGTTTTTAATTAATTTATAAAGAAGAAAACTTGACAAATTTTATTTGTTTTTAAGTATGTACACTCGTTTGTTCCGAGAAAAATCTTTCTTACTTGTTTCACTTTCCAATCAACTTTTACCAAAGGAAAACAGAGAAATATCTGCACAGGATCTTCATTAAAAATTTATTGTTCGCGTTGAAACACCAGCCAAATTTTCCACATTTCACATTATACCCGTGGCGACGCGAGATAAAAGCAAAGAAAAAACAGAAAACCAAGAGGCAAAGTTTTTCATCGAAACACACGCACAACGGTATCGGAATACTGAGTTGAAGAAGCGAAAGGAAAAGGGAAAATTAGATGTGAAAGCAGCAACAACTACACGAAGCTACCATGAAAATTCGCTCGGTTTCGTTCGGCTTTCGTTGGAAGCAAAGGCGGAGCTAGAAGATGTTAATATTCTGTGAATTGGGTGCGGTTTAACATCACATTTTCATTCATTTTCTATGCAATTTCATTTAAATTCTAAGAATTCTTCACGACCCTTCTGTTGTTTACTTTACGACGCCACTGAAATAAATACGATACAACGATACAAGCACGTGGTGTTGTTAACAGAAAAATATGAAGAAATGAGAGAAAAACAGGCACTTTGTGTTGGAGGCGAGAAAGAAAAACCTTTTTTTAATGTCTTTGAATATTTAAACATGTTTTCCATTTCGCGTTATTGGAGTAGCAAATATCTCAAACAAGAAAGCAGCATTCTTAATGTAAAATTTCAATATTTCGGGATCAGTTTGAAAGTATTCTCAAGTTTTTTCTATTCCGCTTTTCGCTGTAATAAGCCATTGAAGCGTCAAATTTCTCTTTGATGAAATTTTTATTTAATTACACTCATGTCTTTGAGTTGTTGGGTAATAGGATGCAAGGAAGGAAAATGACACTGTAAGATTTACTCCTTCCTTACCTGACATTTTCCTTTCTAAGAATTTTTTTTTCTACGAAATTTTAAAACATGAAGGTTCTTATTTCATCATCTAATTTCCCTAATTTAATAACATTTGAACAAAGCAACATTCGGCAGAATTTAAACTTTTGTCACAATTTCATTGTTTACGATCAAAATGATTAATTGATTGGAAAAGTTTTCCGCTCGTAACGAGAAAGTAGGGAAAAGAAAACATCAAACAATTAGAAATGACAAATTAATTACAATTTCTTCGTCTCTATACCAAACGACAAGTCTTTTCCTTTCCTTTTCCTTTAAGACATTTCGTCTCTCTTGTGTAGGAATTGTGTGAACGTGAGGCAACGTTTTGCTAATGAATTTATAAAATATGAGTTCTTGTTTCTCAGCAGTTTATTTTCTGCCTCCATTAGAAATGGCAAATTTATACTGTAGAAATGTTTCCTTGAAAATGATGGGAAAATGAAAATATTATGTTTAAAATATTTAAACGGTATCCCTTACCTTTGACATCATTATGATGAGAAGCATTTTAAAGTAGCAATTATAATCCATCAATGTTTGCTATCAACGACAAAATTCGTGCGAGTCAAGATATAATTATAGCATTAAATTAATTTGCCGTGGATTGAGAAATATTTTTATAGCACGACATTTGCAGTTTCACTTAAAATTCATCAGAATTTTGTTTTTCCCTCATGCCACCTTCATGCAAGTCGTTTGTTCATCGAACACTTCAGTTTTCACATCCTAACACTTGGAGTGAATGTTCATGATGATGCCATCATCCGTAAGGTGGCGCTAGTAGACAATAAAAATGAAGAAATTTTTCATGATTGTGTCTTTGCTAAAGAATTTCCTACTGAATTTCTTTGTTATTTAAAGTATTTTCAACTTATCTGAAAGAAATTCACATAAACGAAAGAAATAATAAATATTTCAATGGCAAAAAGAAATTGTTAGTTGTTTCTTTATTTCACGAAATAATTTATAAAAAAAATCATTTCACAAGTAAACAATATGCTTTTACATGTTATAGTTAATTTATCATTTCATCGATGATTAGGAAGGGAAAGAGGAAGGATTGGTAAGAAGAATAATGCAGTCATATTCAGTGAACATTTTCAGTGGTCTGACAGTTTGCTTTCAAATATTTTGTTAAAACTTTTGACCACTGATAGAATATGCCTCGAAGCGGAATTAAAGGAAAAAAACTTTTCTTTTTCACTTCAAATTTTAACTCCATAAACAATTTTTTAACTCTTTAGTAACCAAGTTTCATTCAAAAAAGATTTAAAGATCAATTTTTGTCTCTTCATTTTGAAAATATGTTAAATATACCTAGATTTTTTTAGTTTTTTTTTTGTCATTTAAATTAAATTTATTCAATAGTTTTTCATTTCATTTTATCATTCAATTAATGAATAGTTAAAATAGATTGTTTTATGTTGTTTTTTTCTTTTGTTTCCTTTTTATTTATTTAAATTAAAATTAAGGAATTCTTAAACTTATTTCTTTTTTCATTCATTTATAATGTTAATTTTTTATCTTAATTTAGCCACTGTTAATGTTTAATTCCTTTTATCTTTTTTTTTCAAATGTTTGTTTTATGTTCCTTATTGTTAAGATAGAAATTGAGAATTATTATGTGTTATGTGTGTTTGTGTATATATGTGTGGTTCGTTTTTCACCATCATTTAATTCATTTTCATTCTTTACCGAATGAGAAGTTAAACGAATCATAATCATCTTCATCATCATCTTCTTCTTCTTGATATTACCATCATTTATCCTAAGTTATTAATATTTTTCTTTTTCAAATTGTAATAAAAATGATGAGGTACAAAGATATAAAGCAGGGGATAGAGAAAGGTAAATAGAGAGAGAGAAAGAGAGATAGATAGAGTTATAGAATAAGAGAAATGAATTATCCGCTGGCGATGCATAACATTTTATAATATTTATGTAAATCTTCATAACACGATTTCGTTGGTTAAAACTCTGAGACGATCTGCTTGCAAACAGTATCTAAACGGTCTATGAAGTAAATTGAATTGAAAGCTCTAACCAGCGTTCTGAGGATGTAAAATGTAAAGTAAACTTATAATCTTACATTGGGATGTCGTATGATTGGGTCTTTGTTACTTTCATTCTGTTTTTGATGGTTAATATGTTTCCAATGAAAAAGTGTGACATTTGCATTTAAATTAATATTTTTTATAGCTTGAAAGAAAGTCAAATGAATTATGAAACAGTTAAATCCACTCCTCAAATCATTCATTTAATTTTTAATGGTAATTTGTCTTAATAAATAAATGTGGTAAGTTGAAAGATACTCGAAATTAATGTAAAGTTTTATTCCATATATTAAAGCGTATAGTTTCTTCGAATTTCGAAAAATTTTCATCTCATTTTTAGATTTTTCTTATTTAAGGGAAAGAAATTTCAGTAAAATTTAACACTTTTTACTTTATGAATTTTGTTTTTCTTTTTTTGGACGATTATTGTATGAAAAAATATTCTTAAATTCCTCTTTAATAAGTTCTTTCAGTAGTGTTGTGTTAAAATTTTGAAGGTTGTCTCTTATCAACTAGCAGATAAATTTAAAATATTTCAATAATGATTTAAAAATGATTTAAATTTCATCTTCCTTTCTCTTTTTTTTTGTGGGTGATTTAACCGCGATTTTTTTTTAATAATTTTCTTTTTTGATACACAAATATTAAATTTTTATTCAAATGGTTTGATTTTGAGTTCATATTTGTTGTGATGATTGGTGGCTTGATGCAGTGATTTAAGTCAAAATCAAATGACAAAATTCTATGATATTCCCTTGATTAAATCCGACTGAAATCACCGTCATAAGTCGTACAATCATAAGATGATGATTACATTGTCTTCAATTAAATTTCATCGACACCATAAATATACGAAATGAGAAAAATTTGTTTTTCATTCGAAAAGTTTTGCTATTTAATTTTTTATAAAGTTTTTTTTTTCTCTTTTTGGTTTTATTGAACAAAACGAACATCGAATCGTTAAGAATTTTCTTACTTATCTGTTAATAGTTATCGGACTTGCATTTTCTTGTATGTTTATGTTAATGTTAATGTAAATGTCAAAAGCAAGCCATAAACAGTACAAATCGTTTGCTTGCAATTATTGCAATATAATCTGACACTGAAAATGACTCAATAATAGTGTGTGGGGGAGGAGGGAGAGAGAGAGAAGAAGAGGAGAAAAACTTTTAAATGAAGGGGAGACATCTAAGTGAAAATCGATAACAATTATCAACGATAAAAAGTCATGCTTCGCTGTTCGTTTCTGATGCTCGCGATGATTGCACGAAAAGTTTCCTCTCAAAACAAGACATGAGAAAGATATTCTCAAAATGTGATTATCAGTAAGTTTTAACGTCAACTTATTCAACGATAAGAAAAGTCTTTCGAGGCGTACGAACAAAACAACACCTAAAGTTGCTTTGTTGACTAGAAATGTTGGTTTGAGTTGGGTGAACAAAACAATAACAAAAATCATTGGAAACAAAAAAAAAATCTGTTTTTTAAATTTCATCTTTTAAATCTTCTCATAATTTATACGAGGAACTTAAACATTAATAATTTTTTTATAATTCTTTTTGTGTTTCAGTTTACAATTACAAGTTTCATTCAATCGATTTGAAAAATCTTTCATCTTTTCTGAGAACATAAATAATTGTGATAACAATACATTAAACTTTTAATCTTAACACTTTTAAATAAGTTTCATTTTTTTTTTTGTTTTCACTTACATGATTCTTCTTTTTCAAGACTTAACTACATTTTCATCGTCTTTCGAAAATGTCGAGAAATGAGAAAATGCAGAGAAAGAGAAGAAAAATAAAAATCAGCTTTGAGAAAGATAATTAACAAATGTTTCAATTCATTCTACCAGAGAATTCTAAAAGCAAGAGAAAGAATAGCTTTGCATTCTGTTAAGATGGAAGATTTCATAATTCAAAACATCTAAAACATTTAAATATTTCCTACTACTTCATGTACCACATGATTTGCATTGATTAAATCTAAAATAGGTTTTGTGTTAGATTTCTGTTTTTGACTCCTTTCTAGAGCTTTTAGAAGACTTTGGCATTGGTAATTTCGATCTTATAACTTAATTAATCATAAAAAGTAATCATAAAAAACTAGAAAAAAAGGGTGAACAAACAACGATAACAACTTCAATATTAAAAAACAGGAGATAGAGAGAGATAGAGAGTAAAAGAGAGAGAGAGAGAAGATGATAACATGTTGGTTTGAACGAGCGCTTTCCCAACGCCCACACTTTTATCTGATCGTCCACACATTCATGATATGTTCCACTAGCAATCAAGAAACGATCTACAGGTTGCATGCAGTGGAAAAGCTTCGCTCGTGTGTTATCAAGATTAGCATTCATTCTTTTTCTTATTTTTTTTTCTTGATCAGATATTTGCATTTTTGTTTTGCACATTTATGAAGCATTTTAATTTTTCCTTTTTTTCTTTTCTTCTTCAAAATTATTTTCTTTCTTTACGTTCTTCTTTCCTTTTTTTTAAGTAACGGGGCAAATTCTTAATAATTTAAATATATTTTTTTCTTGCATAATAATTTTTTTGTTCCATTTACTTTCGAGCTTTGATTTAAGAATGATTGTTGGTTGCTTTCTCCGATTTGCTTCCATCAACCTTCAGCGTCGATGATGGTTTATCATCTGAGGGCGTGGGTGGTGCATCTTTACGAGGTGGCATACGCTCGTTAATTGCATCGAGACCTTTAGCTTCAGCAAATGATGCGATTTTATGATTCGGTGAGAAACCGTGTAATGCTAGAATTTGTTAAACTTTTAAATTTCTCATTCAAAATGTAAGAAAAAGTTTTGCTTACCATTTTTAAGTGATGCTTTTCCTCCTGATAACGCTCCCAATGGCAAAGCTCCAGTTGGTGTTAATCCCTTCAATTGTAATACAGATTCTGACTCTTCTCTATTAATTTAAAACAAAGAAATTTATTAGAATTTTTCTGCTTCTGATAAAATCTTTCAACTCACCTTAACACAGAAAATACTCGTGCCATTTTACCGATTGCACGAATTTTATTTCTAATGACCTCTTTACGCAAATTAGCTGCATTACCTGCATATCCATTAAAGGAAAGGTAAAGAACAGAAATATAAAAAGAAAATTCAATTAGTTTTTTTAATACTTAATGACGGTGTGCATTTTGACCTCGAGTTGAAATGAAAATGTTTGTTTATATTTTTGCAACATTTACATTTCACCTCGAACCTTGTCGCTTTACTCAATTAGGAAAAAAAATTGTAGCCAGAATATGTTATCAACAGAATACGTGTAATGATTACATTAATTACTACAAGTATCTAAAGAAAAAAAAGCCAAAGGTTAATCAAATACAAGCAGTACCATTACCTAAGTAACAAACAAATATTAATAAAGCCAGCGATAAATTATCTCTAAGTCTTAAAGGAAATACATAATTACTATGTACACATTACTTGTTGTTCAGTTGAGAGTTGTAGCAACAAGATAATAAATAGCGAAACAAAAGACAAGGAAAAGTAAAGAAGATATAAACAGATGTTTTAGGTGGGTGGAGGAAGAACAAAAAAAGAACTTAGATAGACTCTAAAACATAAACGACAAATAAGCTGATAAAATAATTTCATTTTCGTATTTGACGACGATCGAATCTTTTGTGTTTGTGTCAAAACGTGAATGATTATTGTTGGATGGTGTCATCTAATGTCCATTTAAACATTTTCTTCACAGCAGATTTACGATTAAAGTTCTTGGCTTTAGCTTACACATTCACGACGACATAAATTCGACACGACGGCCTTTTGTCAAGGCTTTTGTTACGTTTTCCTTTCTTTCACAACAATTAAGTTGATATTTATTTTATACAACTAATAACATTCAGGAATTTCATCAACATTCAAGAGCATTTCTATCAAATGCTTCATGATATTTGCTGCGTTTTATTAGCGGACTTTGCGGATTTAAAAACTTTTACTTGCATTTCTGATCTATTTAAATATTAATTAAAAAAATTAAACAGCATATATCTGATTATATCTACATCAGTGATTCTCAACCTTTCAATTTTCCTTTCTCATAAATTTCATTGAAAATCAATACAGTTGACAATCACAAATCTACACAAAGCGCCTCTAAAAGCATTCTGTTGTTGTGGTCATTTGATACTTTAAACAAAAAGAAAGAAGAAAACTAAAAATTGAAAATCTTTCAGAAAATATAAAATAATGACTCCGAACAGAGGAAAACTTATAATTGAAAGGAATTGAAACTTAAGAAATTATTAATCGATGAAAGAGGATTTAGACTGATTTGTGTGTTTTATACACACCGAAAATAACATGAATTACTGAATACACAGACTGAATACATTTGAGGGATTAGTCTAATTTGCTACAAAACGAAATTCAATTGACATTTGTGGGGGTGGGAAAATGGAAATTTTATTGTGCAAGGAGATACATCATTTGACATGTATGGAAATGCCAGTGATAGACAATAGAGAAAGATTTTTATTTACGTAAAAATGAAAGAGAAATACAGAGAGAGAGAGAAAGGGAGATGGGAAACATTTAATTGTATTCGTTAAAACTAAACAATCATTCATTCAGATTAAGATGTTCATGCAACTGGTTTTGTTTTCTCAACGATTCTTCGACTTTTTTTTAATATTTTTCGAAACAAAATTTGGCTGAGAGAAATTTTAATTCCATTTTGAAAAAGGATTAAAAGTTAAATTTGAATTTCGTATTTGTTTTGGTCATTGTGTGTGTTTGTGCAATTAATTTGCAAGATGGAAATTTGTTTTAGAAAACAGTTTGGAAATTCAAAAGTTTCTAGGATTATTAGAAGGGGTCACGATTATCCATAAACCATTCCAAAGAAACGAAAAAACACAAAAAGGGAAATTCTATAAATTTTTTCTTTCTTTTGTTTTTGAATGTTTATACCAACAATGAACGGGAAAAATGATACGAAATGAAAAACTATAACATAAATTTTTAAAAGACATAAATATACAAAGGTCTCTTAAGTGTTTTTCTGTTTTTAGCTTATTGCTTTCTTTTTGTTACTTCAGTTTTTTTGTTTCTTTTTTTACTTTTCGGTTTGTCATATATTTTGTTACTTACCCGAAATGTCGGTTTTCGTTATTGATTAATGCACAATATTCGGACATCGCAATGAGATTAGACATTATTATAATCATATTTATTATCGTCCGAACGTAAATCATCCAAGAAGGTCGTTGATCGTATATTTTGGTCGAATTGTGTGACAGAAGGAAATTTTTTTTTGCGAATAAATTGATTTTTATTTTGCAATTAGAATTTGATTCGTCAACAAAGAAGAAAAAAAAAAGAAGGAAATAAAATTGATAAATTAAAACAAATCAAAATGTTTATCTTGTGCAAAGACTTTCAACATAAAATATTATTAATCTATTAAGATATCAGAGATGTTGACATGAGGTTGACAATGAAGATTAGGAATGAAATGGAAGTTTTTGTTGACAATAAGGAAAAGTTTTTGTGTGCTTTTGAAAGCAGGTAAGGTTCTTTATCTCAAAAGCAATTAGCGTTATTGAGGGCAATAAACGTTTATTCATCTAATCCCGGACCTTTTTCTGAATAAATATCCTTACATGCCAACATCTTTAATATTCTATTTTCTTTTTTATTCATCGTTGTCAGAATACATCGTCGATTGCATAGAAAATTTGTTAAGCAAGTGACTTTGAATAAATAAATAAATAGAGTCGCTCTTGCTCAACCTTTTTATGCATAACATTTCAAACATGACAACGGCAGCTGAATTAACATCAATTAAGGAAGTCTTTTGCTGAAATTTCTATACAAAGACAGCTTTCAAATTCAACTGTCGTCATCATTTAAATTTAAACTCTTCACTCGTTGCATCAACTCATCAAACAAAATTGAATTAGAAAAAATCGAAACTTTTTGTAACTTTAATTCTTGATATGTACAAATGAAAAAGAAGAAAAAAACTTAAACGAAAAATGTGATATCGACAAAAATAATTGTTTTTGAGCAGAAGAGAATAAAGAACAGGAAAAAAGTTTCACGAGACAATTTCTGGTCGTTATTTATTCAGGTGTTGACCATGAAAGTGACTCGCAGTATTTTTTTTGTTTGTTGTAAGAATAAAATCAACAGGCAAAAAAAATCTGAGCAAATCATAAGCTAATTAAATCAAGAATTTTATTAATAAATTCATGAAATTTTGTGTCCAATATTCAAAAATTAACATTTTTATTATATTTTTATATTTAAGATGTGAAACTTTCGTGATCGCATTTGAGATGTGAAATGAATTGTAAGATTCGAAGATAAAAAACACCCAGTTGCATATGAAGAGCTTTTTGAGCGTGAATTAATTTTTATCTTGTTCATTAGAAATTTTCTTCATTCTTTTATTGAATATTTTAATTAAATTCTCTAAATAAAAATATTTAGAGATAGAGGGAAAGAGAGTCAAGTTAGAAGTTAAGCGATAAAACAGATGGAACGGATTTCATTGTTTATCGATATGTGAAAACAAATTGTGATTAGATCAAACGCAAAAAAAAAACTCACTTCTTGAAATGTAAGAAGGAAAAAAATGTATGCTTGAATTAATTAAAAACTGGTTGAAAGAAAAACACATGAACTCAAAAACACAACCACAACAACATAAAAATATTTTTAATAGATTAAACTTGGATAAGCGGATATCGAATGAATTCTTTTTTGTGATTTCATTTGCGATTATTTTAATTGTTTTTTGTTTATGGTGAAAAGAAATTTTTCCAGCACAAAAAATTTTCTTTTTTTCGTCATTATGAGCGATAGAAACAAAAAAGATCGCCTGGGCACAATCAACAAAATTAAATAAAAGACTTTTTAATTGTAATGAACTTTTAAAAAACGGTTAAACACCGGAACAACTCGAGTATAAGTAAAATGTTTTTATAAATAGATATTTAGCTTAATTAATTATCAAAATCAATTAATGTTGTGAAAACAAATACAAAAAAAAATTAAGAAAGAAACTCCTAATCAAAATATTTGCTGTTTGATTGTAGCTGAATTGTTGTAAGTTCTGAATGTTTTTCACTTACCCGTATTCACTAGATTCAAATTCTGTTTGATTTCTATGTATTTTTATGGTTTTGATTCAAAGTATTTTCAATTCAGCATGTGTTTCGAAGTCATTTTCAGTTTTATTTTTCGTAATTTGATTTTCAGAGACAAGAGAGGTTTTTCAATTTATTTTTCCCGTATCAAAATAAACATTTCATGATTGGGATATGCATCGGTATGCATGTGCAGTTTATATCACGAGATAGTTGATAGAATAACACGAGGTAATCGTTGATTGATGGGGGTGGAAAGGGGGGTTGGGGGGAGATAGTTCGTGGTGTGGAGGGTTGGATAGATTTTTTTTTGGTTTTTTAAAATTTGTGGATTTTATGTGTATGTGAAAGAAGAAGAAAAAGAAAGAAAAATAAGTATAAATTGTAATTATAAAATATAGATTATGATTATATCAGTTGTTGTCAAAGAATATAACATAAAATATTTTATTGTTCTAGACACTGAGGGGAAAGTTTAGCAGCGAACAGTTTTGATTTTCTCTTACTAAGCTAACTTTTAACTTTCTGAGTGTTTGTTTAGCTTGAAAATGTCGTTAATCGGCTTAGTTAGGAAAATATCTGAATATCTTTCCGAGGAAAACTTGTTCATTAAACTAAAAATTGCTCTCAGTGAAAGGAAAGTTTCTTCAATCATTGAACAAACAGCTTAAGGAAAAAGGATTAAGTTCTTCACTCTCTCCTTGAACTGCTTCATTCTTGATGTGCACAAATAATTTTTCAGAAATCTTGACAGTTAATTTTGAAGAGAAAAAAAATTAAATAAAATTTTAAATATTTTAATGCCAGATTTGTAAGGAAATTCAGGGTAAAATGTCAACTAAGGAAGGAAATGAGAAACGCGAAATAAAAAATTGAAATTTAAACGACTTTATCATATCCTCGCATCGTAGATTACTTAAACCTCAATCTCGATAGAGAAAAGGTCTTTTCTTCAATCCTCTTTCTTTCAACCTCATGGAAAATATCTTGGAAAGTATTTTTTCGATATTGAACATTAAACGCTCATTCTGCAGCGAGCGAGTATTTGAATATTGAATTTCTATTCCTTTTTATTTTTTTGCATCATCGTATTATAGAATCAACTTTAAAAAAAAAAGCTAAATGTATGCATTAAGAATATTGAACACATTTAAATTTCTGAGGAAAAGGAGCTCGAAAAATGAAACAACATGTTGCCTTTAAACTTATTTCTTCTTTCATTTTTTTCCCAGTTTGCAATAAAATTTATGTATCGATCGCAAACAGGATAGAAGAAAGACAAACATAAGAAACGATAATAGTAAAAATGATAAGAAAATTACGTTGATAAAATATAATCAGAAACCGAACGAATTCTTCCTAAAAATGCTCATCAATTTTTTTTTTATTTCTTCGCGGTAGTTTTCATGTTCACGGCGAATTAAAAGAACAATCAAATAAAAAAATAAAAATAAAATTTTCGTATCACAAAACAGACGAAAACCGAAACTTAAAACAAAAAAAAAAATAAATTTCACGAAAACAATTTCTTTCGTGTTCTCAAATATAAATTAAAAGGTAAATTAAAAATATTTTGCTACGATTAAATAATTACGAATATTTTCATAATGAAAGAATTTCTTACCATCGGCTGTAATTTTGTTTTTATTTTGATTCAGACAATTTTTTGTGTCGATTTTGAAGTGTTATTGGATATTAGATTGCGACAAGAAAAAAAGGGGAGAAAAAAATGTTTTGTTGTTATTTATTATAAATCTCATATGAATGAATGAAATAAAAAGAAAACATGACGTGACTTTGATTATAAAAGTTATTCGAATGCTTCTTAAAAAATAAAAGTAAAAACAAATGAAAGTTTTCTGGGAAAGACACCAAAAAACTTTTTTTTGTTTTGTTTTCACAAAATATCCCAAGTCGCGGGAGTGTTTCTTTCATTAAGTCGTTATCGTTAAACTACAAATTATTCTCGTTATTTTTCCGCGCGCTGTGTCGCGAAAACTGTTCAAAGAATTGTTTCGCTTATGAGAAGGATGAGAATTAAGCGAGAAAAAATGCGCGGTCGTCGGGAAAAAACGAAAAAATTTACTAAGAGAAGAAATTTATCTAAAATATTTTGAAACTTTATATCATCATGTGAATTGTCTTCGTTTCGACCTGTTTCTTATGCTAATGAATTTTTAGTTAATTGTTTCCAAATCAATGAATTCTAAGAAATGATATTCATAAACTTTGACTAACTTTAATCATGAAATAATTTAAAATAATGATAGAAGAAGGAAAAGCCCACATAAAGTCACTTTAAAATGAAATATTTGCAATTATTGTTTCATTCTTGTTCCATTTCGAAACGAAGTCATCCAGATGATATATAAACTGTCGGAATGTTTACAGTCTAGAGAAATAACAAACGTAATACTGACCTTCCTCCAAAGTATCGTCACCTTCACTCATCAACTCATCGTCGGAGCAAATGTTAAGTACATTAACCAGCATTTCCGTAACTTTCTCACCGACAAATGGCAGCGACCAAGTGAAAACATCCATAAAGTTTGGAAGCCAATAGGGATGTGGCGAACAGTTGAATTGTCTTATGTTCATTACATTATTTTCATATTTTAAGACAGCAGCCTGTGGATTCAAAATAAATATCGAATTACTTCTCGTTCTTGACCGTCATTGCACATTCGCGTATTTGAAAAATTATTTAACAAATTTATTTTGAAGCTCGAATTGTCAAATGTTTTATGTCAACAATCAATCGAAATTTCATGTTTGACGTTGATAAAGATAAAAATTCATAAAGTCGACCGTAACATTTCAATTATCTTTCTCACCTTGTTATTGTACACATCCAAGTAGTTAGGTGCTGAGAATATTGTTATAAGCGATGGAAAACCAGTTGTGAGACTCTTTCGATACATTCGATACCTTTTTTAAGAGATACGAATACAAATTGAGTTATAAAGCATGTAAAATAAGATCGATGTGTCAATCAATCGTGTTGATAAGCTTACCCAGCATCTTGAGCTTCATGAGCACGAATGATGGATAACAAATTGTTGTTTTGCAAAAAGTCACAACACGCCCGATAGCTGTAAAAGTAAGAACAACCACGAACAGTATTGTGTGAATAGAAATCCGTATTTTTTTCATTGCCAAAATCTTCCAATGGATCCGACCACAATAAATCGCACATCGGCCCATACGCTGGCGGCTCTTTGTAGCGATCAAGCTTTCGGATATCATCCAAATCCTGAATTTCCGGCGATAGTCCGCCGTGCACGCACAAGAATTGCTGGTTCATTAATGCAGCTAATGGCAAACAATCGAAAGCATCCATGCACGCATCGTAGACACGTTCTGAATATTTAATTTTACCTGTAAAAATGTCGTCGTTAATAGAAAAGAAACAGCAACAACAAATGTTGGAAAAAGATTCGTTAATGATTCAAAAAGATAAACATGGAAGTCAGAAGGCAAGCAATTGGTTGTGACTTAAGTATTTATAGATTTAATATCCATGTCAATGTCTATCACCATCATTGATTATCTAACTTACACTCTTGCTTAAAAGTAAAATATTCAGTCAAATGCCGACATTCATGATTGCCCCGCAATAAAAATAATGTTGTTGGATAACAAATCTTCAGTGCCCACAAGTAAAGTACGCACTAGAATGAGAAAAGAAGAAGAACATGAATAATATTAATAATAACAAGAAGTTGTTTGTTTTGCTATTCTGCTTTCCGCACATAACGTAATCGGTTTATGTATGTCACTCTCATAAGAAATCGATAAATATTAATTCTCACCTCTATGCTAAAATAGCCTCTATCAACATAATCACCAAGAAAGAGATATTTGGTCGTTGCTGGTGATCCGCCAACCTCAAAGAGCTTCATTAGATCGAAAAATTGACCGTGAATATCACCGCAGACCGTAACTGGCGCTTCAATATCAATCATTGTATTCTCAGCTTTCAAAAGTGCAGCGCCTTCCTGTATGATGCGCAATGCAGCCGTCTCATCGAGACGACCTTCAGCGATGAAGTACTTCTTGAGAAGATCCAAGTTTGGCTGCCCATTACGTCCAACAAAGACTTCAGCAGCGGTTAATTTATGTTTTGGTGGAAATTTAACGCCTAAAAGAACGAATTTGATTCTCGTATTGTTTTGTCTTGTGCAGTTGACAGTCACATCAATGAACTAAAACGCATTTACTACTCACTATCTACAACCCTATCAGTAGTTGATGGCTTAGATTGTGGCGTTTCAGATTCACGTTGCTGTGTTTGACTTTGGTCTAATGATGATTGTTCTTGCTGCTTAACTGACGACATTTTCTCGTGATCTTTCTTCGACACTCTCACACACACTCTGCGATATCTTCCTGAATTTCAGCACTCTTTTAACTAGATAAATAGACTACGACGATGAATAACTAGTGAGATTGATGAAGAGCAGGCAACAGCAGTAGCACAGAGACGATAAGAGAACACTGCTGAATGGAAATTAGATATAAAAACATCAAAACAAATAATTTTCGTAGAGCCACGAGACGAGAAATTTTAATTAGATTTTTTAATGAAAAATAATAAGAAACAAAATTATATTCAAAGAGAATTTCAGAAGGGCGTTTGCAGGAACTGAATGACGATTCTTCAAAGGTTTTCAGCAAAATAAAAAAGCACACAAGTGTTTTCTTTTTATCATTATGATTCCACCCCTTAAATTCATTAACAAATTAGAATTGAATTGTTAATTGTGATGTTATTATTTTATTTAAATAAAGGCAAAGCACAAGATAGACGAAATTATAACGTTGTGTCTCATCGTGTTTCACTCTCATCGCGCCTCAATGGGTGTCTTGCTGACTTTCTAGTGTACAACAGTAAATTAGTGTGATTTTTCTAAAAAAAGATTTTATTCGGCATTCACTGCTTTTATTTCAGAGACTTTTCTTTTCTTCTCCCTCCCGATCATTAAATAAATTCCGTCACACAATGATTGAGACATTTTATTCGTTGCCTTTTTTATTGATTCTATCTTTGCTCTCAACCAAATTCCAACTCCACTGTTAATTAACTTTCTTAATTATCGTGGATTTTAGAATCAATAATTAAATATTTATTTTTATGGATAAGAGTACTTTTTTACTCATACTTGTAAATATCAACATACACACACACGCAATTGAAACCTGTGGCAAGAGACTAATAATTTAATTAAACACCAGCTTTATGCTTAAAATTTTATCACCACTCGCCATTATTTTGGCTTTAATTACTCTTTATTTTCATATATGTTAACTTTATTATTTTTTTTCGCCTCGTTCTCTTCTTTTTTTTTGAGAAAAATCAATATGTTTACATTGTGCGCAGTGTGAATGGGAAAGATTTTCAACTTTTTCCAGCTCAAAATTTCCTTCTCTTTTCTCTGTTTGCGAACGGGAAAAATTTTTCCCTTCTTGATTTGCGCTGAGCACTGACTTTAAGTGAGGAGTGAAAAGTTTCGTTTCAACTGGTGTTAGATCGTTAAGCTTTATGCTAAATGACAAAGTCTGAATACCGAAACAGAGGAATATAAAAAAGCTTTACAAATTTCATGAGATTTTTCAGATTTTCTCTGGGGTAAATCGTATGCTTTTGTCTCTTGACCTTATCACTTGTTTACGTTGTAAAATGTTTTCAATGAAAACAAGGCTTACGTGCAAAATAAATTACATTCACGTAATAAATATAACTTTATTAATGCCAAGGGTTGGAATCAACTGTTACACTCTATATGCACGATCCTCAAACGAGTCAGACGCCATTTTTTCACATTGTCCTCGATTTTTTTTTCTTCACATTTGCCTTACCTACTGAAAAATATTCTGTTGAACCACTTTTACAATCACTCAACAACTCCTTGAACTTTTATTCGCACCGTTGCAATTAGACTTTTTAATGCTTATGTTATTAGAACTAGATTCGTATTCCTATAAGAATTTATGTTTCAATAAAATTTTATATTCCTTCCACAAGAATTTTTTTCTCTTCTCGTCTTCGTTTTTTCCTAAAATATTTTTGCACTCATGTTTCACATAAATTTGTTGTCCCGTTACTTAAACTATTTAATTTATCTTATGAGTAATCCGGCCAAGTTTTCGTGATAAAAACGCGTCGAAATTTTTACTAATTGGCATGCAAAACTATTAATTCATTTCTGTTCTTCTCGTCCGACAAATTTTTTTTTATGATTGAGAAATGGGATAAATTTTTTTCTCCTTCAAAATTGAAGTATCGTACCCCTTACGATGAAACTTGCAGTATTTACAAAGCTTTGAATGTTCGAACAAGATTCAAATATCCTCTTGATTTCTTAATTGAACTATGTCGACTTGTTGATGTATGATGCAATAGAGCTGAATATATGCAAACAGACTATCAAATCACAATTCTCATAAGATTCTTATATAACTTTTGTCACAATTGATAAAGATTACAATTTTATACCATTTCCTATACATTTTTTTAAAAGCTCGACACCTCGACCCTGAATTTCATTTTCGACCAATTCATACGCCGACTGAGAGTAACAAGATACAAAAAAAAAATTAATCTTCTAATGTGAATATAGTGTAAATGCACTTTTTCTTAGCTTAAAGAACTTGTCTTTCTTTTCATACATAATGTGAGATTGTCTATTAGACAATGACTACAACAAATTTAATTAAAAGTAAGAATCAGTGTAAAATAATTTAGATTTAATTTTTTTTCCATCGTATGTCGTCTTTTAAGTTTCAATGGTTTTTTCCAAAGGAAAAATGTTGAGAAATTAGAAGATACATATTAGATAGTATCATGCAAATGTGATATTAATTTCAAAATAGTGATAACTTGTTTATTATAATTTCAGCTAATAGACGTAGAACATTTTCACTGGAAGATTCCAAATTGAATCAAAATTTTGAAGATGGAACCTTAAGGAAAAGTCGTAAGTAAACAATAATGTAAAAGTTTGTATAAAATGTAAATTTGGTATATTCATTTGACTTTCAGTATCATCTTCCATTAAAATTCCGACGCTTTCCGGTATATCGAATCGCGATCTCACACACGATGGTGATAATTTCGACTCTATGGAAGATTTAAACAAGGAGATCGAGAATCTGTGCCCATTCAATACAAGCGCTCTTCTCCCACACCAACTTAAGCTCGTAAATTCAAGATATTGTGATATTTTCAGCCGTCAATCGATTGAATCAGATGAGAATCCTGAAGACAATTCGAGCACTGACGATGAAGAACGCATAAAATTTTTGGCCATTCCACAATCCGGCTGTGATGTCATTCAACTTGTACCAAAAAAACCTGTCATCTCATCGGACCACAATGCAATGTACCAGCCATGTACAAATACAATCGTTCAATTGAAACAATCATCTTATTCTGCTTTTCGTGAGATGAAGCAGATGTCAGATGAAGGTGAAAGTAACAAAATGTCTGGAGATGATGCTACAGCGACTGCCACGGCATCTAGTCATGTCTCTTCTTTAAAGGAACAACAACCGTAACCTTTCTTCGTGATATTCTCTCAAATTCTTTATCTTTCTGCGATACCTGAAATGCATTTCATCAGAACATTATCACGCAGTAAAACGGGAAACAAAATGGAACAAAAAATAATCTTCTAGAAAACAAAGAGGCTTAGTTTAGGATACTTTGAGTATCTATCTAATTTTAAAAGTCGAATAATCAAAGCAGGAAAAGTTTATTCAACGTTTCGATGATTAAAAAAAAGAAAACTTAAACAAAAATTGTGAAAAAAAGAGTTGAGACTGTTTCAGATGCTGAGAATAAACGTGATTTTTTATATATCCCGAGCACATTAAAAGAAATTTTAGGCAAAGAAACAAAATTTAAGAAGAAATTATTTTTATTACCTGCTCATTCAAAATTCTTTCTTGTCATGAGAAATGACTGACTTGACTTGTCAAAAAATTTAATTCACTTAAATTACTTTTTGAAATAAAGAGATTTAATGAATCGAAGTATTGAGATGACATTTGTTTTAATATTAAAATAGCGCATTGCTGTGCCAAAGGCAATTGTAAGCTTCCGTTTAATTCATGCTTGAAATATTTCCTCAAGCCCGAGTTCCTTCTTGGCAAAGGATGAAAGTGTCATAAAGCACGATAATAAATTCGAACGAAATACATTTTTAATGTCTACGTTGCAGCAAAAAATATTTTCACAAGAAAATTTAAAAAGACTTGAAAGGTTTTCGTTTATCCTGCAGTAAAGCATTTTATTCGTCATAAATAAATCTTGATTGCATAATTTTTCATCGTCATCTTAAACATTAATATAAATCTAAAGAAAAAAATGAACAATTCTCTTTTTTTCTTATTATCTTTGATAAAAGGATGAATAAATGAAAAATCTTTTATGTTTTGATTACAGATTAACACCAGAACGAAAAAAGAAAGAAAAAAGATTTTTTTACACTTTAAATCATTATTTTTGGATTCCAAATTTTCTTATAATTAACATGTTTCTTCTTTGATCAAAAGTCATTCGAACTAAAAACGATTCAATCTTTATACATTCAAAGCTTTTCATTATATTTTAAACTTTATTTTGTGTTGATGCAAGTGGTCTAAAAGGACTTTTTATGTTTTTTTTTTCGTTTCTTTTCGGTAAAGCAATTGTATCTAAATAATTAAATATGAATTTTTTTTTGATTTCATCCATTTTTTCAAAATATTAAATGGAAAACTACATCCTATATAAAAATCACGAATATAAGAAAGGATTGAAGAGAGAAACGAAAAAAAATGAAGAGATCGAAAAATTGAAACTTTTGAAATGAAAATTTAAAAAATTCTTACAAGTTTAAATATTTGAAAGCTTTCTAAACATTTCAAAAGTGCCAAATTTCAGATTCCCATAAATTAAAAATTGATTTGAAGGATATAAACAAAATTTGTGGTTAAATTATTGTGATGAAAATTTATCTGCTTGTGTAGCTGCACTAAATGCTAATAGAGTTGAAGCTGCTTAGGCGTAATGGGCTAGGACTGTGTAATACGCAAATCCAGTTATCTTACGATCGCTTTGGAAAAATCCAATCCGAACTTGTCGAAAGACTAAAAAAGAAAGAACGAAATTTTATTGAAACTTTTTTCAATTTTTATAACTTTCAGGGCGAAAAGAAATTTCTGTAATTGAAGCTTTTCCATAAGCTTGTGATTAAAAAAAATTAATTAAAAGATGAAAACATTTCTTACACTTTTCTGATCGTTTTATCTCAGCTCTAATGTAGATAGTATGTTTGTTTTAAAGAAGTTGCTGATTGATTCTTGATAATGATAAAAGCTGATTTTTTTTATTGGAAGGATAAAACGAGTGATGATAAAACCATTTAGAAAGAGGATCATCTGACAAATGTTTTGGTGATTAAAGTGATATTTTTTTACGATTTACGTTTGCTAAGACGGGATTGGCGAACTGAAATGAAATCAAGTTTGTTAATTACATCAAATTCATAATTAATTTTAATACAAAATCATCACGACGTGACAAAAACAAGATCATTCGCATTCTCATTGTTAGTATTTTCTTAAATTTATGAGTTAGATTTAAAACTTCATTCGATGCGATGTTGTTTGTTAATAAATGTTAACTTCAATGCAACATGGATCAACTTTTATTATTAGATAGACGGATGACAAGACGCTTGATTAGATTCAAACATAAAGTGACAACAATGAATAGATTTTAATTACTAACTTTTGTATCCATTGTGATAACACGATCGTAAGAAGTCAAAATTAGTAAGTTTGGAGTTGTAGGAAAACATAACAAGTAACAGAGCGAAAGAATTCTTTTTGTTTTAATCTAATTATTGATGGTGTGATAAGTCGTAACGAAGTTTATTGGCTAGGCAATTTATCCTTTGACCATATGACATCATTGTTTTTTGTGTGTGTTTGTGAGTGGAACAAAGAGTGTCAAAAGTTAATTAAAATTAAATTACTGCCGAAATTTATGACCTATTACCTAAAGAAGATTTTCAAGATAAGAGAAGAGAAAAAATAAAGAAATAAAATGATTAAAATTTTGCGCATTCCAAAAGAAGCAATTTTGTGTTTGGCTTTGTTATCGACATGAGAAAAAATAATTAAATAATATAGAAAATTAGAAGAAACAAAATAAAAAAGATGTGTTAATGAGAGTTGAAAGTGGCTTCGTGTACATGAAATGGACATGGACAGTTGAATGATTAGTAGATATAATTTCATTTCCAACAGCATTAAGTTTTCGTTATGCGAACAATAATTCAGATATGATTGTTATTTAAACACCAGAGAAAAAGATATTATCACAAATTAAACTCGACGTTGAACAATAAATCATTTCAAAGATTTTCACAAAGAGTAAAGCAAAGTTTTTTTTTTTCTATTATCTAATAGGCAGCATTCATATTAAATGTTTCTATCTTTCATAATCTGAAAATGTGTTTTAAATTATATTTAATTATAGAAGCGGTAATTACTAAGAAGTGAAATAAACGAGGAAGCTTTCACTTTCATATAAAAATATTTATGTTATTGCAATTAGTGTCTGCAGCAGCATATAAAAAATTCAGCATCATAGGGAAAATCTTTTTATTTTTTAATTTCCGCGCATTAAACAAAAACGAAAAGAAAATCTTTTAGAAATTTTTATAAATGTATAAAAATTGTCGGCCAGAAAAAAAAACTCAGCAGTTAATTCTTAATTTGTACAATATTTTGTTTGATGTTATTTTGAAATTTGGTACCTTGCCGAAGAGTTTTCTATTGTATCATTGTCCCTGTTTTCCTATGCAGATTAAAAAATCTGAATTGTAGGCGTAATGTTAGATCTTTCCTTACTGGAAACATAACAGAAAATAGGACAAAATGTTCAGTATCAGTGATTTTGTTTGATGTCATTATTTCTGAGTGGTTAACTATTTCCAAAGAAAAGTGTTCAACAATTATTAGATAAACATTAATCATAGTCAAACGACGATATAGAGTTGATCCTTCAAGTCTTGATTATTCAAAATTCATTCCAATTGAGGTCAATTTTCTCGAACAGAATAAAAAAAATGTAAATTCAAATTTCAAATCATTGACCTGAATCAGTTGAATCTGAAAATTCCCTTAAATGTCTACGACAACATGTAAACAATCACAAAATTATTTAAGTATCGTCAAAATGCAAAACTAATCCATCACGTCTTGTGGATGCTTCTTTTCTTTTTCTTTTTATTTTGCTACTCCTTGTATCCACCCACTTATTCATTCAACATCTAGCGATGAAAAATAAATAGCTAAATACAAAAATACATGAGTAACAATGAAAAAAAAATGAACAAAAATATCTCGGCTTATATCAAAAATGTTCGAGTGAAAAGAAGACAAAAAAAACCAGCTGAATTTGCATGGTGTTTGTGTAAAATGTGCGTAGGCGGGTGAGCGTGTTTGTCTGATTATATTTGTTTTGAGAAAAATCTTAGCTTGAGACTTTTCACTGTCTGTGACAAATAAAATATAATTAAAAGAAAGAAAAACTCTCTTTTTCTCTTGATTCATTGTCGATCCTTTTTAATATTGTGATAACGATGTTGATGCAAATTTATTTGTCAAAAATACAAAATGATGAAGAAGTTTAAATCCATAGTTTAATCTAATCAATCATTATTTTAGGAGAGAAATTATTATTTAAAGAGTTTATTTGTTAAGCCACAACCAACAATTCTAGCACGAAATCTAATTCGCGTTATTTAAAGAGCGGTAAACTCGCTGGTGATCAGATTGATTCAGATTGTGTCATCAAAATCAAAGCGATTTGAAAACACTGACAAAAAAATCATGAAAATAAAAACAAGAAAAAAACTATAAAGGATTAGATTTCATGCTGGCTTGAGTTGTAGGCTTAAGCAGAAATATGTAAAACAATCAAAATCATTCGAGAGTTTATTTAGGGTGGAAACGTTTGCTGTGAAGAAAGAAGTGTTAAGTAAGAAGTGTCAATTATTGTTTCAATAGAGATGAAAAGAGTTTGTTTTTGAACATTAGATGTCTAAATATATATGAAAAAATATTAATTAAAATTGACTCACATAAATTACATTCTTTTTTCTAAAATTTACATAAACTCTCATTCATTTCTTTTTTCTTTTTTGCTAAAACGAATCAGCTTCTAATCTAAGATATTTGCAGTAGTTGATAAAATGGTGCGACGTTAAGCTTTTAAGCGGCAGACTTTTGCTTAATTATACTCGAGCATTAAGAAATAAAACATTCTGTGTGCGTTTTTTTATTTTTTGATTAATCAGTTTTTGTTTTATGCTTTTATCTTCTTTAATTGGCTTTTTAATTTGACTTTTGATGACTTTGATGGTTGATATGGTCGTGGACGAATGAATTTCGAACGAATAAGTGTTTTAGTCACTTTCATCATCGGATCGCTCACCTCTAACGACTTGATTATCAGGATCGAAGTCGAGTCGCTCTAAACGAACTGTAGAAATAATATTTTTGTGATAATTTCTCTCATTTTTGTGGCGTAAAAAATTATTATGTTTGTTTACAACGGAATTGGAATGTTTTCAAGTTACATTGAGATTAGCAAGTAAAAGATCAACAGATATTCAATTCCCAAAGACTATCATGTGAATCACATTCGACATTGAACGGATTTAAAAAACGATTTGTAAGGAACAAAACACTTGAGATAAATCCAACAAATATTTGTTTGATGTTTTGACTATTACCTCATCAGTGAAAATGATAAAAATGAATGAAATGAATAATTTTTAAATCTCTTCTTCGTCATTGATTTGTGCAACAAATTCATTTGCGATAACGAATTCTTTCTCGTTAGTCGTCTTATCGATTATTGTTGCAATTTTTGTGCTTGGATGGTTAATAACTAAAAAAGTTTTCCCTCCAACACCTGTGATTACGTCAGTGGCTTCATCTGAGAATTTGCGTGGGTGATTTATCAATATCTAAATCTAACGTGAATTATCTTCCCTTGAATCTTATCAATATAATTTCTCGAGAATATTCTGATCTCATTTGTTTGTAGATAAGTTAAAATAATTATGAAGAAAAGAGCGATTTAATTGAATGAAACTTTTTAATTGCTCAAAGCATTTTCTTCACATTTTTCTTCTTTTAAATGATTCGATGACAGGTAAAAAACTTCCTGATGACAAAAATATTTGTCAAAAGTAATCTAATTAATTACTTCTTTCATCGTTCAACATTCATAAAAATTGAAGAGATGAAATTTTAATTTCAAGTTTCACTCATTAAATCACTCTAATTATAACTGTAATAACTTTCAATAAATCATCAATTAAAATGTTATGAAAGAAAGAAAGAAAATCAAATCAATACTCACTTCTATCAATGTTGCGCTGTAAATGAGCTGCCACTCGATGCCTTGCATCATTAAACTCTAAATGGAGGCCTAATCTTAATAACGTGGAATTTTTCTCCACTAAATCTGTGATTTCCATCTCGATCTTATTACCCAAGACTTGTGATCGCTAAAACCATGAAAAAGAAAGATTTTTGAAGGTGAAAGTGAGATGATGAACGGTAAACAAGAGAAAAGTTCACGCAACAATAATAATTGATCTAAACTGACCTGATTTGAGGCTCTGAATTCCTCTACACTCATATTTTGCAGGAGAGCTTTCACTAAAACCACAACCACCTGTGGACTGATGAAATTTGTTTCAGTGTTCAACACGCGAAGTGTCGAATTCTTCTCGACAGCTTCAGCCAACATAAGCGCAGTACGATCAGTAAGACCGACATTTGTCAATGAAAGCGCTTCCAATTTTGTGTTATTTTTTAATGCCGTGAACAATTGCTCGAACTTTTCATCAGAAATATTCTAAAAATAGTACAAAAACAAAAATTATTTTAAAATGCACGTGAACGAGCGCAAAAAAATTAAACAAATAAAAATTCATTATTTAACTTACTTTAATGTTATTCCAGTTCAAATCAGTCAAATTATGATCGTTGTCTTTTACGCGTTTAATTGTATCGTCAACGTCAGTGGAGTTTGGCTTCTCGGGCGGATAAACCTTGGCTGCTGACGCTTTCGTGATGCCATCCCAACCGAGGCCAAGTGGTTGGCCTTTGTTCAAAAGCGACGCATGGTACTGATCTTGATTCATCATTTGATGGAAGCCCAAAATAGCTGCCAAATCGATGATTTCCTCTTGCGAAGCGTCAGTGAGAGCTTGCTCATACTCATCACCTAAATCGATTGCAATCTGTTCTTCAGCTGCTTGCATACGAGCTTCTTGGGGTGGTGGAATCCATTTCTTCCCACGAACTGTACCAGGGATGAAAGGTTCCAAATCAGGGATATCTGGAGTCTCAATAGCTTGCTTGTTGATATGATCAATCAACTTCTTCCGATCGAGAGGTCCAGTAGGTGATTTTGTACATTCGTAGCTGGTACGCTGGTCTGGAGGCAAAAATGTGTCCTAGAAATCAAACAAAAAATTGTAAAATCTTTCACTAACTTCAATTCTTCATCAACTCACATCAGGATCAACTTCTTTTGCTAAAATCGAAATTTCTTCTGGTGACAATTGCGCTAGGAGAGCGTCCACATCAATGTCATCATATTCGCTAAGGTCTTTACCATAAAGTTTAGCTGGCGTTGTCATAGTTTCTGATTTTGTTGAAGATGCTGTCTGTAATGATATTGAAATAAAAAACCACATTAATCATGCTACTTTTGTGATTCACTAGAGTGGAAGATGATCTAACAGATTCATTGTTTTCTTGCTCCATAATTTCTGCTCTTTAATATTTAATCAACGCTTTAAAACAAACAATTTCTCTTGTCGATGCTTTACGATTGAATTTTAATTGAGAAATGATTATTTTAATAGTTTGATTAGCAAATTTTCAATGAAATTTCTTTGCTAATAATAACAATATCAATGAAATTAAAATAGCGATACAACAAAAGATCGAAAAACTGACGAAAATAAATTAATAAATTTACATCACACAACAACGTTGATGTTGACATTAGAAATTTTTTTTCCGTTCTCTCTTAGCATGTACTTGATAATTGAAAGCAATTTGTATCAATGAAGCTGAAACTGTGAGCATTGTGTGAACGGTTTTGGTGTTTGTTATGTCATTAAGATTTCAGATTTTCTAAGAAGTAAAAACGAATTTGATATGAAAAAAAAGAATCTTTTAACTGCTTTCAAGTCGAACAGCAGTTTTTATGGTTAACAACAGATTCTCTCGTCGAAGAATAAATCAATTCACAATGCAATTTATTAAAGTGAGTAATGTCTTATAAGGTCATCAGTAAGGGTCATAAGACTGTGCATGAATAATATGAAATCGATGGAAAGAAAATGAATAAAGCAACTTATACGAATTCAATAGTCGAAGCAAATGTTTGGCGACTCTGTCAACTGATCAATCGAGAGCAAATTGATGTTAATTTATTTTTGGAAAATCTGATTTAAATTTATATCAACTGAGTATCGCAGCATCTAAATATAAAAATGAAACTTCGCTTTCATGATTAATTATTAGAATTGAATTCAACAACAATTTTTGTAATATTTTTGCACATTCGAGTTTGTAATTAGAATCATCAATTGAAAGCGATGTCGCGTAACAATAATTGTGTAAACCGAAAATTGAATAATGTATCATGTCGGTTAATTAAATTGTAACCGTAGTGACAATAAGAAACACTCCTCGAAACAGTTCCTCGCTTCGTTGCTTTTTCAAAATAATTACATTATGTGCCTTTTATGTTTCAATGCCCGTACAAATGTAAAGCACTTTTTCGTAACATGCCTTAGTTAAAGTCATTATTTTTATATCTTTTATTTTTCTTTTTCACTTCTTATGATTCGCTATGTACATGAGATCAAAACTTTAATATTTCTATTGTTCTGCTTTATATATTTCGCGAGTATGGTCTTTGACTTTATGCCTCAATGCTTGATGACATCATGCAATATTTCATTCGCTTCACTATTAAGCAAGGTTACTTATGTACCATCAATGTTTCTTATTCATTTCTTTTCTTCTCCTTTATTAATTTTTTTTTTGGGTTGGGTTTCTTATGTCAACAAACAAAATATATTTTAAGGAGTTAAATACACGTGGGGAAATGGCTTGAACTAAATTAACTTACACTATTTGCTTCCGAAATTAGATTGAATTACTTTTTATGTTGCTCTGAGTCACAGATCTCGACAAATACTGAGGTGCATAAAAAATTCACAATGTAGAGTTACATCAACAATTGGATCGATAGGCCTTCGAAGTTCAGATACGCTCAACATTTGTTACACGATATCGTGTTGTTTGCCGAGGGAGAAAACAAGGTGGAGAATACCTGACAACTCGTAATCGTAGCGTAGTTTCTTTCCCTCATTCAAATATTTCCGTCTGGAGAAAAAGCCGTTAAACTTTACAAAATATAAAAACATTAACAAGATTCGTTTCATTTCCATATTTTATTAATGTAAATAAAATTTATTTAAGCAGATGCAATGCTGTTGGAAGAATCATTGACATCCTAGACTTGTAAAGATTTTCTTCAATGTGACAAGCCAGATTGAATAAGGAAAAAAGAAAATAATTTTATGGATGTTCTATTTATTGTATTGTATGTATTTATTAATATTACCAAAATGGTATTTTTCTTTATTCAGTGTTGGGCAAAGTCCTACAAAACAGTCTGGTAGTATTGCAGTCCCAGTCGCTACGATTTGGGAGTAAATTACGCATTGGAATGAATAATTAAAAATTTCGATTTTTGATTAATCAGTTTGAAAATGAAAAGTTGCCTAAAATCATGTTCATCACCATATTTTGATGAATTATGGTCCAAAATGTTTTTTTAACATTGATTTGAATCAACTGTTAGTGGAATCTTATTAAATATTAGAAAACACATTTAAACAAATGACACACATATGTCATTTATCTTCATGATTTCCTAAGAATTGCAATCAAAATCAAATTTTTTAATCTGATTTTTCACAAGAACGGGCAAATAAAAATTAATTATTTTATTACTTCATATCTCTTTACATAATACAAGATTGAATAAAAAGATAAACGCATAGGAAAGTATTTAATCATTTATCTTCATGACTTCCCAAGAACTCCAAAGAAAATCAAATTAGTTAAAATCTGATATTTTAAGTATAAGAACTGATATCAATGGAATATTAATTATTCTACTTGTATCACCTTACGCAAGACAAAATTGACCAGACAGTTTAGGGACTGGCAGAAAGTCAGAAAGTGCCCGCTACTGTATAAATTTTCTTCAAAAATTCTTTCATTTCGCAAAAATCCCCAATCAATGAGTGATTTTTTTTTCGCATTTTCTGATTTTCCCGTTTCACACACAGGCACATCTGATCGGATAAAATGTTCAGTGAGTTTTTTTCTCGTGCTGGCAACTTTCCAACGATCTATAATTGGAGATTGGAAGGAAAGCTGTTCACTTTGAATTTTCTCAAGGATTTCCTGAAAATGACGTCACGTTAACAATTCACTCCAGAATGGAAATTTTTTTACGGTTTGTTTCGAATGTAAAAATCTAACAATTTTCATTTGCCCTATAAGATTAATAAGGTGAGAAGCAGTTAGAAGCCAGAGTGCTTCGACAGAGTCGTCAATTATCGCTGATGATACATCGTTTTGGAAATAAGCCGCATGTTCTCTCGCGCGCCGCTTGACGCTACCTACGAAACGTGATTTTATTTTTTTCTGTTTTATTTTGAATATCATAAGCAACAAATATAATCATCATATGGTCATAAAACCAATAAATTTTCACTTTTCACAACTAGCAGAGACCCTGGCATTGTTGTTGTTGAAGCGACTTTTACTATTCACTTGAATGACGGCACGTGAAGGACGTAAGCAAATTGTTTTTCACTTTTTCACAGAAAGATGCTTTCATCAATGCGCAAATGACTAAAGGATCCATTAAAAGTACGATAAACTTTTGTGGAATCTGTAACAATTTCTTGGTGATCATAAATTCATTGTCGAACAAGAAGACATGTTTTGAGCGTCGCATTTAATGTCAACAATATATTGGCACGTAATGTTCTTTTCTCACAAATAAATGTCAGATTCTAACAAACTACTAGCGCACAGCAACGATCTAAAACATCACCAAAAATAGAATCATTTCATGACATTTGTTTACAGATTGTAGAGCTTCAAGCGAAGTTGAATTCGAGATGCCGCACTCGGACGACGAAAGGAAAATCGAAATAAATTTAGAATATTTGTGCCTGGTTTGTGTGATGTGAAAATTTGTTCATGTGACTTTCTGTCTTCCTTTTTGCACTTTTCCAAAAGTTAATTTTTCATTTCTTTGTATTTATTCTTTCTTAATAAATAATTTTAATTAGATTTGAATACCTTTGTCGTTCGCTTCCGACGTGTAATAATTTTTTCTTCAATTTCCTCATGATAGTAATCTGTCGAGGCCATTTTTGTGTTCAAAGTTGTCAACTCGGAAGCTTAAAATGATTTACAATCTCTCCCAAAGCCCTTGAGTGGTTTGAAAGAATTTGTCCCTAAAATTTATTTCAAAAATGTACTACACAACAATAACTTTGCGAAGTACTTTCATTGTTTCAATTGTTTTTAAGCCTTTTCAAGCACTATCTAGACAAGAATTGTCCTTTTTTAAAACACATCCGCCAGCCATATTTTCGAAAAAAAAGAAATCAAATGTCAAATGGAAAAATTTCAATGACAAAGTTTTCTCTTTGGCTTTTTTTTTTCACAGGACAGGCAAAAATTTTCTCTTCAATGATTTTCCGCGTTCAACGCAACAAGTCGTTCGCACCACTCCAAACTCTTAACTGAAGAAGCCTCTCAGGTTTAATATTATTCTTCTATCCATATAACATTTTTTTATATACTTTAATAATATGTAACACATGCACAGAAAAGAGCGGTTTTCATCAAGTAAAAAAGAAAAATCTTTGGCGCTTGTGAAAAATTAAGTTTGTCATCTATTTGGTAAACAAATTTCTCACGTCTCAGCGGGAGCGACAAGACATAAGACAAGACCTTTCAAGATTATTAATTATATTAGTGTACATATTGGAAGTCTTGCGTGTGTTTTTCATTGCATCGTTCCATATTTTTATATAAATAATTTGCACACAGATTAACTAATCAAGACTTAAGTTTTCACTGAAGCCGAATGTTCAAGAATTTTCTCTCAATTCGTATTTTCGGTAAAAAATGGAAAGAAAACAAAAAAACAATTTTTCAAAAAAATTTTTTTCTTACGTTTAAGCTTTCAGTTCGCATTCCAAACAGAAACAAACAAAGAATCTTTTATAATTATTTAGATATCTATCTGTATAGAGGGCAAAGTTTTTGAGAACAATCTCGACAGAATATTTCTATTTTCTACTGCAAATAAAATTAAATTTAAGGAGGACATTTTAAATATTTGAGATATTTACAATAAACCATGAAAACAAGAGCAAGCAATAGACATTTTCCTTGTTTACTCCATTAATTCATTTTCAAGTCACATATCAATCCATTTAATCCATCCAACTCAAATCATGTCCAAGGTTAGTTCTCAATTTAAAATAACTTTTGACATTTCTAAATGTTATCGTTTTAAAAAGAAAGTTTATTAATAATTTTGACATAAATATGAACAGCATCAACTGCCTACGTTTCCATTGATGAACATTTTTCAATTTTCGCCATTGTGCTTTCATATTAACAACAATGTGTTTTTTACTTTACAAGCTGTGAATAAATATTTCAATTAGCTAAAATTGAATTTTAGCAATTTTCATTTAAACGAAGTCATGTAAAGACAAAATTGAAAAGCCATTAGCGAATGAGAAAAGCTTTTTCCTCGTCCCTAACATCATTTTCCTTTGTCACAATGCATTAAAGCATTGAACGTTCTTTTTATTAAATACGGAAATGTTTTACAGCACCGTTGATCCAGTTTTTAGCGTTAAAGCTCTACAATAATAAACAGACATTAGTTTATCTAAATATAAAGTTTTTTTTCTCATGGGAGGGAAGATCGAGAGCTAATTTTCTAATTTTATGGCAGTTTATATCTCGCCCGAAAATTAAACGTCAAGTGTTTCGTAAATTTCACTAAACGCATAAGCAAAATGAAGGAAAATATTCGGCGACGAAAGAAATTAAATCAAAATACTTCCGACCAGTGAATTTATACTTTCATATGTTGATGTATATTTTTTTTCCTTTTGCTTTACAAATATCTAAAAATATTTTTAGTTCTCTTTAGAGCTTTTACGTTCAATACAAACAACCGTCTCGCTCATTATAAGATTAAATAGATGAGTTCAACGGAGAGATGTTGTTTGTCTTTTACTCTTATGTGAGCCTTTCATTCAAGAAAATAATTAAATAAAGAGCAAGACGACGTCACACCTGTCACCCCATCAATATGAATTTGAGGAAATTTTCAACGCTTCTACGTCAAGATTGATACATAAGTATATGTAGCTGTTTTTGATCGATTTTGACTGAATGCAATAAAGAAAATATTAATCGCAGATATTGAAAGCAATTTATTTATTTGCTTCCGAAAAAAATTCTCGTGCTGTTGTCGCCTGCGGCAAGTAGAAAATAATTTTCAGAAGATTTTCCATCTTGACTATTTTTTTCTTTCTTTCGTTTCTTTTTTTCAGTTCTATAATTATATGCTGATAAAAATAACTTTATTTTGTGTTTAAAATGCGGGGATTCAATTGTAAGTTATGTCAATAATCTTGGGTTCTGAAGACCTAAATATGTAGAAAAATGCTACATGACAGTTAATTGTGACAATGAATAAGAAGAATGAGAAAAGTTTTTCAGCACACTTCCTAGTAAATAGGGGCCGACTACAAATATCAGTCGATTAACATTGTTTTTTCAACGACGGTTGCAACGTAAGCATTCTGTGATGTGTTGAACACATTGCGCCGAAATTTTAAGCGGTTTAAAGTGTGTGGAAATTTCCATGAATTACTCACTTCCTGTATTTTGAAGCTTTGTCGGACGGTCTTTCTCCGGACCGTCGTGGTCTCGAAAGTTTCTTCCATCTCAACTTCAGCCATTGTCGTCACACTTCTTACTTATCCGAAATTTGATTTAAATTCACTTTTTACTAGGAGATTTTATGTAACTTTTTTTTGCCAGATTATCTTTTTTTAATTCTTTTAGGAAAGAAAAACGATTTTCTTTTTCTTTTCAGTTTCACTTCTGAGACTTCACAAAATTCAAAGTTTCAGAACTTGAGAGTGTCGACTTTCTTAGTATTTTTCTTCTCTTCCAATTTTTCGTTGCTTTTCGACTTTCAATTATAATTTTATTTAACTCTTTTTCCTATTAATTCACTTTCAATTTTCTTCCGTTTAAACAAATTTGAAAATTATTGCAGTTGAACTCGAATTATTCACGATCCCACAAGGGAAGCACACAAAGAATTATTTAATGAGTTTTGAACGCTACGAAATAGTTGACTAAACTATACAGCGGCTGCACACTCATCGTTCAAAAGCTGTAGGCAACTGACACGAAACACTGAAAATTTTCTCAATTTTTCCTCCGTTACTAGTATAAAATGTATCGTTTTTGAGTAGCAACAGTGTGGGATTATAATTTGACGCCGATTGTTGGTCGTGATGTTCATTAGTGATACAACGGGCAACGATGCTAGTTCAATCGTTCTTCTTTATACAAAAACCAGAGACAAGAAAATTGACGAAAATATGAAGCGCATATTAGTGTGAGTCAGGCTCGTCAAGCTTCAAAGTTTTCTATTCATATTAATCTAAATGTCTGTAAATGAAGAAGATTTGAAAGTCAGAAAAACATTTACAAAAAAAAAATAAAAATACAACAAGAAAAGTTTTTTTTGCAAACTATTCAAGACGCTGCTTTCCTATTTGGCTTGACCGTAGCTTTTCATTTAAAGAAAACAATGACAAAAGAAAGATGCAAACACTGAAACAACAAATCAACTCCGTAGTGAAATGTGAAAGACCCATTTCAACTTTTTACAAGACATGAAAATGTGATAAATCACTTTAGATGTGAGATGACATATTGAAAACTTTGTATTGTGAAACAATAATAAAAATGAAAAGAAAAAAGAAACGAGATTTCCAAGACGTCATTGATTATGAAAAGTTTGACATCGTGAACTTTTAACAATTCTCTTCAATTTATGAAGTCATGAAAAAGAAATTTTCTTTTTAAACTTGAAGAAATTCATGAACTTTGTTTGTTCAAGAATTTGTTTCAACTTCAGACTCGAAAGTCTCAATTTCATCTCACGTTGTTGTTGATGATCTGTTGTGCAAACAATAACTTGCGGAAGTTTTTTCTTGTTCAAGCGTACAAAGAGAGTTAAAAACTCAGAAGGATGACTAGGACGCTTATGACTTGTTTACAGAACATTTCCCGTATGATAAACAAGCTTAAATTGCGCCTTTCAACGGCTACGCTTCACAGAAAGAGAATTATTGATGTTTTTAATTTTAAATCTTCTTAAATTATTCGCAGAAATCTCAAGAAGACAAAATTTCTTTCATTCTCGTAATTTATTGCGTCTTGTCGTGTTTAGTCTCAACTTTGTTCAAATTTTTTTCTTTTGGAAATTTCCACAAACATTAAAAATAAAACATCAAAAGAATACCCCATCCCTTCTGAATGTTTTTCCATTTGAAATATAAGCCCACATCTATCATTCTCATAATAAATCTTGAAATAGTTTTCCCAATTATTTGATCCCTTGGTAAAAGTTCAGGTAAAGCAAAATGGCAAAGTTCTTTGTTATGCTAGAACATAATATAACTTGTATAACTATCGTAAAATGTTTAGTTTCCATAAAACTTTTTCTGTTCTCACATCTCCAAAAGTATAAATTTTTCGATGATTATATTATGTATATACAAATTCGATAAACGTTAAAAGTTTTATTAAGTTTCAGGTGAGAATCGAATCAATTCAATATGTAAAGACCGAAAACAATTTTCTCAAACAGAAGTGCGCGATTAAATCAGAGATTTGAATAAATAAATATTCTCGTTCAAAAAGCACTTAAAGAGATTTCATTTGAATTTCGTTACGATTCAAGTGCATATGACGACGCAATGTTCCGGCCTGAGATTTCTTAAATAATAATCCTATTTCAATCAATAAAAATCAAACCCAGACCCATATTGCTTAACAATATTCAATTCGATTACTCATCATCATAATTTGATTATTTCTTAAAATAATTTTCTTGTGCTCCGGCTTAGACTACAATACTACAATCACATGTTGCATGAAGCTGCGAGAGTTGAACTAAGATTTGAGGCTTGACTTTCTCTTCCGAAACACGAAATATTTTCTCTCATTTTTCTCTCTCGCTTCTCTGAAAGCTTTTTCATACATCAAAGATTTTTTATTGCGATTTCAGTGTTAAGAAGCAGCTTGACCTGAAAACAATTTTTTTTCTTTCATTGTTACTTAAATTTGGTGCATTAGTTTCTTTAAAAACAAAGTGTTAGTGAAGTTAGAATTACAAGGATTTTACTGCTTTCAAAATGAGTGCTGTTGACGAAATCTTAAGTTATAAAAAGAATCCGGATGAAGATTTCTATGCAATGTTAAATTGCGATGAAAATTCATCGGTAAGCTTAAAGTAGACAGACGCGTTCTAAGAAGTTTCTATTAAAAACTATTTTCATTGTGGGAATTCCCAAATAATAAACTTTTAAAGTTAAACTTAAGTTGGTGACGAATTGCATTTTAAAAACTTGTTTTACTTCTTCTTTTTGTTAATGGGGAAAATATTGTAACAAATGAAGGTCGTTCTGAATTAGAACCTTTGGGATGCTTTATTGCCTTGGGATATTTTGATATTTAGGATGTTTGTGAAGTCTTCAGAGAATATACCACAAAGGAATTTTTTTCCTTCGTTTATGCTATAAAGGCTTTGAAATATTTAATTTTGTCTTCATTTCATTCATAACGATTCATCATTTGATGGAACGAGAGGGAATGGAAGTTAAAAGAGAAAAGTTAATGAGTAAATAAACCATAACAAAGTGCACTTAATTTTTGGAAACGACCTTGAAGTATTTGATTACTTTTTGTTTCTCAGCGTTTCTCTTTTTCGCAAGCTTTTTCGTAATAAATGAAAGCTTAAAAAATAATTGCTAAAAGTTCCTTTTGATCCTTATGAAAACTATGTAAATAAGTAAAAAGATATTCTAAGTAATTGATTCTGTAACCTATAAACAGCAAATATTCTGCATTTAATGCTCAATGCTAAACAACTCTTGATCGAATTTTAAAAATTCGAATCAATTTTTCTCTCTGTAGTTTTAATTTAATAAAACTTTAATCTTCGAGAGATTTTTCTCCTACATTCATATTTTTTTTTTCTCGTTTACTTTTATTCCATGTGCACTGCAAATCAGACTTGCTACATGTCATTCATTTTTAACATTTCCATTTATTTTTCTACTCTCAGATTATTAAGCATTAATACTTTATGTTTGCAAAGTTCTGTGTTTGACATGATAACATTCAACGTTACGAAGTTGATGAATAATTAAAAAAAGCTTCGCATATTCAACCATATTCTGACAATCCTTTGTCATAAACATTAAACAATGAATAGGCTTGAACAAAATCAATAAGAAACAATGTTTCAAAATGGTTTTGCGAATACATAAATTGTGTTTAAAGAACAATAAATATTTTCAATGTAAATATAAACATTTAAAAGCTTCACGAGAAGCTATCACAAAGTTTCAATTAATAAATCACAACATCTTATTTAGTAATGAAAAAGAAATGATTTTTCTTCTCATAATATGAAATTAAATTTTCCATTCAATCAATTGATTGATTCATCACATTTCACCCCCACTCCATGACATCATCATACAATTAATAATAAATCGATAATATTTCTTTGATTGGCATACTCCATCCGATGGAATGATATTCACCGCTAACTGTGGAAACAGATTGAACAAATTACGGCTGAGTACAAGGTAAGGGCTCCTTCCATTAGATGCTTATAAATTCTAATGAATTGAAGAAGGTTCACTAGTTAGAATCCTTTCTACCTTGCTTTATCACGATGAAGAAAAGTTGCCTTTAAGCTTTCACAGAGAGAAGAGAAGGGTCATAACCCATTCTTCGACCCCTATCACCTTTAAAAGAAATGCCCGAGAATTATAGATAAATGGGTAGATTGAAGAGGATTATTGTAAACAAATTTATTTAACTTAGGTATTGGCAATGAAATATCATCCCGATAAGAATAGCGGCGATAAAGAAGCTGAACAAAAATTTCAGCAGTTGAAAGAAGCGAAAGAAATTTTGTGCGATCCTGAGAAACGCCAAAATTACAACAAATGGAAGAATTCTGGTCTACAAATAAGTTACAAGAATTGGGTTGGCATGAAGGAACATGTGGTGAGATGAAAGATTGCTTTTGATTTAAGAAATTATCAACAACAATATTCAATCTTTTGTCATTAGCAACAATCGATGCATTGGGCTAATCCGAAGACAAAAGATCGCATGTTACCCGAAACTGGTGGTTCCAGCAATTTACAAGCTCAGGCAAATCCACAAATGAGGCGAGCTTCGGAAGGTGGTGCAGCTTTATACTTTGGGTAAGTAAATATGTTATTTCAACGTTACTTAAACAAATCCATGGTTGGTTTGGAAAGTTTCTTAATCTTCAGTTCATAAAAATTTAGCATTCAATGGTTAAAGTTGAGAACTCAACGTAGCTTAAAGTTTCAGTGGGAGTTTTAATTTATTATAGAAAGTTTTCACTCATTCAATATTCTATTCTGCTATATTGCTCGAAGGACGAATCTAATATGCTTTATCTAAATATTTTCCTTTAGTTCACGAAAGGAATGGGGAGCTGAAAATCCAAGCGAAGTTGTTAACAAGTTTCGAAACTACGAGATTTAAGCGGCTCAACATCAGACATTCATTTTATTCCACTTTTTGTTTCATTGTTTCAAATGCAGCTTTTGGCAGAGAATTGAACTTGAACTCATTCAAAAATTTATACCACAAAGCTGTGCTGAAATACTTTGAAAGCACAATTGAGAATTTTATAAACAAACTGTTTTTGCCACAAGCCCATTATTGGATTGCTTTCTGAAAGTTTTAAAAGATCTGCTTTTGGCTTTTGTATGAATTTACTGAACCACCATGTAATTGAGCTGATGAACATGATACTTACATGATATTATGATTAAGTTACTTAAATGGCCGTTTTAATGTTTAATGTGCAACCACAAATTTCTCGTATTAAATATTAAGATATCATCAAACATTTTAAAGCAGAAATTTATTCATGATGAAGAAATAATTAGCTGAGAAAACATAAATATGTATGTGTGTGTGACAAAAGATAAATTTATAATCGTTAAATTTACTTGAACTAACTTAAATCGTCAATTTCCATCGTCGGAGCGTCAAGAAATAATAAAAAAAGAACAAGAACATAAAAGAGTAATAATTTTTCCATATGATGAACGCACCACCAAGATTATAACAACAATATGATGTTTACTTTAATGTTGTAAGTATGTAGCATTGTCATGGGCATAAGATTTCATTTTCATGTATCAATCTTTGCTGTAAGTAAGTGAAATTGATGTTGTCATTAAATATATTAAAGTTGACCATCTTTAAATGCCAAAACTCCGAGCTTCTACCGCCAAACAAACATTTATCCTACATATATGTATGCTTAAGTTGTTATTGAAAAGCTTTTAAGCTGAGGAAGAGAATTAAGTTTATCTACTTATTATACGACAATCCTATTTATATTTATGTTAATCTATCGAGACGCCAGCGTTACTAAACGGACTGAGAATCTTGCTGAGAAAGATGGAATTTAAGAAACCAATTGGTGAAAATAAATTATAAGACTTTATAACCTCTAGTACCTTAAACATTCCTTATACACACGATCAAACATATTTACCAAATACACATCTCGTATTTTTCTAATCTTTTCGGTTTTTCGATGAATTTTTAATCAAAAATGAAAATTTATAACCTTGTTGGTTTTCAAATATGAAAAGTTAAATTGTTTGTTCAATGGATGAAAAATTATATTATAAAAATATCCATTTGTAGTATTTATTTGATGTTCTGTAGCTGTTGAAATTGAATATTAATAAAGAGAATTGGGAACACATTAGGAGGATGTTTTAAATCATTTACGTTAATCAACATTGAAATCATTGCAGAAGCAGAAATAGGAGAAATTTGCCTCTCGAATAACCTTTAGATATTTTGCATAATAAATTCCAAACATATTGTCAGAGCTTTTTTTATATGTCAAGGAGACGACGACGGCGACGATGACTATGGTGATGATTTTTTTTAAAATCCATAGCGCCATTTACGTCAAACATCTGGTTGCTTATTCATCTTTAAGACGCATGATTCTTTTCAAGCATATTTATGTATAGAAAAAATAATAAAAAAGGAAAGAAGATTAAATTGTATCAAAATTTATTAGGCTCTCTCAGTTATAAAAAGAAAGAAAAAGTTCTTTTTCTTCTGCGTCGTTTATACAATCACAAGTTTGTTTGTTTATAAGATGTTCTTAAACAATTTTCGAGAGACAATCATTTTACTTTATCAGCTAAAATTGAATTTTTCAGCATCCATTAACATTTTAAAATTCAACGTCATGATCAATTTCCAGCCCACACGGTCGAGTGAACTCATTTCCCACTTCATGAATCCATTTGTTTGCCACCCATTTTGATCCCACAATGACGGGGCATGCGGCATGTCTGGTATTTAAAAAGAATTACATAAATAAAAACATCTTATTCGTCTCTATCTCGTTAATGTCTTGGCAAGTCAAATATTCACCTTGTCATGTAATCGCCTTGACCTGATTTACGCAAATTAAACCAGAACGCTGCAGTTCCTTTCTTTGGCCAAAGTGCTGTCTTCAACGCTGGAAAAACTGTTGCTCCTCCTTGTGTCACGTCACTCATCTGATGAAGAGAAAGACATATTAGCTTTCTTAATTGAAGTTCATGAAATATTAATGTTGTCACAACGACTAAAGGCTCAAATTTCCCTCTCCCTTCAGTCGCATTGCAACGTTCCTTTCATAAGCATTAATCTTAATTATGTTTTGTTCTTTCTATTCACTGATGAACGAATTTGTTTTGTAATCATCGTTTAAAGCATTTTCTTTCTTACTTTTAGAAGGAATATTCAAAAGAGATAATTCAGAGACTGGAATTTAATTTAACTGAGAAGAATTTAAGAACTTTTTTGACGATCTAGAAAATGATTCAATTCCAGTCTCTGACAGAAGTTTTTCAATCAACTTACGTAGAACAGTACCGTAGCTATACGATTGCCGCTATTTAAATTCTTGAAAGCGTTGATTTCTTCTTTGCGAGCAAAATCCTAGGGAAAATAAAAAGGATTAAAATATTTTCTTCAGAATAATGTTTCGTAATTATCCTATCGTAATTTATGCAAATCTCTCACATAATGAGGCTCATAATGTCCTCCAATTCCATAATTGACTACTTGAAGCTCTTCAGCTGTCTCCATTGTTAAACCAGTCATATCAACGATTCTTTGTGCGATATTTCTCACGACATAATGTTCTTCATCTTTAAGCCAAGCCGATTTACTTATTCTATAATGTGCAACTTCAAGTTCACCAGTTAAATGATTTTGCACAGTTGCACGTTTGAATCGTGGCTTTGCCATTTTCTTCACGATTTCAATTTCATTATCATACATCACATCGTGATAAACGACAATGTATGGATCGTGAGAAATTTGTTCAATTTTTAATGGTCCAATTTTCAAGAATGGCACACCATTATCGACATAACTGCAGAACAATGATGAAAGAAGTTCGTCGTCAGGTGTGAGTTCACCTTGACAAGCAAGCTCGTAAAGTTTTCTCTCAGGTACATTGTAAGTGTATGGACCGAGTTTTGAATGTTGAAACTCAAGAGATTTGTCTACGGGAACATCTGGGGATCCATCGTCGCCTCGCAAAACTGACTTCTCATTTATCTTCATCAATTCCTTCTCATAATAACGTTTATTTCCATTTGCCCGTTGATGATCAGGAGTCAACATCAATAACTCATTTGTCATCTCCAAAGCTAATTTAATATTACCTTCCTTGAAGGTGGAAAACGCCAGGTATTCGAGTACATCAGAACGTAAGAGACGAGAATCGTTTGTTAATCTATTTATAGCTTCTTCCATCCACATGACGGTATGATGATAATCTTGATTGTTGTACATTTGTCGTCCTACTTCGAAGCAATCTTCGCTACTCATTTGGGTGCTATATTGAACACCGTTCAGTTCGCCTCGAGCAAGACTCGCTGTGTTTAAATCGTATGTGTCTTGAAGACGAATTAAAGCACTGGCAGCACCGGTTAAATCTTCTTCTGATGGAAATTTTAACACTTCACGATAGTTGGTAACATTTTGGATGAATTGTGAGCCGACATCCATTGTCATTATCTGCTCGAGATCTTTCCAGTCGCTTGTTAATCTCTTAGTAAGTAAATATGCATTAATAGGATTCAATAGATATGAGGAAACATCTTTGCCTGCTTCCGCATGTTCTCTTTGGTATTCTTTGACTTTTTGTTTCAAAAACTCGAGTTTTTTCTCTTGAGCTAATATGTAGCCCTCAAGATTATTAATTAAAACGCTTTCAGTCTCCAACAATTCCTCCATATCTGTCAGAGCTGTGAAGAGCTAAAAGAAGAAAATAAAACCAAACCAGATGTTACGATTTATGGTGACAGATTGTGATTGCATTCATACTCACTTCACAACCACCATAGTGTACTGCGACTACAGAAACGAGAATGAAGAGTATTGTGGGGAATGAGTTGCATGGCATCTTTGTTAGTTTTTTGCCTAATCTTAATTAAACTGTGAGATTCTGCAAGAGATTAAATCAATTCATTAGAAGTACATTTAAGAAAGTTCATCAAACTTAATACATTATAAAAAGAATGTAAATTATGTGAGCATAAGATAAGATAACTAAAAAAATCGGTCAAGCTCGTCAACTTCCGGATTTTTTCCGTTTAAAATAAAGACAAGAAACGAACATTCAAGATAGTGTAATAGTAAGAAATTGAAAAAAATGAAACATATACGATGCTTCTAATGTGTAATAAGATTCCTCTAAATATGTTTGATGAGTGTGTGGGTGTAAACGCAATTGTATGATGAGTTATCAAAAAAATCACGTATCGATTAAAATATTTTAAATTTGCAACGAGGTTTTGATTAACAAAGTCATTTTATTTTTGTTTTGTTATTAAAAGTTGTTCGCATTAGCAGAAAGTGTCATTAACCCATATGTTGAGAATGCAATAATAAAGCAAACGAAAGCAAAAAATAGAATCTTCTCGATATGTTCTAATTTAGAAGGATTCTGATAAGAAAAATAAAGTTTTTAAACATAAAAAAATTCTCGTTCGAATCATAATTAGTTTAAAAGTTCACACTAGCTGAATACTCACCATAAAAACTAATTTTAATTAAACGATAAATATGTTTGTCCCTCCACCGCTTAAAGCAATTTGTGTACTGAAAGGAAGATTATTTTAGACGATTTCATAGCATCAAGTTCATGTGAAAAGTTCAATCAAACAATGAGCAATTGAAGCATAAGTGACTTTGGATATGTTTTTGAATAATTCTTATGTTGTGTCTTGACTAAATTTTCCTTTCATTGATATTTTCCATGCGACGAAATTTTTATTACTGTTTCTCCTGAGCGATTGCTCTGTCCCAAGTGGCAGAAACACAAAACACAAGCAAAGGAACAACCACCCACTGAAAATTTCCACCCACATCCATAACGAGCGAAGCAACGTGAAACGTGTTTTGGAGTTAATTTCATAGGCAATCTAAATTTCAAATGAGGTTCTATATATTCGAAAAATAACCAGAAAATTCAAAGTTATTACAACTTATTAACATGTACATGTGGGGGTGGAAAATCTACATGTTTAATCCTTTTTTAACACTGCATTCACCTTTCAATGTACAATATACAACGCAATAAATTATTCAGAAAGGATCAAAATTACGATAATTACAAGGCATTTAAAAAGGCTGCAAAGACATTTTGAAAGTTCATCGGAACATAAAAAAAGTTTTCCTAACTTAAAAATCACATTCGCTGTGAAAACGGCAAGTGTTTTGAATATTTTATGGTTGATTTGAGACCATTCACAAACATTTTCTTCGTTTTTTATTCTTCATTTATTGTTGACGATCCATTTTTTTTTATTAAACAAAATAAAAGCAAGGATAGCATGCCGCATGCCTAAAAGTCAATGGAAAAATTAAATGTTGAAATGTTTCTACCTCATTTTTATTTAAGCATACTTATATTTATTTACCTGTCTGCATTTCTTTTATTCGCATAATTGACTCTGACTGTTGATCATAATATAATTTATTTACATAGGCAATAAAGTATGAAACAAAGTTTGTAAAAATGTATAATTTCTTCTTTTTTCTTTTGATGAAAATAAAGGAAGCATTCATCTGCTTCAATCAAATCATAAGAATAATTCTATGAAAATAATACACATCATAAAGCATAAAGCATAGAGTGTAGAAGGTAGCTATTAAACTCATTCTTCATTCTACTGAAAGGTGTTTTAAAAATATTTTCATATGATTTCATACAAATGATGAAGTTTTTGTGAGAAAGATATAAAATAGCTGAGAATATGCTTTTGTTTGCTAGCTCTGTTGGGAACACTTCGTAATGTAAATATTTTCCTCTTCTACTTTTGCCTTTCGCTTTTCAGAAAACTGGAAAATTATACGGGAGAAGAACTTTCCTTTTATGATGCAGAAATATAAACATTAAACCCCTCATAACCAGCAGAATGAGATGCGTATAATGATGTTTCACGAACTGGCTTACTTAAAGCATTCACACAACACAAAAGCGAATTGATTTTTCCTTTTTCATTTTGCCATCCCGCCTGCTTAAGCTCATACTTCAGGAACCTGAATATATGTGTCATATTCACGAGAAACGAAAAAACCATTAAAAATGATTTATATCTTGAAATCCATTAACGTTAAAGATTTCTCTTTCACTAAAGCAATGTTTGAAAAAAAGGAAAGAAAGAGAGAGTTTGGAAGCTTTGTATTGTGTTGACAAAAATCCTCGACTTCGATCTTCAACACATATCTAAAAAGTCTCTGAGAAAGACCTTCGAGAAGTCATTTCCTATTCCATATGCCACATGCTAACGAATGTAAGGGAGCATACATGAAAAATATGTTGTGTCGCTTGTGCTGGTTGCCAAACCATTTTGAATCTTTTTGTCATGTTTATGACTTCATATGTTGCCTTGCCAGAGATGTTTTAAGTGGATTAGTTACAGTTCTCTTCCTTCATAAGCACATAAAGTTAATAGCAACATAAGTCAACATCTCTGCTTTTCGCTTTCTCATATTTGGTAAGACTGAAATAAAAATGCTAATATTCAGAACATAATTTGTTAGTTGCTGAGGTTTAAGCAACATACATTCAATGTACGCATTAAAAAGATTGAGTCGTCCTCGTCTCTTGTGTTTAAAATTCCCCCGTTGTAGCCATTTCCATGCGATCCCAGGCTGAAGTTATGAATAAATCATTCGACAACATTTGTGATTATTTTTTTATTCAATTTCTCTGATTTCCGCTTCAGTCAATTGTCGTGTTCTTTTTTTGTCATGTTTTTTGTGGGGGGCGAAGGGTATGAATGTTAAATGGTAATCATCCCCGTAATGTCAAAGTTACTACAAAGCGTTCTTAATCAATTCATATAACTTCAACATTTCCAAGGAAGAACGGAGAAGAACAAAAATCAAATATAACCGAAATAGATAAAGTTGGGATTGAAGCATCTATTGATGATGATATCTCCGGAAAATTGCCTTGTTTCTCCTTCCTTTTCCCTCAAATAAATGGAAATGATTTCAAACAACGCAATAATATTTATTGCATGAATATTGGATATTCTCAAATGTATTACATTTTTCACCAGATTTTTCTCAATCGATAGAAAATTCAAGTAAGTGGAATCGAGGGAAAAGGAAAATTCTCGATTCATGAAGCTTTAAATAAAATAATCCGGGAATTAACTTAAATATTTTCAAAAGAATTCTGATTAAAGTTACAGTCATGAAAACTTTTTTTACACTCTCTTAATTTCTTTCTACTTCGTGCATAAATTAATAAATTAAATAATTTGCCGTCCCTTTAATGAACATTCGACAAATTTTTCGTTTACTTTCAGTTTCAAGCATAGCTTCTTAATGTTCGTTCGTGGTTCTTGCAAAGCCATTGAGCTTAAATCCAACTGATTTACATATAAAATGCTTTCATTTAAATTTATTCACAACTTTTTTTTTGCTTTATCCATTCCCTGCTATTTGTAGGAAAATTTTTTTTACACTGCTGGGTTGAAATCAGTTTGAGTAATGGAAAAGAAATTTTCATAAAAGCCACAACAATGTAGAGAGGGAGAGAAACAAATGAGCGACTTGCCAAATCCTGATTACGATTAATCGAAAAACAATAATTCATTTTCTAATTGATTGCGTTTGCCTTGTTTCAGGGGTTTTCGGTTCATCCTTGTTGTCTCTTCCTCTACTTTGTTTGTATTTCCATCCCCTATTTTATGCTCAACATCAATGTCTTCAGTAAATTTGGTGATAATGTATATGCCCACACTGCCTTCACTACCTACACCAACCAACCGACCGACATCTCTTCCTTTTCCTTTTCCTTTCAAATCTAAAGTATACTCAACATTGAAGATCCCAAATATTGCTTCAGCGATAATTAATAGAAGTGATTCGCAATTCATGAGAAAAGGAGATTGAGCACATTAGATTAATAATTAAAATGTCGTAAAGCGAGACATTTATTTCCTCATGTTATTCGCCCTAACCATTAATAAAAGACGAGCGACAATCAAAGAAAAATATTGTTAAACGACAAGATAGAGAATGAGATTTGAAGTCAGTGATACCAAAAAGGAAAGGAACGAGAACGAGACCTGTGGAATTAAATATTCAACATGTGATCGCATGAAAACAATAATTATGCCTCTTCTTATATTATCCAAGTTACTTGTTTATCCGTTGTGTCTCTTTTTTTTTCATTTAGAACATTTTCCCTTCAACAAAATATAAATCAGACGTTATTGCGTTCGTTGATTTATTATTCGATTAGCTTACATAAAAAGTAACCGCAGGCACATTTAAAATGATACTCGGAAAGAAAATCGCTTCGCTTTTTCTGCCACTTTTTCTCTTCTGTTATAATGAAATGCCATGAAGTATGCGATGTCAGTGACAAAATATTTATAGATAACATGATTTAATTAGGAACTGAAATATGTCTCGTCTTTAAAGTGGATCACGTCTGTTTTGATAAATTAAGGGGAGAAGTCAAATTATTTTAGGGATCGGACGGAATTTTATGGAACATTTGACTTTTAAACTCTTATCGTAAGTCAAAAGTTTCAAAGTGGGTCAACTTTGAAGTATGAAGACAATTTTCTAGTTTTAAATCTTCTATGATGTTTCAAGCTAGACGAAGAGTTCATGTTCTGACTATATGAAGATAAGAAAGTTACCACAACACCCAAGTCATTTATTATGATTTTTTTTCTTCCTTTCATTCACGACAATCCTGTGGCTCCCTAAAAGAAATTTTTGAACGACTAAAACATATCACGAACGTGGAAGTAAATGTCTGTTATGTGAATGACAACAATCTACTGGAATGACATAGAAAAAAATTTCTTTTAAAAGGAGAAAAAGACGTTCGTTCATAAAAAAGAATGATTGAAGAGTTGAAAGTTTATTTACGTAAGTGATAAGGGAAAATTTTCTCCTCAAGTTCACTCTCATATGATTAGTTTAACTCTTCCTGCCGCTTTCAAATGATTTCCTACATTTGTTCCGGCTTTAAAACGGCATTTTCCTGCAAAGGGCTCTAAACATGTCAGATACATAAAAAGGATAATATTCTCCATTATTACCGTAATGTTTCACACAGCAGAAAGGGAGTTGAGGGGAACGGGGACTTCAAAATAAGGCAAAAAGCTTTACGAGGTGTTTACACATTTGAATATGTAAATTACTGCAGTCTCAACCGTCACATAAAACTGAGAGAAGATTTTTGTCAGGTCATCAGAAATTATCAGCAAAACATTTTCTGCTGGTTTGAATCTTTTTATCATCAAATCATCATTATAAATTTACATCTGCATGCATCGTGGGTGCTGCGCTGTTAGCCAAAGAAAGAAAATCAAATATTGGTATTATAGTTTGGACAATAAATAAACACAAAGAGAGGAAAAGCGAGAGAAAATATTTGCTCTTGCTACTGTCGTTTATCCACAACAACCCTCATGTTTCAAAATCTCACTCCTTATCCATAACAACACATCTGATGCTCCCGAACACACATACAACCCGTTTTTCGGCCGGGTTTTATGTCGAAAAAATTAAAAATAAATATATCGCAAATTGCAATACGTTTTGATTATTCTCGTATTTTCTTCGAAATTTTATCCCTTTTCGTTCTGCACCAACAATTTCTGAAGGGTTTATGCGAAGGTAATAAATTTTAATTTGCATTTTTTAGACGCTTCCACATCCGCATTTGTGTGTTGTGTTGTTTAAACAAAAGTTTGGGAAATCTGATGCTTTTCTCTTCGCTTATGTAATGTTTAAGACACGCTTACTTTATTTAAGACCTGACCAAAAACCGAAAAATGACGAGCCTTTCGTGATGTAGCTACACATAATTCATGTGGTTAAGTATGAGAATAAAAGAAGAAATTAAATTATGGCGACGATGAGTGCATGTGACAAATTTCATTTTTCATTTTTTTCATGATGACAAGAAAGTTATGATGTTGACATTGACTAAAATTTGAGAGATTGAAAAGTCGTGGATGAACAAGAAAACCTTGCTTCGATTAAGATAAAGCAGAAAATCAATTTTGAGTCACATTGATTAACATTATAATGTAAAGTTATGAATCAGATATAAAAAAAGAATTATTTGATGCTTAATTTTAATAACTTTAATTATTAATTATACAAATGTTCAATATTTCAATTCACATCAACAACATTTATTAAATTTATTTCAGTTTCTTTGTGTTTGTTGTCAATATGACATAAATTTAATTATTGTTCTTCATTCAAAGACATCCCAACGATTCGAAACTTTTGAAGTGAAAACTTTTGCATATTTTCATTTCACGTAGAAGCTGTCGGATGATTAAAAACAAAATACAATCAGAATTATTTTGCAGCATTGCCATTTCCATATTTACCACATAAAAACAATGCTACTTAATTCAATAAAAATCAATCAAGACTCGTTAAATGCTCTTTTTTATTTATAAACACAAAATTTTATAGCATCGGCTTTGCTGTTATGCAAATTTTGTGTTGTTTTCAATGAAGGCTATTAATAAATGTTGAACTTTTTCAAGCGTATGCAGAAAACATGGCTAGAGATAATAAATTTAAAAGCTGGAATTTAAATCAATTACATCGATATCTAGATGAACAGCGCAATAGTTAAGTTCTTCTATTAGAACTGCAACGTAGAAAGTTTTCTAACTCCGCCTTCGTGCAGAGAATTTTCACATTTCCATTCATTCATAAAATGATTTTTCTTTTCGTTTTTCTAATGAAGAAAAAAAATTTCGTGCTTTTTTCCTTTTTTCTGTGGAAAACGCCTCGCAATTCTACGCTCGGCTCGGAATTTTCGGAGGGTGGATGTGTGGGAAAAGGGAAAGTTTTTTGTCACTGTCGTGGCACTGTTAGAGTTAGTTCCACTGAGACGTTCAACGAAACTTGAGGGATTTTTCCACAACACTTCACGTGACGTTTAGACGGATTAAGAGAAACACAAATCTGACATTGCTTTAAATTTGATTTTAATGAAATAATAAGAGTGAACAAAAAGCAGAGAAAGATGGAGAAATTGTTCGAAGGTTAAAAAGCTGAACAAGTGAATTTTCATTCAATTATTTTCCATTGTTTTTCCCGCCTTGAGGTCGAAAAGTAATGAGAAAAAAATGTGCTTGTAAAAAATATATAAACAAGAGAAAATTGGTTGTAGCAGACCGCACGATTTGCTGAAGGCTCTTAGATACTTTTCCCTCTTCACTCAACCAGAAGCAGCTTCGGATTCAAACACGAACAACCAAAACCCAAAAGAATTGTTTTATGCCTCAACTCACTTTCAATTTCCTAAACAGACATTTTCTGTGGAACCTTTTTTACGGTTCTGTCCGATTACAGAATCGAAACTTGTTAACTTGAAAGTCAGATTCACATTTATCAGGTATGATTCAAGTGGGGGCGAAACAGAAGAATTGATAACATTGTAGATATCATGACACAAAACATGTTGACAATTTTATCTGTAAAGGTCGAAGTTCCTTTTCATGTTACTTAATTGGAAATTAAGGAAAAGCAAATGTTCCGTTCTGTTAGAATCATAAAAGCATTTCAATTTACCTCGAGCTTGATGAAAATGTTCTTTTTTTGAATGTGGATAATTATGACCTACAAGCTATTGAAGCGTAAAAAAAGATCATCAGAAAAATATAATAAACGTGCTGTTTGGTGGATTATGTGCGAATGAGTGAAAAATCGTTTGAATGTTTTCTAGAAAATCGTAAATTTATTCAAAACGTTTTCTTTTTTAAAAATCATGCCCAAAGGATTTTCCATTTTATTATTGAATAATTTGAAAAGTTTTCTTGGAAGCCAACTACAATTTGAAACATTTACCCTAAACAACAACGGATGTAATAAAAAATGGGAAACGACTTTGCTGCTTTTGATCCTTTTTACCAGCCGTGGAATTTGCTCTCCATAAAACGGCCTCTGATATCTTGATTCAATGTTGGATGAACATTAAAAAAGCTTTTATGATGTATAAAAGAGCATTAAAACAGTGAAAAACCCTTTTTTTTATTATGAAAATTGCTATTTTTACGCAATTCCATCTCGCCTTTGATTCAACGAACTCATGTCTGGCTTTGCTGCTCGGGTAAACTTTAGAACACTTTCACCCATTCATTTGTCAGTAAAGGCTTATGGGAGAAATTTTACACACTCAATGAACCTTTGCTCAAATATGATGTGGTTTCGTTTATTTTGTCAATTATGTAGTATGAGGGATGAGTACATAATGGAACATATGGAAATTAATGGCACAGTGGTTTTGTCACATAAGTAAGCAGACTGGTTGTTCAAGGAAAAAGTTTTTTTGGCGAGAACCAAAGACTTGATTTCATTTATGAAAACCGAAACCAATAAACTTAACCCGTATAGATAGAAATCTACATCCACATATGTATAGACAACTGAGATTCTCTAGGCGGTTTAAAAGTTTATTGTACGGAAAATTAGGTTTATAATTGGATTTTATGTGCAGGAAATTTATAGACTTTTAACTTTTTTTTTCCTTTTTAAGAGATTCAAAGTGAAAGCTGAAAGATGGGTTGAAAAGTCTTTTTATGCTTGAGTGTTTCTCGAAAACATAAAAATTGAGAAAGAGAATTTAAATGCTTGGCAGAAGATTTTGTTTGTATGTAAAGCTTGATTCAAGCTTATGTTGTTTTTTTTTGCAAGAACGACAAGAGATCTTTCAACGTCTTATATCTGACAAAATCGTAATTCATTTCTTTTTTCTGGGAGTATTTGTTTATCACAATGAAGTCAGTGATCTCAAATATGAAAAGAATTTTCAAAGTCAAAACTTGATCTACCTCGCATGAATCTTTTTCGTCTTTTTTCAAAATATAAATTGAAACGGACATGAATTCCTTTCTAGAGAATAAAAACTTCTCATTTTATTATTCATATCTGACAGTTCAAAGCATATCCTTAAGCTCTAGATTTGAAATTCTCTTTTGGGAATGAATTTTGAAGCAACGTTTGAAAGAGAAACAACATTTTGTAGATAATTAACAACCAAGCCCAACTTCACAATTTTCGCTTTAAGAACAACATGAAAAATGTATAAATTTCAATTTGAAAGAACGAAGGAAAATCCTTTTTATAGCGTAAATGGTTAAAGTTTAAATTTTTCTCTTTTTTCTCTTTGAGAAGGGATGAATTAAGAATGACGGCGCATGAAAATGTAAACACAATTTAAGTAGAAACTTCTTTGAGATTTGAGATATCATTGAGAAAGAAACCTTTATTTCATCTATGAGATTGGAGCTTAAAAAAACATTGCTTTGCAGGCGATAGGGGAGTCGGAAGTAAAATAAAAACTTGCCAAACTTGAAATAACAGAAGGAGCTCAAGATATGGAAAGAGATCGGATTAAAGTGCCGACGAAATAATATGAAAATATTTATTTTACTAGAATGAAATATCCGAATTATCTTTTAACGGGAAAAAAATGTTCAGCGTATCTTCCGCTTTTGCAGACGTCACATTTTTGATCACGCTTGAAAAAATCCTACACCAAGCTGCTGCTGCTATTGCTACTGTTGTTACAGATTGCCAGTCTGCTGTTCTTCAATGCCTTGTCGGTTTATTCATTCATTGGTGAAAAAGATTGCTGATATCTAAAATTTTATATCGCAATCAACATCTGGTTTTGATGTTTTCATCAAATTTCGTGTTCTCCAAGTCATAATCAATAAAAATGGAAATTGAGAATTTTGATGCGGACAAATTTCCCGACGACATTTTATCATGGGGTGAAGGTGAATGTGAACGCAACGAGACAGCAGATGGCTTCCGGCGGAATCTTTAACATCATGATAATTTCATAAGGTTTACTTAGAGTTCGAAACATTTTCAGCAATTTTTCTTTCTCCTACACTGTCTCGAGGGCAAAACTTTCAATGTGTGCATACAATTTGACTTTCAGTTCAACCCTCATTTTAATGGGATACACTTTTGAGATTGTTTACCCTTGAGCTCAGCGGTAGCAACCAGCAAAGCTCAAGGATTTTTTCCTTACAAGTTGAAAAGTGTGCACCCAGAGAATTCTGTTTTTTTTCTTTCATTCCAATGAATACACGAACATGAACAGTTAGCTAAGTTAAACATTTTCTGCTACTCGTTTGAAAATCATTAACATTGAATCTAGAAATCTGGGAATTCTCTGCTGTTGCTTCCTTTAACCGGAGGTAGAAAAAGTAAGAGAAGAACTATTTAATATTTAATGAGATTTTGTCAAACCATTTCTTCGCTTTTAAAAGAAAGCTTTCGACCCGGAGGGCATTGGGAGATTTCTACCCAGCAATCTAATAATGAATTCACTAATATACCGCTGAAGGTTGCTTTTAAATTTTTTTCTTTCTTTTAAGACAAGCGCAATTTATTTATACATATTTATAAGACTTTGGATGGGATCCCAATGTTGTTGTTTGCTGCCTTTAGCGTTCAACAAGTAGAGAAACAGACATTTTACTTTAAGATTTCAGGGGAGACGCTAACAAGCTTTCAGCTTGTAATAATTTGATGAATATTTCATGCTTCTGTTCATATTTATCTTTGAAGAAATGTAAACTTGTTCGATCGTTTACTTTTCTGTTATTTCGCAGCATGCTTCAAGATATGAGAAAGACAGTGAATGAATATAAAGAAAGAACAATGCTCATGTACAATGATAGGGAAAAGGTATTCAGTTTCCAATATGCAGTTGAGGGAACATTAAAAAGATGTTTATGACAGCGTTGTGGGAGATGAAGAGATTTTTCTTAAGCGAACAATTCATGTGAGATATTTTTGAAAAGTTGTTGGTTTCGTTTTGATCATTTTTCATATCAAAGGGATTTTCGTTCCTTTCTTCCCGATATTTATTAAAGTTCTTCTGAAAATGTGGAAAAGTTTTCCCCTTCGAATATTGAAAAGTATGAATGTTTAATAATCCGCGAATTCTCTCTCGCTTGCTTTCTAAAACTCAGTTATTCTCCTTTTTAGTGATAATGAAGGCAAATTAAGACAGCATAAATCACGTTAGCGAAATCATTAATTAAAACTTTTGCTAAAGAGAAGAACTTGGTTAAATTCTTCAATTTTTCTTTGCCAACTCCTAGACATTTCTGCTACCGCTTTCAAAGAAAAAAAAACTTCCCTCCTTAATTGCATAAATTTTTCACACTATGAATTTCGAATCAACATGAAAGATGACGAAGAAGACGAGAATAAACGAAATGAGAGAGCAAGTGTTCCTATATTTACAACCATTCTTCATTTCAAGTGCTTCTTGAATGTTAAATACTCGTTCTAATTGAATTTGAACAAGCATGGCATAATATGGTTAATTATATACTCATGACGTTGTTGTTTGCCGTCTCTATTCTCGCATCATTTAATTATCTTTCAACTCTCTTTATGTTGGTAATTTACATTCGAAAATTTTCTTAGACGATGGTTCATTTGCATAAAAGTCGCATTTAGAAGCACGAAATGAATATTAAGGACGTTATTATTTTATACAGCTCGACACTCTTCGATAAAAAGCGAATAGAAATTTGTTATCATTGACACATTAAGACAATGCAAAAGTTTGACTTTAATTATGCATATTTAAGACGTAGAAGTTGAGTTTGATTACATAGCAAATCTTTGCAGGATAACCAAAGCATTTCGTGTGACAATTTGCAGAGATTTTAAACGTCTTGAAATATTTGTCTTGAAGAAGGTAGATTCTTGGATGTTAAGTTGACAAATGGAATGAACAAAAACAAGAAGAATTTGATATGAAAATTGTAAGAGAAATTTCACTAGGGATTTGCCATGGATCATGTAACATTAATGATAAAATGTTTAATATTTTATATTCCAATATTTCCATGATAATAACTTGCAAAATCTCACTCTTTGAACTTGATAAAAAAAACTGAAACAAAGCGTGTAACCTAATTGATTGACGCATTCGTGTCTTGTCTTATCCATCTTTCTCATGCGCAACGAATGAGAGTTGAAATGAGTGGGGGTAGCAAACGAATGCTTAAAGGGATGACTGGCGTAAAACAAATATTAAATATACGCATCGTTTCTTTCAATTTTTAATTTTCACCCGCTGTAGCGTCGCTAAATTTCATGTCGTTGATTCTTTAATTCTATTTACATTCTACAGCATGACGATGAAAGAATTTCTTTTTAACATTCTCTCCCTTATTTGACAGCATCTTCTTTGAGAATAAAACGGAATGGGGTGGAAGTTTTAACGTTTCACTAACTTCTTGGAGAAAATTTACGCAAAACATTGATTGAATAATTGATAAAGTCATTAATTGAAAGTCAAAAGGAATTTGTCGGAAAAGAAGAAAAAGGTTCAACAAAATTTATCTGGAATTAAAACATGTTTCGATAAAGAACTCAAGCACAAACGAAATAATCGATTGTGATAAATGACTGCAATGTGAGTGCTTCATTGGGAAAAGAATTCCCTCGGAAAATTTATTGCACTTAATTCTCAGGTCACGAACTAGAACTCAATAGACACTCTCAACTAGAAATTCCACTGTTTGGTTTTCATACTTCATAGAGAAACAAAATAGAAACAACAAAGTTTACGACACTAAAAATAATCTGAAGTTGATGTAATACAAACATCTACTGCTTAATGTTTCATCGTGTAGTACTCAGTGCAGAAGAAAATTGATTATAAATAAACACTGACATTAATTTAACTGCTACATCGATTCAAAGTTCAAGATATCGGTTTCAAATTGCCTACAGCATTTTCCGGAAAAGAAAATTTAAACATTTCTTTGTTGTATTTAAAAGGGGAAAGTGTGAATATTTTCACATCAATCGACTCTTCATAACAAACATTAAATAAATTTAATCGCAGTAAAAAAACTCACAAACGATCTTCCTATCAAACTTAAAGTCACGTAAACGGAAATCACTAAATCGCGAACGAGAAATGAGAAAAGTTCTTGTTGAACGAACACACGCATTTCAATATTGCCGCAATCATTCGTGGAGATATCAGGAGGAAGTTTACGATATTTGAAATAACGTAAGCGAAAACTAGGTAGTTACAATTAGGTACTTATGAATAGTAAATGCGTAGCAATTAAAAGTTGTTGGAAAACTCCTAACCGATATCCAGATATTCCACAAACTATTTTTCCTTCAAATTTTCCACTAATTCAAATAATGTTTTCTTTCAACATTGCGACATTATGAAAAACTAAACTTAAATTAAATTTACGCTTAAATGTAAGATTAAATGTACCTAATTTTGAATAAATAAAATGAGTAAGCCGAAACGAGAAAAATGTTCTTTAACTTGTCTTTTCATCCACAGATGGGGCTGATGGTTTTATGGAGATATGGAAGAATTGAAATTAAATGTTATAAATTCAATAGAAAAGCTTTTGATGTCCAACAAACATATTAATTTTTTCACTACTGCCTTGTAATACGAGTATACTTATTCAGTGTTGTGATATTCGTGTTCATAATTGAAGACTCATAATTAAGACATGAAATTCTTGAGCAATTCATCGTGATCAACTTGGTGATCACAATCTTATCAATCGATTGAAGTGAATGAAATTAAATTAAAACTTGTCATCGCATAGTAAATTACCTATCTTGCCTACTTTATCACTTTATTTTGTAAGCAAAGAAAAAGATTTTTTAATTGCACAACACAATAAGAAGATCAATTTGGTAGGCAATAAAATAAAACTTTATCATGACATTTTTATCAACTAAATTTTTATTAAGAAAATATTTTTATATTTCAAAGAAATCAAGGAAAAGTAATTTGGAAATCTAAATTTTCATATGATTGTGATTTAGATTACCATTTCAACGGTCGACAATTTAAATTGAAAATGATGATCAATGATTGCTACCCCCAAAAATTTCGAATTGAATCGGAGGACTCAATCAGCAAGCTCTCATCAATTTTTCTCTTTCTTTCAATTTGTCAGTCAAAGAATGAAGACGCTTGGAAAAAAAGGTCCAGCCTAAAAAAAAATTTACAGAGAAATTCAACAAGAACAGATAAAAAGGTGAGTTTTATTAAATCAAAGTTATCGAATGAGATAAAATGCGAGCAAAACTTTCGTGAAAACTTCATTAAATTTTGAAACTCAAACCAAGCAACGAGATGAAGATGAAAAAAACCATCATGGCCGTCTTGATTTTGTTCTGCTTTTGAATCAGAACAAAGAATCATCTTCTAAATTAATTTTTTTTGGTTTTCAGGTTGTTTAAAGTTAAAGCAACACATTTTCGAGAAAATATTTTAAAGGTGGAAACCGAAATGAAAGAAATTTATACTTAAGTACATTTATACAAGTCGTCGTTTAATTTATGTGGTTAGTAATAAAGATTATCTTCCACAAAAGTTTATAATTCTTTTAAACATTTACATAGATTGTGAACATTGCGGGTTACACAACAAATGCACAATTCTATGAACATATCATGTCTTTATGGAATGGAGTCAATTGAATTCAAAGGTGATGCAATTGTTCGAGCCACACTTATAATATTTGTATGTTCATGACACATGGCAGTGAAGAGAAGGATGTTTGCCATGAAAAATCTCATGAAACTGCAAATGAATATATTCGTGAACAGGTTTTTGGCATTCAACATGAATTGGAAGAGATTTCAGAACAAGAGGAATGCATTAAACGTCATTCGTCTTTGTCAGTCATCTTTGCGAGAAGTTTTCCGATCATATTTCCTGACATCTCGCTTCCATCGGTAACTTTAAAACTTTCATTTTCTGTTTCTTATCAATTTTAATTTTAACACATTTTTAAATTAATTCAACAGTCGTCATGCAATTAAATTCCATCGTGTTCTCGCTGAAGGCAAATATGACATGGAAAATTTTCAGAACACGTGGAACGATGGGAAACGTGACATAATTGATGAAACTATTAAGAAATTGGATTCATCAAACAAGATGAATTTGATGAATTAATTGATATCTTTGATTCTCAATTGACCAACCAACGCCAGGACGGCAATAGCGGTGGTGGAGGTAATAGACGTCCACATCGTCGTCGTAACAAACATGGACGGAGCGTTAACAAATAAAATCTGGTCAACGCAACGTAGCAGTTCACATCGAAAGCGTTTGACTGATAAGCGTTTGAATAACATAACAACAACAATATAACCAGCCATAGCAGTTGTATTGATTCGAAAACTGGTGCCATTCGTGAAAATATGAACAGTTGATGATTATCAGAATACAATTATTTGATGCAATACGCTATTGATAACAAAGAGTACATCTCATCAAACATTCTCGAGAAATCGAATTATTTTTGATTTCTTATATTGACAGTTCAAGTTATGTTGAGATTTTTATCACAACTTCTATTAAAAAAAATTTCTATTTCATGATTGAATTGTGAATTTTTCTGTCACAAATCTGTTGATAAGAAATGTTCAGTGGTTTTTTAATTTCTCCACAGACTTGTAGTTTCTCTTGCAGTTTTGCGATGTGAAATATTTGTATATTCATAAAATTAAAATTTCTGTACGAAAACAATAAGGCAAGGAATTTAGTGAAATCAAATTAAACTAAACAAAATAAAAAGAGCTAAAAATCTGATCTTCCCTTTAAATTTTTCCTCAAAAAAAAAATGCAATAATAGAAAATAAAAGTAAAAAAATTATTGAAAATTATATCATAAAATCAATTCGTTTTACAATTTACTTGTTTTTCAGAACAGTTCATGATCCACCAAATTTAAGTTTTGGTCCATGCTCACTATTTCATGAGAAAATTGATATTGTGAAGGATAAGAAAGGAACGACGGTAGCATACGGTAAAGTGTTTTTTGTTTTAAGTTTAACATTTCAATATGCAGCTCCATATTCTTCTCAAAAAAGGTTGTTTCAGAATATGCATAGTTCCAATCTTATCAATCGATTGAAGTGTATGCAATTGAATTAAAATTTGTGATTGCATAGAAATTAAATTAAAACTTGTAATCGCATAGTAAATAATCATGCTTAATTTTCACATTTAATTACTTTATTTTGCAAGCACAGAAAAAGATTTTTTAATTGCACAATAAGAAGACCAATTTGGTAGGCAATAAAATAAAACTTTATCATGACATTTTTATCAACTAAATTTTTATTAAGAAAATATTTTTAGATGTCAAAGAATTTCAGGAAAAAGTAATTTTCATAGATTGCGATTCATTATAATGCTATTTCAGGTCAATTAATTGATAGCAACTGAAGAGCTGTCGATTACTATAAATAATATAAAAACAAACGTCCATGCTATGATAAGCATTATCTTATCTCAAGATTAATTAACTCCTTTAAACTCGCAATTCTCTTATGCATCTTCAATTGTCTCAGAACAGTTTAGAGTTGAACAAGTTAGCGTTAAGACGAGTTTTGTTTTATAAAATTAAATTATTCGTTTGATCGTTTTGCACAGTCATTATCAACAAATTTGTGAATGAAATGGTGAAGAATTCTGGAAATGTTATTGATTTAGATAACATTTTAGAAAATGAAGTTAAATTTGGAAAATTCCAAATTATTATAATACTTCTAATAGCTTTTCCTATTTTTTTAAATGGAGTTCAAACAATTACGTTTATTTTCGCAGCTGGAAACTTAAATTACAGGTAGATATGTACTTGAATGTTATGGCATTCGTTTCAATATTTGATAATGAACTTGATGAATTAAACTTCATAGATGTGAAATTTCTGAATGTGACGACGTCGGTTCTTCAAACTCGGAATTTTTGCCTGAATGGTTAAACTTCGCGGTGCCTTTTGAAGCCACTGGTCTTCCTCAAAAATGTGATAAATTCGAGTCATTAAATTCTTCACAGATTTGCACAGTTGAAAGTTTCAATTCATCAAACGTTATCAAGTGTGACAAATATGTCTACGAAGATGAAGAATTCACGATTCTAAACGAGGTGATTGCATTAAATTTTGATATTAATTTAGCATAACATTTTTATTTATTTTTGTCTGGTGTCAAAGTTTAGCTTAAACTGTGATAAGGAATTTTTATTGTCATTGATTGGAACGATCAACAACATTGGACAATTATTTTGTTTTCTTTTGACTGGTTTTATATCGGACAAGTACCTAAATAATTGAGGAAAATAATTTTGAGTTTCACGTTTTAATATTTGATTATTTTCTGTGTTATCAGATACGGCAGACGAAGTGCGTTAATTATAGGATGTCTGGGAGCCGCAGTGTTTGGAATTCTCAGAATATTTGCCTTTAACTACACAATGTATGCAGTTTTTGAATTCTTTGATGCTTTATTTGGCGGCGGCACTTACTCTACAGCTTACATCATTGGTTTAGAGTTGGTAACTCCACGACTTCGAACCCTGACTGGAACTTTTCTCAATTGCTTTTATGCTTTTGGGGAAATTTATTTGGGACTCATTGCAATGTGGTTTAAGAATTACAGAATGATTCTTTTATTCAGTTATGTTCCCGGCTTTTTTACAATTTCTTTCATTTGTTTGCTACCTCAAAGTCAGTTTGTTATTATTTAGTCATCACTTTCAATTAAATGTTTAATAATTTCTCGAAAGGTATTCGTTGGTTGATAACAAAAGGTCTGAATGAAGAAGCTAAAAAGATTTTGATTAAAGCTGCAAAGCAAAATGGATCATCTTTGAGTGAGAATTCTCTGATGATGTTTGATGAAAAAATTGCTGTGCTTAATAACTCTGAGAACGACTCGGAGAGTGATGACACTCAAGACAGCAAAATTTCAAGACGTGCCATCATACAAATTTTGAATCTTTCATATATTTGGTTCTCCACACTTTTCGTGTACTTCGGTCTTAATATAAACGCAGTTTATCTTGAATATTGGAATAAATACGTCAGTTTTATTGTAAGTATTTGAAGTATTGACACAAATGTTCAGAATGAACAATAATATTTTATGGAACAGATTGTCTGCCTCATCGAGCTGCCAAGTTACTTCATAACAAATATCATGATGGAATCAATTGGAAGGAAGAAAACGCTTTTTGTTGGGTTAATTGGAAGTGGAATATTTTGTATTGTTTCCGAATTCATTCCTGGTGTTTTGCTAAAGACAATTGCTTTTGTAATAGGAAAACTTCTAATCTCAATTTCCTTCTCATGTCTTTACATTTTCACAATCGAAGTTTTCCCAACAAATCTCCGACATCGATTCTTTAGTATTTCCTCCATTTCTGGTAGAATTGGAAATATTTTAGCACCTTTGACACCACTGCTTGCTCAATCTGTTTCACCACAACTTCCTTTAATTATGTTTTCATTTTTTTCTGCTTCTTCAGCATGTTTCCTTTGGTCACTTCCAGAGACTTTAAATCGGAAAATGCCAGACACATTAAACGAAGCTTTTAATTGAAAGTGTATTCTTAAATATTTATTAAATGTTATCTTTAATTTAATTTACTAATACATTAATTCAACTATCAAAACACAATACTTTCTTATCTAACAGAAGCATTTTTGTGAAACTTACTGATAATTGCTTATCGTCGTTTTCTTCTAAAATTGTGTGAATTCAGTTTTCTCCAAATATTCACGAACATCAGTTGAAATTTCATCACAATTCTTAATGATGATTTATTTTAAAGTTCTTCTTCTCATTAGTGTGATTTTTAATTTCTCTTCGTGCAAAAATATTTTATATTTGTCGAATGTTCCGTCGCCAAGTCATTTTATTTGGTAAGATCCTCAAAGTGGACATAAATCTGTGAAAATTCATTTCGACTGATCAGGTTTCGTTCAATTCTTAATGCTCTCCATGAGCGTGGGCACAACGTTACAGCTTTAACTCCTGATGTCGAAGCTTCTGTTCCCAATTTAACATACCTTCATTTGGAGAAAATTTATCCCGCAATTTACAATGGAACAGAAAGGCCAAATTTCTTTGAATGGTCGAAGTTATCGAAGATTGAATTCATGTTCATGATATTAAAATTTAATAAGCTGTCATGTTCAAGTGCAATGGATTCAAAAGGCTATGAACGTCTTTTAGCCTATCCAAATGAATTCAAGGTATGAATTAATTAAAAATAATTCTTGATTATTTTGCTTATCTTTTCTTTTTTTTTTAAGTTTGATCTTGTGATTTATGATAACATTGGTGGGCCATGTTTGTTGTTATTTTTAAATAAATTCAACAACCCACCGATGATTAGTGCAACAGCATTTAATGCAATCAGTCGAAATGCTTATTATGCTGGAGGTTTGATATCTCCTGGTGTAGTGCCTGGCCACAATTGTTTATTCGCCACTCCAATGACATTTAAAGAACGAATCAAGTCAACAATAATTGAAATTATTCTTTTTCATTTAATTGAATTTTATCTCACACCTTCAACTGATAAAATGGTTCGCGCACGATATCCAGAAATTCCTTATCTTGGAGATTTAGAAAAGAGTGCGAAAATGTTCATCATTAATTCATTTACTTTAATTGATCAAAAAGTTGCAAACTTTCCGAACCTCAAACAGATTGGCGGCGTTCAAATTCAAAAACCAAAACAATTGTCTGACGATTTGATTAAAATAATTGACGAAGCTAAAGATGGAATTGTCTTTTTTTCACTCGGGACGAATGTGAGAAGTGACAGCTTGGGAGAAGAACGAATAGTGAAAATAATCAAAGCTTTAGAAAAGCTTCCAACTTACACATTTTTATGGAAATTTGAAACGAAGGAGAAACTTCCAATAAAATTGCCTGCCCATATTGTCATTCAATCTTGGTGGCCACAAAGCGATATCCTTGCACATCCAAAAACGAAGCTTTTCATGTCACATTCCGGCTTATTAAGCACACAAGAAGCACTTTGGTATGGAGTTCCAATTCTTGGAATTCCCATCTTTGGAGATCAATTTTATAATATTTTTCAAATGCAACGAAACGGAGTTGCACAAGAATTTTCTCTTCACGATTTTACTGAAAATCAACTTTTCGAAATTGTCAGTGAAATGCTGTTAAATGAGAATTATTTAACAAAAGCGAAAAACATTTCTTTTGCTTTACGAGATCAACCAATGACTCCAATTAATGAAGCAATATTTTGGATTGAGTGGGTCATGAAACATCCACAGATTGACATACGAAGTCCTGCTTTGAATTTATCATTTCTTGTTCGACATAATCTCGACGTTTTTGCAATATTTTTGATTGCAATATTTACCTTCATCTTTATGTTTATTTTCATTCTATTAAAATGTGTTAGAAGATTCTTAATAAGAAAAGAATCAACGCAAAAGAAATTAAAAATGAAATAATAAATTCAATTTTAAATCACTTTAATCAAAGCCATACACAAAATCTTAAATAAAAAGTAAATGAAAGACTTAAACTGCTTGATAATTATCTGTTAATCTATTTGATATTTTATCTAAATGATAACAATAATAAATACATTTGATGGGAATGTTTAAGTACATTTGTATGATTTCAATTTCACTATTTCTTATTTGTTTTTCTATATCTCTTGAGTTCTTCAACAAGCTGTGCTTGATGATTTTCAAGAAAATCAATTTTCTCACTTTGTCGCACAATTTCATTTTGTAACCGAACAATTCTGTCAATCAGTGACTTTTGTGATGGCTCAAGAGAGATCTTTGGATATTCATTGACATGTGAATCAGCGGAAGACTCGCTTGTGAACGATGGTGTGGGACTTTTCTTCTCACCTTGTTCATCTCTACTGACACTTTCAACTTTTTTCCGAAGCTGATTAATTTCTCTGTTAAGTTCTTTGACAGTTTGTAAATATTTCTTCTGTTGTGCTTCGAGTTCTCCCAACGCTTCTTCATTCTTTGTCTGAAGATTTTCTATCATTCTAGCTTTATCTGAAATATGTTTCGACATAAGTTGACAATCAGAATTTTTTTTCTTAATCTCGCCATCTAATTGACTACGGAGATCTTCAATGATTCCTTCGTAGTAGTTTTTATCCTTCTTGATAAGTTGATTTTCAAGCGATATCGCGGTGGTTTTCGAAGTAATGATTGAACATTCATTCTTCATTTTTACAACAGTTTCAGTCAATTCCTTGTTCAACTGTAACAATTCAATTTCCTTTTCTTTCCATTTCTCAGTCTCTAAATTTTGTTCATCGATTTGAGCTGTCAATGAACTGAGCTCATTTTTCATTTGACGATTTGATTCTTTTTCAATTGAAAGCTGAGTACGAATTTTCTCTAAATCATTTTGATTCGATTGAAGTTCAGCAATCTTCATCATTTGCTTGTCTAACAAACATTGTGAATCATTAACTTGTTGATTAAGATATGTTTGCTCGTGTGACATCTTTTCAAACTCTTGACATGTTGTTAAATGTTTTGAATTTAATGCTTGTAACTCAGACTCAAGTTGATTACATTTTTTTTCAAGAACTTCAATTTTACGAGTTTTCTCTTCGTTGTTGTGTTTCAGAAGAATCAACGTTGCATTTTGTTCCATCATTTGCTTTTCTGCTAACATATTTCGTTCTATTTCAACCTCTTCTTTCGCTCTGTTAATCTCTTTTAATTTCATTTGATTGATTTCCGCTGTAAGTTCTTCAATCTTCTTTTCAGCAATCTCTCGTGCTTCCGTTTCCTGTTTGAATTTTGATTGATGCCATTTAAATTTAGACTCTTGTGCAGAATTATCATATTTTAATTTTTCAATTTCTTTTTGACTGGCTTTAAGTTCATGGCACTAGAAATGAAACGTAAACATTAAAAGTTAGAAAATAATTACAGAAAAATTCTCACCTTTGCATCTAAAATTCCGCAAATTCTCGTTTTATCTCCATTTGCTCCTTTAATCTTTCCATTCAGCAATTCAATTTCTCTTTGTAATTCCTTATTTTTCTTTTCTATAAATTCTTTTCCATTTTTAGAATCAAGAATTTGTTTCTCAACTGTAGCGTATCTGATTACTGCATTTTCTCGGTCTCGTTTCAGCTAAACATTTCAAAAATTAATGAATAATCAAGTATAAATGATATATACTTACTTGTATCACTTCTTTTTCTAGAACTGCTTTCAATTTCTCTAAATCAGTGATAACATCTGCTTTCTTCGCTACTTCATCCTTGAGATTTGAAATCGTGCTTTTAAATTCTTGTATTTGACAAGATAAATCAATCTCTGGTTCTTTAATTTCATGAATTCCATTTTCTTGAATGACCACAGAGTTTTCTTGTGTTGTTTCAGTATTATTTTCAGCTTCCACTACCTCTACATTACTATTTTCTTCCATTTATTGTTATTTTGTTTTCATTTGTGGGTCGAACGTTTTTAACGAACTACAAAATTGGTGCAAAAGCGCTTTGAGCGAACGAACTTATGACAGACCGACATCAATAATTTTGATATCCCATGAGTTATGAGCATGAGTGCGTTCAGCTTTGCATAATATTATCACCGCATACCTAAAATTGTTCAATTTAAAAAGCAATTGAAAACATGTCGAAGGCTTCAAGAGGGATGAGAAATGTGAAAAAAGTGGTTGAAAAAGTGAATCATTCTTCAAGGCTTCACACAGATATCATGGCACAATTAGCTGTTGGTAAGTTTCGCAGGAAATGTTTTTTAGTTAATTTTCAAGGATAATTTTTTAAAATTATATTCTTACTCAGCTGGCCCACCCTTGGGTCCCCAATTAGGACAACGGGGAGTCAACATAGCTGCTTTCTGTAAAGATTTCAATGAGAGAACAAAGGATATCAAAGAGGGAATTCCATTACCATGCCGAGTAAGATTCTGAAAGCTTAAAATTGACTTAAAATTTATATTTGAATTCTCTCATTAAGATTTCTGGAAATCCCGATCGTTCTTTTGAACTTGTAATTCATTCACCACCATCTACATTTTTTTTAAAACAAGCAGCCGGTATTCAACGTGGAGCAATGTATCCAAAAAGAGAAGTTGCAGGAAAAATAACTTTGAAACATCTGTACGAAATTGCTCAAATTAAAATCAAAGATCCTCCAAATGCACTTTTGTCATTAGAACAAATGTGCAACGCATTGGTAGGTGTTGCTAGAAGTTGTGGAATTGAAATTGTAAGAGATTTGGATCCAGTAGAATATGGAAAATTTCTTGAGGAAAGAAAAGTTATTGTAGAGGCGCAGAAAAAAGAATTAGAAGAAAAACGTGAAGCAAAAATGTTGAGAACAGGATATACAAACACTGAAATTGCATCAATAAAATAGTTTATAATTAAAAAGTAAAATTTGATTTTTTATTTCTCTATGCCCATTTTTTTGCGTTCTTTTCCAGCTTGTTTCTTTCGACGCTTCTCGAGATAAGATTGAAGTTTACCAGAACCCTTCAGCTCATCATATTTTGTTACAAGTTCTTGTGCAACAATTTCTTTTTTGCTTGGATAGTATTTGTATCCGTCTTTATTTATTATTGGTTTAGGTTTGTTGAGTTTCTTCAGTTGCTCGCGTTTTTGATTATCCCTTCGTTGTATAAGATATTTAACTTTTTCTTTTTCCTCTGAGTTACTCATTGAATGGGTTGAATTCTTAAGTGTGTCAAGTTCTTGATCTTTCAAATCAAATGCAAACTGGAAGTTTCTTCTGAAATGATCAGCTTTGAAAGTTCCTGAACGTGGATTAAATCTTGGATCGATTGCTGGAGTTTGTTTCGGCTGCTTAAATGATTTGATGAACTTCTGCTTTGGAGGATGCTTTGATGAGAATTCTTCGGGAGCTTCATCACTGTCATCTTCACGATTTGTATTTTGTTTTCTCTTTGGAAGTAAACTTTTCTCAGATTTTTTCATGTGAGCTTCATGAAATGTTTTCGATCCCAATTGATTTTCAAGTTTCAACAGAGTTTCAAATGGCAGATCTTTGTCCACTTCCATTTTCCTTTCGATAACTAATTACTGAAGGAGTTCAGAATCAGTATTTTATTTATTTTTTGTTCACGAGATGTTACTCTTTTAACTGTTATCTTTATACCCCTTCTCGTTTACCTTTGGTTTAACAGGGGTGCGAAGGTATGTAATAATTTCTATTTTGTACAGCGCCCCCTAGCGTTAGTTATCAGTTTGACGGCCCGGGTTTTTGTTTATGACGTCTCGAGATAATTGCCTCGTGCCCCGACGGTTCGCGCGGATTTGACCTTCCAAAATTTCTCCGTGTCAGATAATCGATCGTAGCGCCGCCACTGAAACGTTCTCGGACAAAGATCAAAGTTCACTTTGATTCCGTGCAAGTAAAAATTTCCGTGCACGAGATTTGCGATGGCAGCGCCGCCAATGATTAAAACTCTGAAAGATAAATATAAATTATGGATTTCACGAGTGAAATTTTGAAACTTAAAAATATTTTTCTAATTCCATTTCCTGCTTAAAACATTGATTTATAAAAATATAAAAATGGTCACTGTAACGCTCAAAGAGGCCAAAACATCATACACATCAAATAAAACTAGTGTGGAATCAATAAAACATGAAATTTTTGAAAAATTTGTAAGTGAAATATTTTGTTTGTTTACATCATGAATATTTTTCTTGTCAATTATTTTGACTGTGTTTGATTCAGATTCTGAATCTACTATGATTAAAGATGGAAACATTCATGGTCAACATAATTTATTTAATATTTTCTTCTTTCACAGAAAATCCCAGAAGCCTTGTTTTACTTGTTGGCAAATGGAAGAATCGTCAACGATGAAAACCTTAATAAGCACAGTGAAATTCAACTTGCATTTAGAACCTTTGGTGGAAAAGGTGGCTTTGGATCGATGTTAAGAGCCATTGGTGCACAGATTGAAAAAACAACAAACAGAGAAGCTTGTAGGGATTTGAGTGGTCGACGTTTGAGGGATATCAATGAAGAGAAACGTTTAAAAACATGGATAGAAAAGAAAATGAATGAAGAAAAGGAAGACCCTGATGAGAAGTTTCAAAAGAAAATCGGAAAGTTGCTTGCTGTACCGAAGAAAGAATTCAAAGATGCCGACTACGATGAAGCCAGATCGAGTTTATTGGAGAATATCAGCGATTCAGTTGAACAAGGATTCAAAAAAGCTCGTGAATCAGAAACAATTTTATCTTCAGTCGGTTTGAAACGCAAATCGGATGAAATTGATGTCAAGAAGAAACCCGTGAAGAAAATCAAAGGAGCATTTTGGATCGATGAAGGAATTAGTTCATGTTCAGATACCGACGATGAGAGTGACTACGAACAAGGAGAGTCTTCTGGAGCTGGCAGTACAAGTTCGAAATCTTAATTATTATTCATAAAATGTATTTAAATGAATGAATAAATGTTTCCTTTTTTAAATTAATTACAAAAATATTTAAATATCAGGGATAGCACATGAGACAAAACAAAGAAAATGAAAAGACAAATTTATAGATGAGATAAATTTTAAAGATGCAAAATGCACGAATATTTGATAAGTAGTAGTGAAAAATTTTTGTTACTACTCAGCCATAAGTTTCTCAATGATTGTTATTTTTGTTTGAAGGAAGTGAGAGTTCAAAATTCTCTTCCACCTCCTACAACTTTATAAGATAAATAGAAGACCATTTGATAAGGAAATAGAGCAGAAGATTCTCAAATGTATAAGAAACATTTTGTGTAAAAATAAATATTCATATTAAGAGTGTGCTGAGTCAGTCGAAGAGCTGCGACCTTCCCCGATCTCGCTAAGTTATGAAAAAAAACAAAATAAAATTTCTAAAAGAAACAAAAAATCCACAAAATTTTCATTTTCAACTCTCCCGCATGTTTAATTCTCTCTTCAAATGTGATTAGTATTCTTCATAATTCTTCTCGCGATTTTTCGCAAAAAAGATCGCTGGGAAATTTTCATCTAAAAAATATGCTCCTTGTTTTCTTTCAGGTTTGAGCCGGGACAGAACGAAAATCTCGAGTACGCGAACGGTTTGAAATTTTTTTATTTTCTTTCTTTTTTCCTGCCGCTTGGCAAAATTTCTTCTTATTAACACTTTTCGAAAGTAATAGAAAGCGATTAATAAAAAGAAACTTTTCAACCTCCTTTACAGATGTCTCGCAAGTGAAATATTGCATTGATTTTACTCCTGTCGCGAGCGAAAGAATAAAAAAATTAATAATAAATCGCTTAGATAAATTAAGAATTGAGTTCCAAAATTTCGTGAAAATTGTGTAAATAAGGAGAAAATATTTTCAACGGAAGTGTCTAAAAGTGATAATAATTATTTTTTAGGGTAAAAAATGGGACGGATAAGAAGTCTATGGGTCCTTCTAGGACTCGTTCTGTTCACCGTCTCTATTTATGGTGAGTTCGTAATAAATTTTCTGGCCCAAAATTTATTATTCATCGATTGAGCGAGGAAAGAAAAAAAATGTTCCGACAGAAAGCAAAAGATAATGATAATTTATTTAAAGTTGGGAAGAGTGAAAATCCGTTTGTGACATTGAAATACGATCAAGTGGAAATTTTCAATGATATGTAATTGATGTGTGAGTGCAATCGAGCTGTGTTGATACTTCAACAATCTTCTATTTATCAGGAATAATTTGAAAGCTCATCAATGTAGTGATCAAGGCTAAATTAATTATATAATATGTTTATTTTCAAACTTTGACTGTGGCAGGAGAAGAAAAGAAAAATCATGAAGAAAATGCTCGAGGTGTAAATTAAGAAAACCTTTTCCACAGAACGAAGAGAATCAAACAAAAATGACGATAAAAAAACGGATAAAAGATTAATACAAAATCAAGCAAGCAATGAACGTGAAAAAAAAAAAATTTATGAAAATTAACGCGGATTATGCAATAAATTTTTTCAGCCTTTTGAAAATGAAAAGAAAATTGAAACGAAAATGTATTTTTATAAAAAAAGTTGTTTGTGACGTCATTTAAGAAGTAGAGCAAGGAAGAATTTTTTTTCCTGCTTTTCTCTTTATGAAAGTTTGATATTGAAGAAAGTTCGGGAAAAGTTTCGACTGATTGAGTGTGAATGTTAAAATTTTTAACGTGTTTTCAACTTCTCTTGATAATCCGGTTAAACTTTCTTTCAATCTTCGGTTTCGTTTCATCAGAACATTTTTCTTAAACCACAATTTTTGATAAATTTTTTATTTTTCGATTTTCGTATAAATTTTACGATTCATTTTACTTAACGTAAATACAGTTGCTTGGTTCTTTCAAACAAATCTTTACTTTTGATTTCATAAAACGTCTTCACTTCGCTTGTTTGCATCATCATCGAAGACAATTTATTTCTTTTGTTTGATTTATTTTTAACTAATTTTTATTTGTCGAGGATTCCGTTAAACAAGCAAGTTCAAGCATTTTCGTTTGAGATCATCAATTTCAATTCTAACATAAAAATTGAAACATTAATGCAATTATTAAGCCAATTTCAAGTGTTTTATGAAATAAATTAACGACGTAAAAATGTAAAATTGCATTAAGGAATCTCACCCCGTATGTGAAATCTAAAATATTATTTTTACAACATTTCATTTGCTTTATTTATTTAAATTTGGTATTTTTCTCTCTTTGTCGCAAATATATTTATGCAGACTTTCACGTTAGTGCTGATGTAATACCATCGGAAAATGAATGTAGGCCGTACATAGAGAAGGTGACGATTCATAACAGAGAATTTTCACGGATATTTAGAGAGAGAAATTTTATTCTTTTAGGCGATACACGAATTGAAAAACGTAGAAGCCGCTGGAAGTGACGAAAAAGAATCGACTGAAGCAAATGTAGATGACAATGATAGTATAGAAACTGACGCTATACCCGAAACGGGAACTGATGACGATGCAAATGAATCAGCAGAGGATATCGTTGAGAAAGCAGAGGAAAGTGATGACGACAATCAATCTCAGGAAAATCAGACTGACGGAAATGAATCGGGAGAAGAGAAATCTCAAGATGATGCCGCTGAAGATTCAAACCAAGATGACGACTCTAAAGAACAAACTGATTCTGTTGAAGGAGCTGCTGATGATAAATCAGCTCAAGAAACAGATAACGACTCGAAAGAACAAGCCGAAGATGATGGTGACTCTAAAGAGAAGCCAGACAATGAAGACGATTCTAAGGAACAGGGAGAAACTGATGGAGACAATGACTCGAAAGAAGAAGCAGCTGGTGATAGTCAAGATGATGACAATGACTCGAAGGAAAACACTGAAGAAGTCGATGCTGATTCAAAAGCTGATGATGCTGAAGATAATGTGAAAGATGATGATTCCAAAGAAGCCAATGATGAAGATTCTAAAGAAGGAACTGACTCTGTAGAAGCTGATGACGAAAAATCAGCTGAAAACACAGAAAATCAAACCGCTGAAGATGATGGAGATTCAAAGGAAGACAACAATCAAGAGGATTCAAGTGAAGTTCAAGATGACACCAAAGAAGATGGTAACATGAACAATTCTTTCATTTTTCTTTTTATAAATTTCCCTCGATTACAGAATCAGTAGAAGAGAAAGTAAGAGTCAAACGCAGCACTCAAACTGAAGCTGAAAACGATCAATCAGATGAGAAAGATGATCAAGCAGATTCAGCACAAAATGATGACAATGACGATGACAGCAAAGACCAAGACTCAAAGGAAGCTGATGCTGATGGTGATTCAAAAGAACTAGAAGGGGACGACGAAGGTGATTCAAAGGAAGCTGATACTGATGGCGATTCAAAGGAGGCTGATGGTGATTCAAAGGAAGTTGAAGGGGATGCTGATGGTGATTCAAAGGAAACTGACGGTGATTCAAAGGAAGCTGAAGGAGATTCTAAAGAAGAAACCAAAGATGATGGCGATGATTCGAAAGAAGACGCTGATAAAACTGATGAAGATGACACTGACTCCAAAGAAGATGTAGAAGAAGAAGAATCACCTGAAGAAGATCTGACAATGGTAAGATTAAAATCTTTGAATTTACAAGATAAAATTGAATAAAATTTCATTTTTAAAGATATTTGAAATCCCCAAAAACTTACGCCCACACGAACATGTTGATGAACTTTTAGGATTAGATGTCGAATCTTCGATTAAAGGTAATTAAAATATAATTTAATTTTCTTTTGCTGAAATTTAAACGTTGTAAAAATGTAGAAAACGCATTACGACGAACTGGTGACGTTGTTTTGAAAGATCTGAAGAAAGTTTTCGATAATGCAATCAAACCACTTGAGACATTGTACAAATATCGCGATCTTAGCAACAGACACTTTGGCGATCCAGAAATCTTCTCAAAACCTTTGGTTCTGTTTATGGGCCCATGGTCAGGTGGAAAGTCAACAATCTTGAACTATTTAACTGGCAACGAATACACTCCGCATTCAATTCGATCAGGTGAGATTAATGAAATTTAAATCAAAACATTCTTAACAAGTTCAAATGAAATCTCTCATTGATTCAGGTGCTGAACCATCTCCCGCATATTTTAACATTCTTATGCACGGTGATGAACCTGAAGTCTTGGACGGAACTCAATTGGCAGCTGATTGGACATTCTCAGGCTTACAGAAATTCGGACAAGGTCTTATGGATCGTTTACGCGGTCAAAAACTCCCCAATAAGCTCTTAGAGCGCGTAAGTTTTGACCTAGAACTACGAAAATAGCTCGGAAAATGTAATTAAATTCACTATCAACTGCACGACGTCTTGACGTTATAAAACTTTCGCATCCGAAAGAGTGAGAAAAAGAGAAAAAAAAGTTTCAAGAAAATTTTCAAGACACATCTGCAAGATGTTTTAAACTTTTCAAATTTCCAAAAACATCAGCACATTAAATATTCATAAATCTATCATTCACTGTTCATCTAAGCAATTAGACATGACACATCATGAAAATCTCTCACGATAATCATGAAGTTGTGTTGTGCTGCTAGCCGTGGGAAAAATTAATGAAAGTATTTGTGAGATGTTCATATGACGTCTAAAAATATTCTACGAGGTTAAAAATAGCGAGCACATCTATTTGAAAATTATTACTTGATTTTCCTGCAATTTTCTCATGTTTGACTTTTAATTTTTTTTTTCATATGATATCCGATGGTAATTCAATTAACGATTTGTTGTCTTGTTTCAGGTAAATATTGTGGAGATTCCTGGAATTTTGGAAGTTCGTAAACAAGTTTCAAGATATTTTCCTTTCAATGACGCATGTCAATGGTTTATCGATCGTGCTGATATCATCTTTCTTGTCTATGATCCATCAAAATTGGATGTGGGACCTGAGACTGAAGCAATTTTGGACCAACTTAAGGGTCGTGAATACCAAACAAGAATTCTTTTGAACAAAGCTGATCAAGTGAAACCAGAAGAACTTCTTCGCGTTCAAGGTGCATTGATTTGGAATATTTCTCCATTAATGTCTTCGGCACAACCACCAATCATGTACACCGTGTCTTTATGGTCACATCCTTATACAAGTGGAGCACCAGTGCGATTATTACAAGCACAAGAACGTGCTTTCCTCTCTGATTTGCGTGAGGCTATCGATAAAAGAATTGAAAATAAAATCGCAAGTGCACGACGCTTTGCTGTGAGTATAATTAAGTGTTTTTCAATCACAGATAAATCTAAGACATTAAATTTCTTATTCAGGTGCGTATTCGTAACCACGCAAAAATGGTTGACTGCTATCTTACAACCTATTACAATCAGAAGGGATTATTTAGCAATAAGAAACAAGTTGCTGATAAAATCATTGAACATCCACAAAACTACAACATTTATGAAGGTCTTTCAACTTTGACCAACATTTCTCGTTACGATTTGCCAGATCCTGAAGTGTACTTGGACTTTTTCCGATTGAATCCACTTTTTGAATTTAAAAAGTTGTCAGAAACTTGTACATATTTCAAAGGCTGTCCCATTAACAAGTTAGATATTGCAATTGCTTATGAATTGCCAGAACTTGTTGGCAAATATAAGAAATTATTCGAGCAAAATCTTGCGGAACTTCGCAAGGAATATGAAGAAAACTGTAATCAAACCGAACCCGAACCACCAATGAAAATCATCAAATCGAGATAAATTTACATTTTTCGTAGTGATGCTAACGTAGATTGTCGTAAGCATACTTATATCGAATCCAAAACATCACCTTAGATACATGAAAAACAATTAAATCGTTTAAAAAAGTAAATATTTAGAGAAAAAGTCTTTTCCATCATAATTTTGCGTCATTAGAGGAAGGGAAAAAGAGAGAGAAAGAGAGATGAGTCATTTAAAGACACAACCAAAAGAAGTTGCATAAAGTTTCTCAGTTTTTTTTTCTTTTCTGTTCTTTAGTCATTTAATAATCCATTTCTTTTCTAATCTCTAGAATAAAAAAAAAGTTTATAATTTTCATCGTCATAAAATCTGAAGCGTTGGTAAAATGAAGAGAAAGAGAGAGAAATCCAAATCATCAACAAATCAGAGGAAAAATTGTGTTGTAAATTATTTTATTGGTTTTTCAAATGAAGAAATTTATAAGTTTGAATTTTTTGATTGAAATAAAGTTTTCTAAAAGTCAATTGACTTTTTAATTATGAGCTAAAATGAACATGATGGGATGTAATCTTTTTCAGACACCAAACTGCTTTTTGCTTTCTCACAATTTTCCGGTTTTATGAGTACGATTGCCACATAGCCACTTCCTTCAATAGATAGTTTGTTTAAATTACCTTTAAGACGATCATTTGTTTCTATCAACTTTCCTGTTACACAACTTAGGACTTTGTATTCCGATCCATCCTTGCAAGTAATGATAGCGAGAGTTGTTAAAGGCTGAAGATTCATTCCGCCTTTCTTATGTTTTCCTTTAACTTGATTAAGACTTCGATCGCAATTTCCGATATTGTATGTAATGCCAACAATACCTTTTTTAAATGCAATGTGTGATTGTGCAAGACCAATAAGACAAACTCTGTTAGAATGATAAAGAATCAAATGATCTTCGTTTTCGTTTCCATCTTCTGAAGTTTTTTTATGGTAAAATCTTGTAAAGTAGCGATCGACAACACTAGGATATTCACCGGTATCAAATTTGGTGATTGAGGAAACTCCTTCAGGATACTCATTCTCATTCAAATAAAACTTCTCCATTGCTTCACTTGCTACTAGACTAAACTTTCAAGCAATTAATTAATTTTCTTGTTTTTCTTTACGGATGCTATCATGTATCCGCTTCCTACGAGCTTCTCCTTCTAATTTATTTTTGAGTCTGAATTCTTCACGTTCTCTTTTTAAACACCGGTTAAGTTGTTCGTTGATCTCGTTACAAGCACCAAATAATTTTCCAAATTTTTTCTGAAATTGACTCAAATAATTTTAAAATCATTTATAACCGAAATAAAAGTACTTCTTTGTGACAAGCCAGGAGATTTTGAATAGCTGCATTACACTCTTCGCTATGCAAATGTGGACTTAAATCAGGATGCATGTATAGTCACTTTAATTCACTTACTTTTTGATGAAATGATTTGAAATGTGGTTGGAGGCAAGTTTAAAGTTATTTGTTTACATCTGACTGCATTTCAAACTAAGTTTCTTTAAACTCTGAACGATGTCCCGAGTTCGAAAAAATAATATCCGTTAAATATTCATATCCAGTTCTTAGTAAAAATTTCTCGAGAGATAAATAAAATAAATAAATAAAAGTAACAGCAACTAGGTACCTACTTTCATAGCGGGAACTGAATGTAAGAAAAAAAAAATGAAGAAAAATTAGAAAGATAAACGAAGCTGTAGAACTTTCCTTATCCATTCAACTAGTTTTACTACCGACGATTAAAAACTTTTCACTTGCAACAATTTTAAATGTATTGTAAATTTTAAATATTAATTAATTTTCATTATAAGATCAAAACTTTCATTTGCATTTATATTTACTGTTTCCGGTATCCGGAACTCTTCACATTTAGAGCTTTTATCAAGAAAATATAAATGTCAAGAGTTAAAATTAAAGTTCGTAAAGTTTGCAAGAACATTTAATTTTATTTAATTATTCATAAAGTAAAGCCCTTTTAAACTTCAATTTGGAAGTCATAATTGAATTTGTAAGAATAATTTATTCGATCAACAAAATGAAAGGTTGTCGAGAAAACTTTTAAATTGAAATTTGTGTCGATAAAATATGTCGAAGATAAATAACAAATTTCTTGTCTGTTGTGCAAATATTGAACATTTGTTTTGTCAGTTGCAAAAAATTATTAAAAACAGTTTTGGATATTTAATCAAACTTACAACTTCAACACGTTGTAAAATTTCCGTTCGTTCATTACCCTTTAGATTAAATGACGCTTATTGTGATAGTCAGCATAAACCAGCTGAATAATTGCATCATAAAACTTCGTCATTATATTTTATGGGATGATGCAAATCTGTATCCCACAACATGATTTACCTAGCTTTATTCTTACCGAAGCGCTGGAAGCTGTCTTCTTGTTACATACACAACAAGTAAGTAATTAAAACTCTCAAGCTCTAATGTCAAGTGCAGGATGAAAAATGATGACGATGATGATGATGACTTTCTTCCTATTTGCATTTGAAGATTAAACCACCAAAAGTGCATTAAAACTCTGTGCCACATAAACCAAGCTCAGTTTTCTCATCATTTCCACTCCATCACTTCACATACTCATAAATATAAATATTAATTTTGCCAGCACAGCTAAAAAACCAAAATAACAAAAACTCTGAGCTTACAAAAGCGTGTTATAAATATTGAACTTTCATTCCATATACATAAATTCTCCGCCACCATAAATGTGAAGCCAAAGACTGGAGAAATTAACAGAAGAGAGTTGGAGAAGGATAAACAAACAAATTCAAAAAAAAAGTGAAAAGTAATCAAAATAATGTTCAATTTCATTTTACAAATTTGATTATTCTTTAATGTTTCCCTTCATTAAATCCATACCCATGAACATATCTGTCAGAGAATTTAGAATTAAATGATTTCAAAATGATACAACATTCATTTTCTTCAAATATTTACTTGTTATGCCACACAAATATTTACATAATGAGTGAGTTTCTGCATGAGAACATTTTATTGTGTGTTAAGATCTTCAATCTCTTAGCTCCTTCAGTCAGAATGTGGTGAGAGGTAGGCAATCGATTAATCGATAATTTCCGACATATAAAGCTAAGGGAAATCCCTGACAATTAATTTGCTATCAGTAAAAACCAACGATCAATCAATGCGTGAGAGTCAAGCGAGACGTGTACACAATATGTCAAGTTTTTTTTTCAAGTATTTTTTGAACAAGAGATTATTCGAGACATTAAATAGATTGACACATTTTAGATCATGAAGCAAATCTCTCTGTTCTTTCTTTTTCACTTTTATTTTCTCCATCAATTTCCTGTTTGAATATTGATACTTCAGACAGAATTGAGCAAAGAAGCAAAGACAGCAACTAACGATAGGGCGTCAAGATTTCAAATTGATTTCACATCTCTTAAATAGTCAACTTAAGTGCTAGAAAAACAATCGTTTGATGAAATAGTTTTTATTATCTACAGAAGAAAAGGTACGTGACCTAAAACCAAAACAAGTCTAAAGTTTTGTGACCCAATTATAAGTATAAAAAATTAAACTCTACATTAAATTCCTGACTGTGTCTGCTCCCACAATGACAGCCAAATTCATTGTTCATATGGAAATTATTTATTCTAAAAGTGAAGCAAAGTTTATTTGTGTACAACAACAAATGCCATCAAACCATTAACTACTCGTGATGATGAGAATAGCATCATTTACCGTTTAACAAAAAAGTAAAAAATAGAAAAATGAAGAGCGGTCTTACAAACAAGCGAAAACGATTCAAATAAGCACGAAAAAAATTAAGAAGTAAGTGAGACGAAAAAATGAAAAAAGCGTTTGAGTGAACAGTTGAGAGAGCGGGTGAATATAAAATGCAGAGGAAAGGTAAAGAAAAAAGAGACGCCCGGTGGAAATGGTAAAGAAATAGCAAAAGAAAAGAAAAACACAACAAACAGAAATCATAATAAACGAGCATAAACAGTCAAACCATTAGCTGACTCGCAAGAGAATTGTCGACAAAGCGCGTCGTAGCACAAAACGTGGATGAAAAAAAAAAGTGAACAAGAGAATAAATTTTAGTCAAGTTAAAAGAAAGAAATAAAATCGTAATTACAACATTTTTCATCGACAAATTCAGTTGTTTGACCGGCATAAAGTCGTTTGGTTCGTAAAATTAGCAATAATTTTTCAATTTTGCTTCAGATTTTTTGCTGACAATCATTTAAAGAAAAAAAAACACATTTAATTGAATGTACTTTCATTCTCGACATTTTTAATTGAACTTTATCAATGCATTCATTTTTTACCCATAATTTGGATGCTTACGTCACTAATAAATGTTCAAATTAGGTTTCTCAAATATTTTAAAGAGCTAAAAAGAAGATTTGATATTAACTGTCCAGAGTGTTAAGTGCAAAATCATATAGAAAAAAGAGAAATTTAAAGTTTATACAATTTTTGATTTGTTGAGGCAACACACTTATGAAGAAAGAATTTTGGCTACTTGATTTTTGTGGATAAAGGAAAAAAAAAAATCATTAGCGAGTCATCAGTGCTTTGAGCCTAACGCTTTCAATTTCAGTGCTACTCAAAACATACATAAATGCTAACACAATTTAATTAATTAATAAAATTGTGAAGTGAGATTTTCATTTACTAAAAACTTCATACATAGACAGATTGTGGGACTAGGTCGAAGAGAACTTAAAAATTTCTCATTTTGTACGTTACTGATGTTAACATAAATTTGTAAGTAACGCTCCAATCACTCTTCATATTATGGTAAAAAGATATTAGGATATTTCCTGATTTAATTGGAAAAGTTTCTCGTACAACTTGTGCACTTTCAACTTGTCGTTAGACTTCTAAATTGCATTACTCATTCAGGCTGGCGAGAATGGACTTATTGTTTAAAGGCAGCAGGAGGATAATGCCATTCCCAAAACGGTAAGATTAACAAAACTCACTTTAAATATTTACATTTTTATATAAAGACAAACTTGCATTATTTTATCACGATATCTTCCATCAAAATTACATATGAAAGCGTATCAACTGTGCTGCAAAAGCTCATGCGATTGTTCCATGATTTGCAGTGGAAACGATGAGAAAAAAGAAAAACTTAAAACTTCATCAAAAGATTGTCAAGTCACTTGAACGTCAAATTTCATTTCGTTCACTCTCGTTCAAAATATTTCCTCATACCATTTTGTATGTGTCATGGCAGAGAAACGTTAAAGGAGAACTTTCTCAACTAGAATTTCTCTATTCTTGTCTTCTTTACCTTAGAAGAAATTTGTGGCAAGAGGCTTGGTATCAGCCAAAGTAATTTCACACTTAATTGCATTATTCTGAAGCTATGTACGAAGATTGTGGTTTCGAAATGAAATTTTTGAAAAATATCCGGGATTTTAGGAATCTTCGTTTCTTAGGAATTCTCATGATGATTCTTGCTTGCTGCAGATGCAGAGATAATATGAGAACCATATGCAATCCTTCCTCAGACTGGGAGTTGATTCAATTTATTGTAATTAAAATATTGTATTACGCAGATAAATTTTAATGAAAGTTATAAAATCATTATCATTGTCGTTGACATTGCTGCTTGTTCGTCTAGCTCTCGTTCGCTTTCTACACAGTAAATTTTCATTTGTTGAGCTTGTTTAGTTGAAATATATGAAGCGTCTTCGAACAGAATAGTTCAGAACAAAAATAAAACTCAGCACAAATTTTTTAATCTGTTTGAGTTTGATAACGATGAGAATGCAAACAAAAATCATCGCAACAGCTGGAAAACAACAAAATGTTTGTATATCGTTGCCATTCGTTTGTTGTTTGTCAAGGAAAACTGTTTGAACTTTATTTTATGTTCAGTTCTCGATTGAATTGAATTTAATCGCCACAAAATTGCATACATAATTTTTAACAACCCGATTACAGCTGTTATTGCTTGACGTCGTTCTACCGTCCAATATGTTACTGTAATTGATTCAACCTTTTTGTTTTATTCTCAAAAAACGCTTAAAAATGTTTTCAACCATGAGAAAAAGCGTTTCGTTTTACGTTTTTTTCACTCATATTTCAATTTATTTTCTTTTCTGTTTACTCAGCTTAGCCAAACCTTAGAAAATGTTAAAACTGGTTTAATTCATGGGCTAGTTTATTTTTTTTGCACTTCCACGCTATGAAAAACGGAAAAATTAAGAAATGATTTAAAGCTTTCGCTTCCGATCTTAAAAAATCAGCGAATAACTTTTCATTAAAGATGATACAAAAGCATAATTTATATGCATAAAGTTGGCAATAAAGTAGAAATTATATGAGTGGCCTGAAAACTCAAAAGTAAGCATGTAAAGTTTTATTACGGTTTATGAGTTTAAAGCAACAATTGTTGGCATGGTAAACTTCCTTTTCAAATTGACATAAAATGTTTGAATTGATTTTTAACAAGTTTATCTAGAGCTGAAGATTTTATGTAAAAGTTTCAATGGGAAACATAAATTCTTTCTTTTTTTGACACAACAGCATTGCTTATCAGAGACATACTAAAAGCATACAATTTGAAGTATTCAATGGATTAAAATTGATTCAAACGAAGACGTTTCGTTTAGATTGAATGTTTAGTGCACAATTGTCAATCTTCTATTTCAACAATTTCATTCTTCTCCTTTTTCCTTGCTTCTTATGCATCATACAACTAAACACAATTGAACGATTTGCTATAAATGATTGTAAGTAATCTTCCTTTTCAATTTCTTCTATCCCAACAACGAAACGTTTTTCATTTTCTGACTTCGACATTGAGAGTTGCTAAGAAAAATCATCCATTAAACGAAATAAAATGTTTTGATATCATTTCATTTAAGTTAATTGATGATTATCGATCAAAGAGTTGAAGCTGTAAAATGAAATAATTCAAAAACATTGTCGAGTTAAAAACGTAAGCAATTGATGCATCATCATTACGTATTACGGTTTACAAACGTTTCAACAAGCAACAAGAATGATGATACACTTAGTTCGTGTTATCATAATAATTTTCCTCTTGGAATAATGTAGATGGTTCGTGCTTCGCTTTAACTGATCTAAACTCGTATACATTCGTTTTCTTATTTAAGCAATGAGACACATTTTTCCGTCGTCATGCTTCAGATCTGAGTAAAAACCAGCAAACGCATTGAAAGAATCTTTTTTATTTATTTCTCTCTCTCTTTACAACAGAAGTTGAGGTATAATAATATGAAATTGTGGAATAAAAAAGCAGAGTTGGTGTAAGTAAGGGGAGCTTTCAGTAACATCAACACTTAAAGATGATATTCAGAAAAATTGTTTATTCACATTAGCCCAAAAGATGTGGAGCAACACGATAAGAGAGAAAAAGAAATAAAAATGAGACAACAAATGTGTGAGAAAAAAAGTTTTTCCTTACAATGCCAATCAGAGTATGAATTTCACACATCTTAGCACCTCGCAGCGACGACAACAATTGTTTGTAGATATCACTAACGGCTCAATTCTTTATCTCACCTTAATCCCGGACATTGTCAGCTAATGTTCAGCATTTATTCCACTTTCAATCTTTTTATTGCCTGAAAAAAAAAGTTAACATTCGTGATTCGAATTGTAGCATGTAAAAGTTTACCATTCGCAAGCTTTAATGGCTCATGGCAAATACGATTTTACAGATGAGAATGAGAATTCGTTTTCACTGTCACATTAAAAGCGGGTAGTAATTTATCTAAAGCATATCTTATTCCTTTTCCTCCCCCAACATAAGTCTTTCCATTCTCTATCTCACACATCGAGAGAAAGCTTGGTATAAATTAAATGTTGTGGAAGTTTAGTTACGACACTGGAAAGTAAAATAAAAAAAAATTTAGAATATAAACTGAGAAAGAGAGAAAAGGAAGCTTGAAAAGTTTCATAACACTGAAATCCGAAACGCCCATATGAAGTTCTCATAGTGGCTTTGAGATTAGCGAAAAATCCATTAAATAAAAGGCGCTGAATGAGAAATGATGTAGCTTCGGACTTTCACCTTTATCGCCATCAAATCATAGACGACGTTAGTTCATTTTAAAAGCATATAATCATCACTCAAACCTCTCTTTGACCGGAACTTTAAGATCTTCAATTACGTATACCTACTCGTCAAATCAAAAAAAAAATACCAGAAGAAGAAGGAAACCAGACAAAAATGTAACATCGCTCAAATCACGAAACTTTTACTTTCATCTGCCTCAAGATTTCGGTGATTGGCGTGAATCTCGTAATCATTTTTCTTCTTCTCGTTTTGCACGGATAATTGAAATATTCGAAAACATATGCAATGGATTTAATTAGAGTTGTGTAATCTAATTGAAAATAAATTTTCGGTTTGAAGATATCCGATTCGTATATTCATGATTGATGTCATAAAATGTTAATTGCCCAGCACGTAAAGGTTGATTGATTCGAAGATTTTGTTGACTTCATCAAAAGTATTCATCTACTTGTTGAAGCGGTTTTAAATGAGGATGGATTATTGTGGGCGAAGTGAAATCTTCTCGAGTGACACTTCCGAAATTTATTTCCAAGACAGCTGCTGAAGACAAATCTGAATTCTCATTAAGATTGAATTATAAAGAATTTCTCAATTATTTTAGTCTTTTCGTGTTCCACTTTATTGACTTCAAATGATTGAATGAGATCAAATGAAGGTTTCGAGTTACATAACTTGGCTTTTAACTATTGAGTTAATAATATTAACACAGTACATCGTAATCAAGTGCGGTGTTTAAAATGAAGAGGCTTAAATTAAATTTAAACTCTGTTTTTGGAAACGAAACGTCCATCAAGAAGAAAGCAAAAATTAAACACTTCATTTGATTGTAAAAATATCATCGTTTGTTGAGTATTCAGAAAAAAAGTCATATTTAGGTTGATTAGCTTTTGGGTTCCTTTTCGAGAGATTTTTTTGTAAAGAAGAAAAGAGAAAAAATTGCACATTAATTATCGAGACATAATGCGACTGTGAAATATGTTTTGAATGAAAACATTTCAGTTTGGCACGATATTGCTCTGAAATTTATTTTACCACCGCCATTAACATGTAATTTTCGTGCATAATGACTTTGAGATAAGATTGTGGCAAGAGATTAGTTATAACTACGATGTTAAAATTGAAAAAGGAAGAAAAAGCGAACTCACATGAAGAAATGTCGTGGTACAAACTTTTCGTGATAATTGAAGAAGGAAAAAAGCTTTTAAAGCCTCAAGCAGATCACTTGATTACCCAAATAAAAGTAAGAGCAAACTTAATGCTACATTTTCGTCTTCACCACAGATTAGAGTACTTTATTTATAATGATGACTTTACTAGTTGCTCTTTGTGTAATATTACGAGCTGCTCCATATTCTTTCTTTCTTTTTTATTCGATGCTTCCCACCCATCATCAAATCAGAGCACAAAAAAAACGAAAACGAACGCGTGATAGTAATTTTTATGATGATGGCAGGTTCTTGTATGTTGTTGTTTGTTTGTGATTTTTCTTTCGTCTTGCACACAAAAGCTGCAATCTTTTCAATCTGTGCTATGAAAGTTGTAAGAAAAACTGTACCAGGACGATGATGAAAGCAAATTATTTCGTTTTGCACTGCTTGTTTGCACTGCCATAGTTTCTCATTAACTGAACATTTGTAACTCGGAAGCATAACTAAATTAATTTTAAATTCATATGTAGGTACTTGTTAAGACTTTTATAAGCAGACTTTTTGTAAACAGTGAAATTATTAAATAACTGAGATAAAATCGCGAAATGTTAAAATTAAATATCTGCTTCAGCTGTCGGTTTAAATTTCTTCTTCTACATATCATGATATTAAATCAGTGATGGAAATTGTGCAAACAAAATTATATCAGCGAATTAAGGAATAAAGAAGAATATTTTCCTATCAAGCAGACGCCCTGCGGGATTTTTTCCTTTTCTTATTGAGTTTCTTATCCTTCCTTTAACAAGATTTTTCTTTAAAGTTTAAAATATTTTCATATTTCAATATGAATTAGATATGAAAAGGAATTTCATGAATGTTTCTTTCTCTGCTTTATTTTCAATGGTCATCTGTCAACGATATCAAATTTCCCAGGCTATTTACAATGATTTTTAATCATTTTCATGTCATTCATCTTCTTAAAAAAAACGAGAAAAACATCGCAAAAGAAACTTCAGATGCATGACTCGAATGATATTCTTTGGACAGCGGTTCTCTAATTCTATGCTAAAATAAGAAGAAAGAAAGTCGTGTAAACATGTCTGGAATTAATAAAATTTTTAATTTAAAACATACTTAATAAACATTATTCGATTTGCAGACCTGTGAAGATTGACAGTGAAAGGAAGAACTTTAAGAATTACATTTTCAGTCGCATTCTCAGATCTGCCCAATATTTATTATATTCTTCTTGACAATATCAACATTTTAACGTCAAATCCAATTCATAATAAAAAATAAAGAAGAAAACGACTTATTTACAGACGACTACAAAGACTAAGAAAATGTGTCGAGGCCATTCTCCAGGCAAAAATGTGTCGCTTAAGTGTACATCAAGCAAATATTTGTTGGAAATTGTTCCACTCACAATCAGAAATTCTTTTTCATCAAATAATTTGTTAAAGCAATAAAAACATCAACAAAAAGAATAACAGATATTTATGATTCTGTGAGCGATTCATTCATTTGTTAGCAAGTAGGCGAGATAGAAGAGAAAGCCATTCGGTAATTAATGCGTGTGGGGGAGTTAGACAAAAAAGGAAAAAAATAGCCATTAATTGCGAAAAAGTGTTTTTATTACCCCTCCCCCCTCTCGCAAGGGCAGAATTAAATTGAAGCTGTTTTTGTTTTTCACAAAAATTATATGGAAAAGCCATGCCATGTTGAATTAAGGAATTTTCAACCCTTTCTGATCTTCATAAATTTCTCTTGAGACAAGACAAACATGATAAGAAAAATGAAAAGAGAAAATCGAAGAAAGGAAAGAAGATTCTATCAAGTCTTTGCTTTCACGAGTAATGAGAAACTTGGGAAGAACTGTAGAAGATTAATAATTCATCGCAATTTTTATCTATGCTTTAAATATTAGCTCGTTTTAATATTTATGAGAAGAAATTTTCGATATTTGCGTGCTGCCTAATCAAGGGCTTATTACAGAAAGCAGAGAATAAATCTCAACATCACAACATTATTTAGTCGAGAGAATGAGGTGCGCGTTGAAGGAAAGTAATTAATTTTCATTAAACAGATTTATTAAAGTTTCGCACAGTATTATTTTTCTGATTACAAAACTAAATGAAATATTTATCTTAATATCTTTTTGTGTTTCCACCCTGCTGTAGCAAGAATGATAATGTTATCAGTTGAGAACTTTCCTTGATTTTAAACTTGAACTCTTAAAACCCACGAAGGAAAACATCTTTTTTATGAAATATTGTTCCCGTCGTGTAATATTAAATATTCAACAAAGAAACTTGAAATGTTTCACGCAATTTTTCCATTAATTAAACATTATCAAAGGAAAACATGGTGAAATATATTGTAAATATTTTTGTGAATTTTTAAATAAGAGAAAACCTTGTAGTAATCAAGCAAGACGAACGTCAGCGTCTTCTTATTGAAACCCCAATGCTTAAGGCACTCTGGGAGCTCTTTAAAACAGATTAAGACATTAATTGGTCGAGCTCTAAATATTAATTTCAGACCAAATGGTGAGAAAAGTTTTAATTACATTGCGCAGTCTGTGCACTTTGTCTGAGCTGTTAATTTCTACTTTTTAAGCTGTATAAGTTGTTGAGTCAATGTTTGTCTTTTTCATCAATTGAGAAATAGTTTTATTTTTATGCTATGTACTCTGATATTTCTTGCATAAACATTAGACATTTTCGAGGGGATGGAAATCTGTTTGAGTTCTAGAATTTCTGAAAGTAAATTTATTATCACCCTCCAAACAATTTAATGCTTCCTGTCAGTGCAACAGCCTGAAATATAAATGTAAATATTATTCTTTCGTCTCGTTTTACTCCTGTCTAATATCTTGATATTGCCATAGTGATTGTTAGCACTATGAAGTTTCTCAGTTAAAAACTGAGCAAATCATTACAACTTTCTGTTTCTGACGAATAAACTTCGGATTTTTGTAAGAAAAAGACGAGAGAAAGAAAAGCTCTAATTACACTTTTGTATGCCTTTAATTAATTTTATTTGTTCATTTTCTTTGGAAGCTTTAAATAAAATTCAACTTCAGGTGTTGCAGCATCGTTCTTCATTAAGTTTGAAAACGAATTGTTCTCTGTCATTTCCCATTTCGTTGTTGTAGGGACTTCTGCTTTTTTTATTCAATTATCAATGTCAGCCACGTAAAAACAATGAAACTTTAACAAATACACGAGAAATATTTCGAGTGAGAAATATTAATTATGAAACTTAATAATGAAACTTTAGAAATGTCTCTTAAAATGTGAATGTGTGTGGGTTAATCAAAACCACCGAAGGAAAAGAAATAAAAATTCAATTAAATTTTATTGTACGAACCCTTATAAAATGTGTTTCTCATACGTGCTTCTCAAATATTTAACGTTATCAAAAGTCGTTAATGGAAAGTTTGACTTAATATACATATGAAGAGACGACGATACCAGCACTTATAAAGTGCTTATGCATGTTAAAAGTTCGACAAACGTTTTATTTGCGAGATTATGACAGACTTTTATTAAAAAAATTCATTTAAAACCTTTCATCTTTGTATGATGTGAAGGCGTTTGCACTCGTTTGAAAGCCAACTGAGACTTCGAATAAGCGACAGAAATTTAATTTGTCTTTTCGACAGCTTTTTAACAAGACAAGCGAGTTGAGAATGAGTGAAATTGATTTTCATTGAAAATGTTGGACGAGAGAAGAAAATTTCTTCATCTTTAACGAAGTTTTTGTTAAATCTCAAGAGCTTCCAACTCTTATAGAAAAATGAAGATAATGGAAGACAAAACTTGACAGCAAACATCCTAGTGCCAGCAAATGAACAGCAGCAGCTATAACTACTTTTTTATGAAAATAATTTTCTGAAAGCATTCCTTCTCGTGAGATAAATTTATCTGCATTAATTTTTTTCTTTCTGCCAACAGTCACCATGCCCCAGGATAACTCCTTGTGCAATGCATTTTCTTGGCGTTTTCCCTTTTCTGTTTATAATTTCCAGAGCTCATTTAAAAGTCTCCAGTTACTTACTTTCATTGAAAACACAAACTGAAAAGTTTTTAATTCTAAATTATGATTTATAGATAATTTAAATTAGTTTATTATTGCAGTGCTGAATAATTTTCCAATGCATATCCTTACATAACAAATTTTGAAATAATAAGAAATCTTGTAAACTCCTACGCAATAGCTTAAAGACAACATGGAAAGGTCTGCTTAATTTAATTCCCATGTTTCACAGAAAGTTTCAGAACTTAGCTATCAGTCAAAGTTATTGAATCCGGGTTTTGATTTTTCGCCTCTAGAGTTTAATTACTATTTCAAAGTTTTGGGTCTTGCTAAGCCTGAAAAAACATTAAGCAGCTTTAGAAGAGATTGAAATCTAATAATCGTGAATGGAGATTGTCGTAGACGATAAGAAAGCAATAAAATTAATGCTCATGTGCTATGTTGAGCTCCCACAACAATCTCGTGACATGAATAGAAATAAATTGAGCAAATCTTGTTTAAAATCAAGTCAAGATGCCAATGCAATTTAAAACACTGACTTCTTCTTTGATTTTTACTTCCCACCAGTGTGTAACATTTGAAATGATACTCTATATTGAATTTAAGATCTAATTAATTTACAATTAAAACAGATACTCAAGTTGCTTTCAAGTTTGTGCTTGATGCATAGCAAAACAAAAACAAAATAAAAAATTGTATGAAATTAGAGACTTTCCGACTCTTGAGACTTGAGACATGGGATCAAGGTTTGTTATCTATCTTGCTGTTTGTTTTCTGTTCGATTAATAATCAAGCTAGAGAGTCAAATTACTTTGACAGTCCCCTTTCTGATTCTGCAGAATGTTAATTCTATCAAATCATTGAATTGTCTCGACATGGAACTCATAATGCTTTTAATAGCATGTGAAGGGTTTCCCATCATGATCTCAATATTTTAATAGCATTCATATGCCATTCATTTCAACTACATCATTAAGCATTTGAAGAAGTAAAAGTATCAGATTCCTTTTCAAATAAATCATACTGGAATTAAGATGATATCAATTAGAAAATGATGGTTGTAGAGTTTTTCTCAAAAGTTTGTTTTAATTATCTTTGAACCCATTTCAATCGCCCGTAGCTTAAGAAATGAGTAATCAAAGAAAGGTATTCATCATCAGTATTCATCGTTTTGAAAGACAGCATAAATGACATCCATCCAACTGTGATTTCATTTTTCCAACTCCAATCAAACGAAAACAGTCAAGATTACAATGAAAAGTAAATTGGCTGCTATCGTTTCTTCCACATTCAATTTTATTGTCCATTTCGTTGACTTTCAATATCCAAAGCTGCGATAGATTGAATCAAATTCCCATTCAACTCAAGTTGCAGCAATTTGAAAATTCATTCGGATAAAAATAATCACGAGATCTATTGTTCTTGCTAATCCCTTTAAACTATTGTTGTCATCCCGACAGCTGACAAAAAAAAGTCACTGCAGAGATGAAAGAAAAAATCTGATCTCGAGCAGCGAGCGATGAATTTCTTTTGCAAACTTTCAATCTGTAGTGGAATGAACGCAGTTATGTTGAAAAACAGATAAAGGAGTCATTGAAAAGTAATGCCACTCTTCACATCACTCATTTGACTTTTATTTCAGTTTCGCTAGAAGTAAAATTTACATTCAGACAAGTTCAAATGAAAAGTTTTTGAGTTTAACGAGACAAGAAAAATTTATAGTTAAAAGATTTGTCTCGTTTTCTACGCGGCTTTATTCAATGGGAGTTTGAGTTGTTTTTCTAAATTGAATTGTTTCCAATGCATCTTAATAAGAAAGAACCGTGAAATTGAGTTTTTAACTGCTTTATACATGTTCGTAGAGTTTTCTTTTTTTAGATCGTCTAATGGAATCACATAAAATGAAAAGCGATTTGTCGTTTCGTTAACGCAATCTCTGATCTTTACTCCACCATAAAATTCACGAGCTTATCCAGATAGACAATGTTGTTAACTGTTTTACATTCAATGTCAAGCACGCTTTTGTATTTCAAATTAGAAATAAAAATATCTTCTTACTGTTGATTTATTCGTAAAAGTTTCAATTGTCAGTAAATATTCATGCACTAAATGATTTTTCACACAATTTTTGTTTGTTTTATCTCAGCACACGAATCTGATTGAAATGAGAAATCATCCATGGATTGCGTTAACAATTTTTACTTCTTACTTTTCAAAATTAACTGGGATTAAACAGTAAAATCGAGTTTCCGTTGTTTTTTGTGTCAACGATTCGAGTGAAGTCATTTCGATCTCTTGAATATTCGAAAGATTATCTTAAGGTGTACTCGTTCCCTACCTCAACTATATATTTACGTATCTATTGAAATACTCTTTCGAATACTAAGCTAACAATCTTTAAATATCTTATGCTTTCGAATGATATCCAAAGACTTAGAGAGATTACACAGAGGATGATGTAGAAAGTTGTGTTGCAAAATGCTTTTTATTAGAAGAAGAATTTGAAGCTAAGCTTGGCTTATGCATTACATCAGAAGCATCAGGATAAGTAATGCGATCTCAAAAGCATTTCGAAGAAGAAACCAAAAGAAATTTTCTTAAAAACTTTGAACTAAATTTATTTAAGATTTTCCAAAGAGGGAAAACGCAAAATTACTTGAAAGATTTTAAGCTTTTTACGTAGTCAAATATGTTTAATGATAATTTTCAAACCTTTTGTAACCTCCCATGAGCTGCCGCTGCAATTAGGCAATCCTACTTTATTCAAAACCTTAAAAAAATTAATTAGACTAAAGCCAGTTAGTGCAAATATCATTATGGAAATATTTATCTTTAAAACTTTTTCTTTCTCTTTCAACAGCTCATCTGAATGTGTCGCTGTCGTCGCTTTAATGTGTACATTGTTCTTATTTCTTCACACTAAAAATCTCACGACTAGACTAAGTGAGATGGAAAATCGATTGACACCATCTGCTATACATTCATCTAATGAATATTCAGGTAAATATTTGCATAAAATGCATCAATGGATTTTTAATTGAATGGCACTTGAAAATTTTAAGCCTCAGTGATTTACATTCAATTTGTGAAGCGAGTGTAAGCAGAAAATCTGTGATGAATTTATCAGAGATTTTACAGCTTAAGTCAAGTATTTTAATATCTTCTTCGTTTATTAAAAATTCAGTTGTGGCACAAGATAAATCTTATTCCCTTAACAATGTTTGTTTAGCTGCTTTCACTGTTGCTCGTCTGATTACAGTTAAAGATGAAATTTTGAGCAAAGCTTTTTAACAAAGCTTTCAAAGAAGTTCATTTGATTAAATCATAAGCAAGTTTAACTGAACTTGTGTACCGCTTTGAGAAATAATGGCAAAGCTTTCTTATGTTGAATGAAATAAGAGCTTTAGCGAGGAATAATCTCACAAATGTGCACACTTTGAAATTCAAATCGCAAAGATGAAGATAGACAACTTCAGAAAAAGAAAGAAAAATTTCCAACGTCATTAAAAAAACAGAAACTCATTAAATTTATGCAACGAGTGGCAGTTTTGCGTCTACAGTTTGTTTTGACGCATTTATCAAACAAATTACATTTCCATTGGAATTCGTTGACATGAAATTGCGGAAAACAAGAAGAGATAAAAAAGAGAGAAGCAGTCAAGGGTGGGGTGATAACAACACAAAGTTAAATGTCTTTCAAACTTCCCCATCGCCTTTGATGATGATTGCTGTTAAAACGACATTTTTTTTGCGTTTTGCTCGGTGGTGACAGTAAAAGTCTAATTGTGTTTTATGGTACTGAAAACCGTGAGGTCTCCATGGTTATGCTAAAATTATGTGTCGTATTATGTACTCCATATCTTCTTTTTTCTGTTTTAAAAGCTTAAATCGCTTCGATTTTATTACCGGAAGAGAATGTCAACTGTACATATCTCACTCACCACCAAAAAAACAAATGGAGATTGCCGAAAATAAAAATTTACGTTGCAAAAAGCGTCAATAAATTTCTGAGAAGGCACTTTGTGACAATACATTACATTCGGCAGCAACAGCGAGAATATCATTTGAAACGAGAAGAATTTATTTATTTTATTTTTTTCAACAATAAAAAGACAAGAAAACAGATCCAAGATGATAAAAATTTAAAAGTAAACGCAGTATAAAACAACATTTGGGGCTACATAAAGCGATTTGAAAAAAAGAACAGAATCATTATCAAGGTTAAGAGTTTTCTTCTTGTATTTCAACTAAGTAAAGTGTGTTAACAAATTTGGCTAAATAAATAAAACAAACTGTACATAACGTTTCTAATTTTGACATTATTTAAATGTGAAGTTGTTCCGTTTAATATTTGAAGAATTCTCGAATGATATTTGTTTAAGGTTTTCATCCTGGCGGTTGTGCGAATTTAAGCTTTTAATTTGTTCATTGAAGCACTTGAAAACGAGCCATGAAGAGAGAATAAATCCCTTCATAGTGAAAATACTCAAATGAAAACCCTTATGGCTTCTTAATGACTATTAAAATGTTCCAACCGCTAACAAACCCCTCGACCGAATGTAATAAGACCGAAATAAATGAAAATCGGAAACAGCAGAACCCATTAGAGGTGTAATAAAACGCTATTTGACTTCGCCTGGAGCATAGAAACGAATTACCGAATGAATCATTTTTAATTGAAATTTATCAAATTTACAACTTGTGTAATTTAAGTTTTCCATCGTTTTCAAAAACAAACGAAACGAGAAATAAGAAACTTTAACTTGAAAAACTATATTTAATTGTTGCCTCAACATTACTTCCATTAATTCATTCTACGCTGAAGCTTCATTTTCAATTCATTCGTATTTTTGTTTGCTGTCTGCCTCTTTTTTCACTCTACTTGTATCATTTCAAATATAAGCAGAGAATGAAAAATGTTCTATTGCGGTTGATATTCTGGTCACGATGAGAATAAATATGTGTTGCAAATTGCGACTGGGACATGTGAATAAAAACAGAAAGCATAAATTAATTGTGCTTTTATTAAAGTGTTTGTCTGTTTTTTGTTTAAAGTTTGTCAACAGTTTTTTAATTAATTAACTTTGACTTTAATCATCAAATGCATTGCACAATAAACATTCGCAATATTTTCTTTCTCTCTTAAAATTGCAAAACTATCTGTCATGCTCACTTTTAAGTAATGAAATAAATAAATCATTTGAAAAAATATTCAAATCCAAATAGATTAAAATTAATGTAATGAAAATCTTAAGACAAACAAAAGCTGATTGTTTATTTTTCAATTATACTTTTTTTTTGTTAAGTTTGAAAGCTTTTAATCTCGACAAACATTTTGAGTTGAATGTTCTCATTTTGCTGGAAGCTCATTCAGTTCCTATCATTAGCTTAACAAGAATTTCATTATGTTTCATATGCAAACCTCATAAATCTCCTCAACCGTTACAATATCAAGCGACTCAACCTTTTAAATGGTCTTTTCTTCTTCTTGGAAATGTAATACTTAGACAAGTCTTGTTCTTGTTTCCTCGAACTGAAAACGAAACCATAAACTATGAATCTGTGAATTTGATGAATAAATGATCATAGGAAATTGCTGAAAGTAATTAAAAGATGTTGTTCTTGTTGTTTGAATTATACTTTGTTACTAAACATCCCTCTTGTCTCGAGATAAATTGCTATGTGGTCAAATTTTAATCAACCGTTCGTCCCACTTTCGTTTATTTTGTTTGAAACCAAGAAAACAGCTTCCATAAAACTTGCTTTCAACTGCTATGGTTGTAAGGCTTCTGGTTTCGTGATTAAACGGAACTTCCTAACAATCGAGTGCTTAAAATTTTCAAAACTTTGTGAGAGTTAAAAGGGCTCTTGTTAACAGATTGTACGTTTCAAATGCAAAGTATTCAAGGAAAAGCACACATCGATTGAGAATCTAAATACATGTTCCATTATGTTGACAACACGACCAGATAAACTCTCAAATCAGATGGTATCAGACGACATACAATGATTACTTTTCTCATACGCTTTCAAATTCAATCTGGAAAATTCGTATCTACTTTTCTTTTTTATTTTTTCATCAGTGAAAGCATCTAAAATGGAGCAGGAAGACAACTTTATCACATATCTAATCGTACAATATGTGTGCTCGTTTTAATGCCAGATTTCCTCCCTCAAGAAATTACATGTTTGGTTAAAGTTACATTCAATATAAAATATTTGTATTTAATTTCTGGTTAAAGAAACACCCACAACTAATTTTTAATTAGGTATCAATATTCAATGTTTACATTAATGCCAACGGTAATAGTTGAAACAATGTTAAAATTAAATTTTATAATTTAGTTTAGTCAAGTTTATCTCATTATTCGATATTCCAATTGAGTATTGATTTACGATTAATTAAATTAATAATTTATGACAACATATTCGTAACATTATTTCGCATGGTTTGAATTCTGTTGAAACTATCATGGAAAAATATTTTTCTCATAATAACTTGATTTACGTGACTGAGTGATGATTTAAATTATTTATTGCCACTATCTAGGATATAAATAATGTTTTTATTAGCAGCTAATAAAATAATCTGAGATAGGAAGAAAGTTAATAAAAATTTTAATTCATTTTTCATTCAATTTTGAAAGAATATTTCAAACATTTTCCTTGTATGGTGAGTAAGGAACGCGATCAATACAAGTAAATTAATATCACAGCTGCCACATTTTACCGTTGTCAAGCATGGCTCACTTGCGAACCGATGGCCTTTGATTGACATAAATTACGGAAAATGAGAAAATCTCACATAACCTTGGAAAGAAATAGTCGAATTTAAATTTTTAAACTGTGAATTGTTAGGTCAGCTTGCATCATGTTAAAATGGAACAATTTATATAAATAGGTAATCCATAACCACGATAATTTAGAAACTTTTCTTGTTGAACAATAAATTATATTTTTAGCTTCAAAATTTGGTCTAGAAAATTTTCATTGGAAAACTTTTAAAATTTTATTTTCCATAAGCTGAAATTTCTGCAAAAATTTGCTGTTCTCATCGTTATTTTTTATAATTCAATATTGAATAAGAAAACAAATTTGATTGAATATCATGAATTATGTACGTTGTAATTGGAAGCTTTTTCACATTTTCATGAAAAGAAAATTTTAATTTTCTTTGAACTTTTCTTTTATCTTTTGACATGTGTAGCGTATGCATAAATCTCAACAAGATTAAAGGCTTCATAAACATCTTTTTGATAACATTGAATCCTAATTTATTTCAGATAATAATGAAGCAATTTTTTCTTCCTTTTCCATGTTCATTCTTCATCAGCACTCAGCAGTGCCAGCAACACCAACAAAATCGATTCTCCCGACAGAAATAAAAACGATGGACTTGACAACCTTTACAAGTATTACAAGAGCACAGGGCAGGTGAGTGAATTTGTGAGATTCCAATCACACGTTTACATAATTAACCTTCAACAAGCCCGTTTTCCCAACATTCTCATCTGATAAAGAGATTTCAGTGACCATGAATGGTTTTGTGGTATACATACGTACGTTTAATTGTTTAACACATCTATAAAACAAGATGATGGCTAATGAAAAGCACATTGACAGTAATTTGTGATGAAGATGGGAAAACCGAAGTTTTGTGGGAAATTTTTGTTCACAATTTGTAGTCTATCCACTATCAACTGTTTGTCTCTTTTTTGCTTTCGACAGATGAACACACTGAACGCCTTATCACTAAACAATACACGTCGTGCCGAAAATCTAATCATTGTTTTTAATCGCGTACCGAAAGTTGGGTCACAAACATTCATGGAACTGTTGCGTCGTTTAGCTGAGAGGAATAATTTTGAATTTCATCGAGATTCAGTTCAACGGATTGAAACGATTCGATTAAAGCCGAGTCATCAACAAGAGCTTGCTGAAACGATATCAGCACTTCCTGTACCTTCAGGTAATGAAAATGATGAAAGCACATAATCCTCACTTTATTATGATTGCGCGCAAAAAAAAGTGTTAAAAAATTTAAAGCCGATAAAAAAAGTAGAAATTTTATTCGTTCACAATCAAAAACATTTATTTTTTGCAATGTTTGTTCGTATCTTCTTGTTACAACCTTAATTCTTTCTAGAAAACATTTTCCAACATGTCGTGAGGGAAAATAACAAAAAAAAGCGAACATATCCCATTGCAGCCAAAAACTGTTTGTGTTTGCTTTCATATCTACGAGTTTACAATTCCTTTCGTTTGCTTTCACATTACAATTTAAAATGAGAAGTTTCTTATCGTAGATAGTTAGAAAAATTCAATTTTCTCACATTCACTGCGATTTTATTTTATTTCTTTGTCTTCACAGCTTACACGAAGCATGTTTGTTTCACAAACTTTACTAAGTTTAACCTTCCAAGGCCGATTTATGTGAATTTAGTTCGAGATCCAGTCGAGAGAATTATTTCGTGGTTTTATTACATCAGAGCGCCGTGGTATGTAAATTTAATGATTCTTGAAATATGCAATTTAATAATTGTCACAGATAATGATGAAGAATGTTTGCTTAGTCATTAAAAAACTGCATTAACATAAATCATTCTCTCTGAAGTGTCGAGCTTATATTTAATAATCGCTGTATGCTTTATTAAGGTATTACGTTGAGAGAAAGCAAGCTTTTCCCGATCTTCCATTACCCGATTCTCGATGGCTTCGTAAAGATTTTCAGGAATGTGTGCTGAAAGGCGACCCTGAGTGCACATACACTCAGGGAGCAACCCATGAAGGAATAGGCGACCATAGACGCCAGACGTTATTCTTTTGTGGTCATGAAGATGAGTGCACGTGAGTTGAGAAAAAATTTATATTCTTGATTGCACTCTAGTCTAAGTGGGATGTGGTGGGAAAAAAGAAATGAAGTTTTATCATGGTTGAATTTTGTTTTTCTTCCAATTTATCAATTGCAGGCCATTCAACTCTGAGTCTGCACTAGAGCGTGCGAAGTACGCTGTCGAGACACAATACTCTGTTGTGGGTATTCTTGAGGACATGGATACAACTTTAACTGTCTTTGAAAAATATATTCCGCAATTTTTTGCGGGAGCATCAGAAATTTATCACAACGAAATTCAAAAGTTCAACAAAATCAACAAGAACAGCTTTAAGTCACCGGTTAGTGAAGAAGTTAAAAATCTCTTGAGACAAAATTTCTCCCGTGAAATTGAGTTTTATAACTTTTGCAAACAACGTCTACACACACAATTTCTCGCTGCAAATTTGATGGACCTAAACTGAACAACTCATCTGAAGCGAAACTTTTGTGTTTGAGAAAGAAAAAAAATAAAGAAAAGAAAAAAGCTCGCTAAACTTTCTTCAAAACATGATTCTCTTTTTTTTTCTTTCTACACACAGCAAAAGCTTCATCATAGGAGAAACTTTTAATTTGTTTCGAGTGAATTCAAGTATGAACAATCATCGAATACAGAAAAGGAACGGGAAAGTTGCATCTTCTAAGTTCTATTCAAGATCTAGAAACTTTATTTACACTTGCATATGCTAATTTAATTTAACATTCTCTCTCAAATCATATCAACATAAATATCTTCGCTCAACTATTGTTCGTGTAAATAAAAACTTTATTTTTACAACAATGAAATCTTTTTATATGTTTTCATATGATTTTGTCGTGAAACTTTGCATTTCTCTTTTCTTTTATTTTTAGTAGCATTTGATATGCAGACACACTGACGAAGAAACAGACGAAAGAGTAATTAGCGCTTTTAATGGAGACACAGTCAATGAATACTTGACAAATAACAGCAAACGGAAGCAAATGAGATTTCAACTTCGTTGAAATTATTTAAAGAACTTTCACCATGACGACTTTTAAACTTAAATGTCTTTTGTGTCTGCAGATAGCTATCATTTCTTTCTTATTTTAGTTGCTGCTATTTAAATGTTTTATGATTAATAAACAAAAATTTTTCTTTCCAAAGTTGGAATTGGAATTCATAAAATATGTATGAATGAAAGATATTTCGTATAATTGCTTCCTAATAATTTTAAATGATAAAGAAATTTACTTCTTTGTGTATTTTTATTATTGAAATTCTTAAAGTTCTCTTCTTCTTCTTCATTTTTTTATTTCATCCAAAAGAAGTTGAAGAAATCTATTTAAAATTCGAAACAAGCTTTCTAGATCTAAATGAGCTTACGATGTTAACCGCAATTCAAAACGAGTTTTATGACTTTTAAGATTTTTCCTATATTCATTCCATGTCGTCGTTGTCTTTTTTTTTACGTTTTCACATTTTCTATCGTGCTTCAGAAAGAATTTTTTCGAATAATAAGTTTCAATTTTCCGGAGACGTGAAAATATTTTCCTTGTTCCGTTGTCTCTTTCTTAATATTTAAAATATCTTTTCTTATTTGGCAAAGAGGAAAATAAAGTTTCGAGATGAAGAAAAGAAAAGTTTAACAGTTAAAAGGAGTTTGGATTTTATTTATTTTTTTATGTTTCGTTCATTTTTCATTGAAGCTTATGCAACGACATTTCTCGAGGAGGGTAGACGAACAGAAGTGTAATTCATGATTCTTGAAGAGACTCTTGTTAATGTTTCATGACGTTGTTGAGCATAAGCTTGAAACATATCACCAGTCAAGACAGCCAGGTGTAATAAAATCCTATAAGTATATCATCTCCGCCTCCTCTTAATAAAATGAAGGAAGAAAACTAGACGAACTAAAAGAAAATCAATTTTTCCTGTTCCTTGCATCTCTGCCCCAATTTTCGTGTGTTGAAAATCTCGACATGCAATGATAGGATATGAAAGGGTGAGACTTCATTTTCAAGATTCACTTCGCAATATTTTTTTCCAACGAAGGGTGTGTGGGAATTTATTTTGCTTGTTTTCAACTTGGTAAAAGTTTCGTTAAGCTTTTCATTTTTTTCCTTTTGTATCTCGGTATGTTTTACAAATATTTCAGAAAAAATGAGAACGGAAAACTACAGATTGGATAAACATTTTTTTAGAGAAGAATTTTATCTTTCTAATATAACAATTGACATCATAAACCCTCAGTATCTCATCAAGTGGCAGTTTCTTCAGTTGCCACATCAGTTGACACATTCCAAATTTGCGTTTTTCCAATTGACCTGATTTCATGTTCTTTTCTCCTCTTTTATTGTACGGAAACATCGTGTATATGAATTGAAAAATAAAGTGATGTTCTTAACCTTTACAGAATTCTATACGATACTTTACCAATTTTCGTACGGTCGAAAATTGTGTTAGAAATTTTGTTCAATCTTCAATTGGGAATTGAAAATAAAAAAAAAAGGTTTGACAAAGTTCAATCGAAAGGAAGATATTCAATATAGAATGCGACAAAATGAAACTAATTGAAGTGGGAACGTAAACTTCCGTAAACTGTGACTGACTCACACCTATTGAAAATTACAACTGAATTGAATCAATATGACTAACGAAAAAAACGACGGCGCAAACATTTCCGTTGAAATAAAAAAATGTTGTGTAACTGATAACGATTGCAAAAGCATTCTCAATGATACAAGCAAATGAGTTCCGTAATTTCCGTAATTTAATGAGTTTTTTTGATGCTACGATCGATTTCATTAATTATACCGATTACAGATTTAGTTGTAAAAACATTTTATGTTTAAAAGAACGTAAAATATTTTAACGTAGGTTGTAAGGATTGATATTTCATTTCAAAGATTAAAAATATATTTTAATTCATTAAATTACATGAATGACGTATTTGTATTCATTGAAGAAATTGTAGGAGTTATTTAGACTCACGTTTCTTTGGCAAGTAAGCATTCGCTTTAGTTATCGTTTTTAATCTATTCGTGAAAAAGATTAAAAGGTAAAATTAGTTTACTTTTCATCCTTCATAGAATTATTTCGTATTATTCTTCGACTTCCATAGAATTATTCGAGTAAAAATAAATTTAATTATTGCTCTTCGACAATTTCTTGTTCATAACTTAATGATTTATTTCTTTCATAATATTCCTACATAAACCTTTCAAGTACATTTACGTCATAATTTTCCAAATATTCAATTGCTCGTTGACTTTTGAATAATATAAATAATTAGCTTTACCAAAGCATTGAATTATAAACCACGAAAAGAAAATTCGAATCGATTAAATTCCTATACGAATATGTTTTCAATGAAAACAAAAATTAACATTTTGCAATAATAAAAATTAATTTACACAATTAAACGATGAAATTGAAAAAAAGTACTTTTTCTTCAGATAAAACCAGTTGATATGAAAAACATGATGTTGTTTAACAGCTACAGTTTATATTTTTTAATCATAAGCTCATTAACATGTTAAAGCTTAAATTTCATTGTAAGCAATACAATTATTTACTTTCAGAATCTTTCATGTACGCACATACATTTATTCATCGTTATAAATTGTTTAAGTTTTTGATGAAATTAAACTGAATGAAGGAATGTTCATTTTTGTAATACGTACTCATATATCATCACTTTAATAAAAGGTATTATGAAGGTAGATTAAGACAACAGCAAAAAGTTTATGTGAAACTACCACGTGTAACGCCCAACTTTTCGCATTAATTATTTTCTGATTAACTCACTTTTTTTTTTTCTTTATCTCTACTATGAATAATAAAGGAAAAGTTCAACTTTTTTTTATCCTTCCATCTGATGATGATAACAGAAATATTTTCATCGTTGTCATGAAACAGCTATTTTGAGAATTTACATATCATCAATCTTGTTTGGGTGCTAGCTTACTCTAGCTCTTTTGATGAGATGTAAATCATGATGTAAATGATATTTATAGAGAAAATTGATTTTCTCTTTTTTTGCCTTCATGACAGCTTCATTTTGAGGCTTTATCATATTTGTGGGAAAATTTAAAATATTTTAAATTGATTGCATCTAAATAAATCATCCACCTGGGTATTACGGTCCCATAATCGATTCTTTTCATTCAAAATTTCATTCCAAAATCGTTGATGAAGAATCTATATCTATCGATCATCTATTAAAAGCTTTCATCCCTTAAGAATATATTTTAGAGAATAAAATTTATTTTTCGTAATAATCATAATTTTATTTCTCAGAATTTATTTTCAATTGTAGGAAATTTATCAACAAAGCAATACATTACCTTAATTAAAGTTCAATGAAGAAGCGTTTAAATATTCAAAGTTTTATTGATTTATGTTCGATTCCTGTATGCTAACGAAGTGCACCGTTCAACTTTTTTCTGTTCCATGCTGCGCTCGATATTAACGTAAAAAGAATTCTTACGTTTCTTCCAATACGCGAAATGTTCGGATTAAATATTTTTACTAACATTCCTTCCAATATTCCAATACGACTTCCAGCACACTAACACTTCTACACACAACCAATCCATGCCGTGTTAGGCTTATGCCGACATTTGTTTACAAAGCATGGAAAAAAATAGACGGTAGACGTCTATTGATAAAAATAAATGAAATGAATGTGTGTTAATCGTTTATTTATGAAAAAAGAAAAAGAAACGAAATGATCCAAAACATGTGACTGCATTTTTAAATCGTTTCCAAATTTTATTGCTTGTTAAATATTTGAAATCTCATTTGCTTAAATGATAAAACTTTTATTTGGAACATTTTTTGATAAAAAGGCAAGCCACATGAAAAATCGATTTTTGTGTTTCTTTTTTGTTATGGTTGAAAGCTAAAAGCATAAGGCGCCTCAGTACAATTTCATTGCTTCACAGTTCATTAACGAATGGGGAGAAAATTGCTGCACGAAAGAAGTACATTTGGAACAACTCAAAAAAGGAAGGAAAGGAAAAGAAAATATGTTATAAAAACTTTAACATCTCATCCAATTCCCTCAGTTCTACTTATTTACGTTCTCCTTATCTTGAAAAATGTTTCCACAATTATAAAGTTTCGATGTTTAAGTCGTTGGCTCTATTTAGCTTGCTATGGCGCAAGCTATGGCGAATGTTTGTGAAAAAATAAATTCAAGGAACAGCATGAAACGAGAAAAAGAAAGAATGAAATGAATGGCTCATAATCTTCAGTTTGTATGTGCATAGATGTGCTTCTTCCTTTTTTTTCGTATTGGAACTGTAAGACGATACAAACTGTAACTACCACTAATGTAACAATGCTGGCCTTTGCAACATAAAAGAAGCATAAATGTGATGTGTACATATTGTTAAGAATTGAAGGTCAAGTATGAATTCTTTACAAGCCTTTCAATTCAATTTGAATTGCGAAATGAAAACCCTTTCTTTTATAACATTTAATATTATAGAACCAAAAAGAAATGTTCCAAATGTTTAAATGAAATTCATTTCTTAGATTCCCACGCTTGTGTTATTTTAGATTCAAGAACATTTGCTATTCTTCCGTTCTGAAGAAAAAAAATTGAATCACATGATGAGTCAACATAAATTATATGACATCATAAGTTTCTCAGCAAAAAAAATTCTTTTATGTGTCATTCGAATGATTATTAATAAATAAATTAAATTTTTTTTATTGACTTATATTTCCAATCTCGAATTTCAAATCAGAACTCATGAATTCTGACCTCGAACGGTGTGGGTTTGATTATATGATCTGGTTGATAATGTGAAATTGATAGACTCAGCATTTTAAATTTAATAAATCATCCAGAGAGTTTTTTTTTTTATTAAATATTCTCATCGAACCTCCACAAACATCGTTTGAAAAAATAATTGACCATCGACATTGATATACTGTTGCGATATTTTCTCATCTACAATCGTGCAACATACATTTAAAATTTAAATACACTAAGAAACATTACGAAACCGGTCTGGTGAGATCTTAAAAATGCTTCTTATTGTTATTTTTGTTTTCTGTTTTGAACTTTAATTTCGAAACTCAGCATCAATACAAAGGCTATTGAAGGTTCCATTAAAAAGTTTATTAAACACTGTGACTGTTCTCAAAGCTTTTCTACGTGAAGTCAATTATTTTTTAGGTCATCACACTTTTCGACTAAGATCTGAGATTGACATGCTTGATAAAATAAATGTTTAAGTACAACCAATCATCGAACGACATCAATAAACAGATTTTTTCACAATTTCAGTAAAAATCAATTTTTGAATAAACGATTTTTAATGACTGTGAATGAACCACATCGATTTGATAGACTTTAATGTTTTTATGATGAATCAAATTGAAAGTCGATAACATTCTTACCATCGCGATGGTTTTAAAATTCATTAAACTTTAACATTAAAGTGCTTTGGAAAGAACTTCATTCATAAATGAATTTTTAAATGGGTTTGGTTTCCATTCTCAGTAAGTTTGTAATAACTTTTATTTTATTCTTTTATTTGTGATATGTAAGTATAAAAAGCATTTTGCTAATGAATGTTTGGGATGTTCGTGTTGGAGAAGTTTCATATTTAGTTTAGACCGCAGAAAAAATCGATTCACAACAAAAGTGGTCGTTGTAGTACTTTATGAAAATATATTTTTATAATCCGGTCATTTACTATATTTAAAGCTTTTGCTTTTCTAAAACGTTACAGCGACTTTTTCTTTCTTATTAAGTTTGTAATAAGCTGAACAGTAACCACAAAACATCAATATTTAAATGAGAACATTACATTTAGGTTTAGAACGTTAAAAGGTTTGCTTTCATTATGAGTCGCCTCAACGTTACATGAATAATTTTTTTTAAATGAAGGCAGAACAAAGAAAATCTTTTGGTAAAGCAAAGCAAAACTTTTATTGTAGAACCTAGACAGACATATTGCTCCACAGCTACCGCATCACTAATGTTTTCTTATAATTTCATTATAAATGTGCATGAAAAATTGAAAACATTTTTCTCCAAAAATAAAACTCAAAATTTCATACGTCCTTTGAAATATAAAAAATGTTGAATATTAAATAAGTTAATCTAATATTACTAGTAAACCATGCATATAAAGCAGCTGCTACATTTAAACTCCCCATTTTTAAAGAGATTTAAACACAATTTCCATATAATTTTGATCCATGTAAAATTGCTTTTAAGGTCATAGTTTGTAGGATATTTACAAATAAAAATCTTCATACGACAGGTATCATTATTTTGCCTTAAAATATCAAATAAATTAACTTCTACCCGAATATAAACATTGGAGAAAATTAATGTTGATAACAGAGAACCATTTCAATCTTTCACAAAATTTGTAAATTTGTAAATTATTCAAACAAATCGAAGTTTAAATTGTACAGCAAACCACTGTAAAACGAAGCCCTTGCGATGCATGATATCTGAGATTAATTGGATTGATTTATACTGAATGGTCTTGCTTTACAACGAACTGTTATTGTTATATGCTGGCAGTAGAAGTGAGTGATTTGCGTTGTGATTTTATCGATATTGGCATCGATATTGGCATTTGGACGAAAAGCAGAATGAGGGAAAACAAAACTGAATAAAATTTGTAAGGGGCGAAATTTACGATGCACTGAAGACACTTGGGAAAGTTTTACGTTTTACCTTCCTTCGTTTCCTTTCATTTGTTTTATTCTTTCATTACTCAATGCCACGACCAGCAATGAATGTTTGAAGCAAGCATTCAAAGCAACATAAATAGATAAATGAAGCGAATTGAAACATATGTTGGTTACACCACGATGAGTTTCAGTTCTCATATCCTCATAATTTCGTTTTCGTTTTCACGCCGTCTGAGTTTTCACCTTTCGTTGTTGGCGATCGTAAACATAACGAAAAAGAATTCACGGTCGAAAGGAATTTATGCTGGAGATGTTGGTCACTGCGTCTTCCATTTCCCAATTGCGTTGTTGTCGGTTTTGCCCTTTCCTAACTTCCTCCTTTTTCAATCTTCTTGACGCCAATTTCATTAACAAAATAATTATTTTCATGTTGATATCGTCATCCATGTCCATGTGTGTCGTCATCTCTTGGGATTTCTCCTGCTTTCCCTTCCTTATTCGTTCTACGAAGTCGTTGTTGTCGTTGTCATATGATACGACGACACCATCAAATTAATTTCCTAACTTTGAAACTCGAATGCGTGTTGAAATGCAAAAAAGAAGAATTTTCTTCTTAATTTCCTTTGAAACGTTTAAATTCTTCAAAATTGTTTATGTTTCAGTTATTTTTGGAGTGTGATCTCAGATCGACTTTGGAGTGAAGTTCTTTCGTTAGAATTTGGTGAGTTGGTTGTGCTGATGTTCCACGACAATGAATAATTTCCAAACGCTTACCATGCATGGCCATGCAACCCCTGAGAGATTTGAATAATTCATTGTTGGTCTCTTTCCACTAACACAGTTTCTATTTAACTTGTTTATTCTGGCGTTAATTCACCAACTATAAAATGCAATACTTTGATATTGAGAAGCTTTGCAGTTTGTCTGCTTCCTTCTTTCTTTTGTTGCTTGACGGTAGAACTTGCTTTGGTTTCTCGTTGCCAGTTGAACATTTTTCCGCATATTCGATCGCTTCATTGCAATGAAGATGAAGAAGAGAAGAAGAGTGGAATTCAGATTTCAAATAATCCATTTCAAGTTTCTGTGTTTATGAATATTTAACAAGAAAGAGGAAACATTTTCATTGAAACTGCAGAAAGATGCAATGCGAAGTTGAACACTTGAGATGACACAATCTGGAAGTCAACAGCAGCTTCTTTTTAATCTTTCATGAAGCATGTGGAAGTTACATCAACACATTAGTTGTGGATTTAAGAGATGCGAAGTTTATTTCAAGTTAAGTTGCTTGATGGAGAACTCACGAGAAGTTGGATTAGTTCCTTCCTGATTCCATTTGTGTGTTGTTTTGCTTCATTGCATTCGCTTTCTCCCTTAAATTAAAAATGTTTTTGCACAAAAACATAATCAGAACAAAAGTTGGCGAGTGAAAGTGTGAGATGTGAAAGAATGCACAAACATCCGATGGATGAGAAGGAGAAACTGACTAGGAACAGAATTTCCAGTCGTATTTTTAGAATCAACATCGTGAAGCAACGAATAACGAGCAGATGTTGCCACTTCTGATGCCTTCTTGCTTTTGATTCCCGTTCTGATTTTGATTCATTGTTGTGAGAAGTCGAAGGGAGTCTGAGAGAATGTTTATGTGCGTTCCGATTTGTTTGTGATTTTAAATCATTAAAAGCGTCGATATGGGATTGAATATCAAAGAAATTCTTTGTAATCTCAGAAATAATTGAATTCTTGTTTTATTCTCGCTTTGAGTGTCGAGTAAACAATTGTTTTCGACAAATTTTACATTCTCCGCCTCAGCACTCTCTTCTATCGATGTTTTATCAACATTTGTTGTCGGAATAATCTTAAAGTTCATCGTGCTGTGGTGAGATCATCAACATCACGACTTCTCAACTTTTCAACTTTTCCAAAAATTTATCTCACAGCAAATGATCGAAACGTTTCCATTGAAATTCAGATGTTGATTTCCTTGAGTGTTTTGTGGTTCTTCTGGTGACTAAAGAGTTGAATTTAGGCGACGTTTGTTGGTTTTCAATCAAATTTCCAATATTCGGAAGCATCGAAGCATGTCATGTTACTTATCATTCATCTGCACGAATATAAATTCATGTGAAATTGGTTTGATTAATTAAATGATGTTCATGTCACACCCATTTTGTTGTTGTTTCGGCATTTGAAGCTGTTCGATGTTTAAGGAAGCAGGAAGAGTCGTGAAATAATGAAATTAATGTAACCATGGTTCGGCTTCTTCGTCGTCTTCTTGTTATTGTTCTTTCTTCCCAACAACGAGTGACATCTGAAGAATTGATGAGGGAAATTATTTTATGTTCAGGATAAAGTCGAAGTTGTTGATGTTGTTGGTGTCGATGTCGCTTTGTCATTTCACATTTTTCAAATTTCCGAACTTCACAACTTTTAACAAGTTTTTATTTACGAGAAGAACTTTCATTTAGTCAACTATTTTGGGATCGGTTACAGCACGTCAACGATGGAGATCCTAACAGAATGAAGAGCGATGTTCAACATGATGATGATGTTGCGTATTTTCATGTTTGTTGAATGCACCTCAACAACACGAATTTGTACATTAATCTTTGTAGGCTTTGAATGTTTGTGATTCTTTTTCGTTGTTTTGCGATTTTCGACGACTTGCTTATGTTGGCTTTGCAATGAGACAAACAAAAACTGAACGCCGAGCTGATATGAAAGAATAAACGAAACGGAGCGGAATGAAATCTCGGAAACTCCTCCAATGGGAATCGTGATGATGTTAAATGTGCTGTTGCTCGAATATGAAGATTTATCTTCTTGTCGACTCTGAAATTGGAGAATTTAGGTGGAGTGAATGAACGAAATGTTCTCGGACTCAGTTTTGAGTTGTTTTGTCTTCCCTTCGAAGGAAGATAATGGAACTGATATTCCCTGATCCGGAAGTAATTAAGATCCATTGAAGACGTACAGAACGGAAACCAGAAAAGGTTCTAAGCATCGTGATTTATGAAGAAGGCAAATAACGGCGGCTTGTAATACATTCAAAGCTTAAATCGCGGTTATCACATAAAAGAAACGACAAATAAATCTTCGTTTATAGCTGCACCACATTTTTGGCTACCGCGTTCCATCGAGAGTCGTTGAGTGTCAACAAGCTCAGAAGCAGAGACGAGAAATCTTCTGAAAAGGACTTTTATGTCTTTAAAATTAAATTACATGTCGTATATTTTATCGGGAATGTCTTAATACTTCCATTGCCTCTTTCATTCCTTTTTCCTTTCTGCCTTCACCGTTTCTCTCTTTCTTTTCTATTCTAAACTCGACCTCAATTTACAAAAGATTTGAACTTTTCCGATCACAACCATTGATCTTGATAACCGATCAAAAAGGAGTAAAGATTAATTCAGAATGTCATTGGCTTTGATTCCAAACACATTCAACGATGGAATGAAAATTGTCATTATGAAAGTCACAAAAATTGCGCTTCATTTACCCACCACCAAATCAAATATTCAACAACTGATAAGATAACATAAATATTGAAGTGAAAACTGAGTTAAATGTTTTCTTTCTTCTGTTGATGGCGACACAAACATTGAAAAAAAATCGATTTGGTTTTATGGTCGACTATCAACGAGTCGTTTTCTTATTTATAACTTCGGAGAAATATTAATTGGATGTTTAGGTTTATGCTCTGTCGGATTCACTTTTACAACTGATTTATGAGAATTTGTCCGCGTGTCTCTTTAACAAGGCTCAAGTCGTTTTCTTTTCAATTTTAAATATTTGATCATGAGAACCTTCCTGAAAATGTTGCACCCTTTATCCTGTTGTTAATAATATTTTTTCTGCTAACTGAACTGGTTCTTAAATTCTTTTTTATTCTCCCATATTTTAATAACGTTCGCACAACAATCCATAAATAATTTAAACACAACGCGAACGAAACGAATTCCATATGTAAATTTTATACGATCAACCGCAGGAATTCATATTAATTCATTCCCCCATTTGAAGTTGAAATGTGTGTTGAATTACTTGCAATGCATCGAGAAATATAAACATTAAAAGCAAACAAAATATATTCAAAATCCTCTTGCCACAAGGGTTTATTACAGTTGCATTAAAACCCAATTACGATGTACTTCTATTTGGGTTTTTCATTTGCCTTTTAGAAATTAAAAATGTATACAAAAAAATCATCCAAAGAAAATGTTTTCTTTCCACATTTTAAACAGTGAGTAGCATAATTTATGACATTGTTTCATGTTTCATGCTTCGTAAATGTTTTAAAATTTACTTCACTCGATATTTTTCACATTTCGATTTTTCATTTGTTTTTAGAGCTGGAATGTAATTGTTTATAGTTTATATTGCTTCTGCCTCAGATTTTTCTGCCCTTTTGAACATAAATACATGGCTGGCTGCACTGCATTACATCAAGCTGGATTTGGTGTTCGATGGTTTAAAACTTTTTTTTATAGTTTATGAGGATTCATTAAATTCTCTTTAAAGATTTATGGGTTCATGAATCTTGCTTTTCTAGTACTAATCCCAGTGAGAATGGAAGAAATGTGTTTCTTAATTATTATCGTTGCACTTTGTGACTTTTATTATCGCTACAAACGATGTTTAAAATTTGTCAAAAGTTAACCCGAAAACAGATAAAAATTCTTTTAAAAGAAAGTTGTAAATTTAACGAGTTTCATGTTTCTCATGAACCTCCAGCAATTTTAGCAATCGTAAAAAGGAAATTTGATCGTAAAAAATCATAATAAACTAATCAAGAGGCAAGAAGTCAGCATTTTGATGAACTGAGTGCAAATAAAAATTATGATGATACACATAGCAGCAATATATCTTATTAGCGTTAAAAACCGTAGCCATAACCGCAGCGAAACGTTCTCATTTATGCACGAAAAAATCATAAAACTTCTAAAGGAGCGAATGAAATATGATCAGAGCATAAAACGTAGATTTAATAAATTATATTTGCATATATGATTATATTATTCCAGTATTTTTGTTTCATTTTTTTCCTATTTAGTATGTGGGTGTGGGTGTAGCATTTTCACATCACCACCTTATTTTTCACGTTGTCAGTTCAAGGACAATCGAATTAAGCTACCTCTTTGTTACTTTGTTGTTTTTAATTCAAAAACATACACGACGGCTCAATTAAAAGTTCTCGCACATTATACTTTCTCGTGTACCTTCCAAAGTCTCTTCGTGATGTTGATTAACATCATTTTATGACACTAATTTTTTACCATTAATGCTTCACGTTTATTATCGAGGCGAAATGCTACTTTTTTTTGCGCAACATGTCACAAAACGTAAGATCTTCCATCATTCTGCCAAAAAACGAGCCAACTTTTCTTCGTTTTACCTTTTCGACAAGGTAAAATAAGTAAATTGCGGAGGAAAGTTTCACGCATTTACCGCACGCACATCCGCATTCCTTCGTCTCGAATCTCGTTTCACGAAGAAAACATAAAAATAAAAGTACAACGAAAAGAAAAGCAAGGAAAAATGTAAACAAAATGTAGAAAGAAATATTTATTATAATAAAATTAATCATAAACATCGACTGAAATAGAAATTAATCTACGTTTTGAAAAATTATCAAACAATTAATCGTTAAAGTAGATTTACAACTTAACGGAACTCGACTTTATTATTGCATTTTAAATATCTACAAAATAAATGAATTAATGAATAAGAAATCCTTTACATGTGCCACAACGTAAGTTGAAAGAAAAGCGAAAAGAAATTAAGACGATTACTTAATTAAAATTTTTACCTTCAATGAATTTTCACAAGGAATTTATGGTTGCGAAAAGGAAAAACTTTTCCTAATGACTTATGAGCTTCCTCCGCACATCACATGAAAAACGCGTAAAGTTCAAGGCTCAGATTATCTTCTTAACTTATTTTTCCTTCCTCTAAGGTTAATTGAAGTAATTTTACATGTCATGAGAGTGCTACGCGAGAAAGAAAAAGAGATTTTCAGGTTCAGAAGTCTTTCATTACCTCAACATTCCTTTGAGTCGCAGAGTATCTCGGTAGATTATTGTCATTAAAAAACTCTTCATGGTTTCAAAGGATAAATAATTACATTAAGTAGAACAAAAGGAATGTTTGTATGAAGAGCATGCACGAATGGGAAAAGGCAAATCAACATCATTCATGACATTTGCTATTGTTAAATTAAAAAGTTCAGAAAACAGGAAAAATGATGAAAAAGTTGTTTATCTGTTTTCTTACAATTTTCAGTATTTTCTTTTTCATTCATCCAAAAAGAAAATTATTCCGACATCAATTTAAAGTTCGAAGAAAAAAAAACATTCAGAAACTTTCTTCCATGAAATTGTTATTGTTGTGAGTTGAAAACTTTATTAACCTTCATCTTCAGTTGTCTCCTTTCAATTCAAAATTTTGAACCATGTTTGAGAATAATTACTCACAAAAAGCTTCAATCACGTTGTGCTGACAAAAGTTTTTCGTCCTTTAAAATCCAACTTACAATTCACCAAATGATGTCGCAACCTTGTAAGGTATCCATAAGCTTCAAGAGATTTCAAAAGTTCTCCGAAATGTCTCATGAATCTTAAAGACTTATCAAGGTCAATGTTAAGGGACGCATAATAAAAGCGAATTTTAAATATTTACATTGAGTGGGAAATTTAACTTGAGAATTAACAAATTTAACAAATCGACCTCCTAATTTTTTATTTTTCATCTTCACTTTATTTCTTGTCTTTAATATAACGTTCATCAATTTATTATAATTTTTATTTCGATGATTATCTAGATTTATAATATAACTTAACTAATTATTTTACAATTCTTTTTTCCTTCTAATGACTTCAAGAGACTTCAATATAAAAAAATATTTAACATTTTGTGTTTATGTAATTTTTGTTTCTTTGATTATCTTGACAAGGTTTTTTCATATCAACTTTTTATATATTTTTTTACTATCGTAATTACACGAAACTCAATTGAATAGAAACTTTAGTCAATTGAGCTTATTTGAGTTTTTGATTAATAATAAATTTGGAAAATCTACCATTACATTTAAGTATTGTTTTCCGTGATTCGTTTCATCCTTTAAGTTTGGTTAGCAAACAAAACATTGACATCTATTCAGTTGAGTTGAAACATGAAAATGGCAAAATTTACAATGAATTTTGAGTTTTTCATCAAATATTGAGTTCATTACACATCTAATGAGCTGCATCATCACAACAACAAAAAAAAGTAAATTACAATATGCTTTTCACGATCATTATTCATTAATTAAAAATCATTGAAAATTAAATTAATGAAAAATAAAAGCTATTAATAGTTGGGAAGTGGAAGTAATTTAAAATCGTACACAACAAAAAAAGATGAAATTAACCGCGACTAATTGAAGTCGCCCTGGTACAACATTCGAAACGATGTTATGTTAGTACAATCATTAAGCGGAAGAGAAACTCATTAATATTTAATTCAAAGTGACCTGCAATATTAGATGGAGAAGAGAACGTAATAGCGATGGATAAACACAAATGTTATTGAAACTACATGGTAGCAAAAACAAAAAATTAGAAGGTTAATTATGAAAGAAATATTTATAAATAAATTAATAAGTCCACTCGAATGTCGAGCTTTTCTCTCATAATGACATAAAAATCATGCAACGAAATTATTTTATTTTATCGCTATAATGTACAATGGAAAATCAATGACAGGAATGTAGATAAGCTAGAAACATTGTTATGTCAGCGATCGCAACTTCTGCTCGCTTTCTAATGAATTATAAAATAAGAATAAATTAATGAAGCCATTGCTTGAAATAAGTACTTTCGTTAAATGAAAAATCGATAATCGACAGCAGCCAACTGATTGCGGTTTCAATTTATTGCGGATAAATGTATAAGCGTGAACTTGTGTCAGACAATCTGCTCCCACATATTTAAGTGTTAATATTTTTTTATTGAATTATTTATGGTGGTCATCCGGACTGTTTGTGTGGTTTAATAATTCAACAATATTTTTACTGTTTGATATTGATCGTGTTGGATATTGAATTCTGAGCTTATCATGAACCTTTCTTCTGCTGTGTTAAGTCCCAAGTGGTTTTTCTGTCACATAAATTCTCATAATTTGATGTCGAACTCAATTAATTAAATCCGTAATTCATTTTTTCTCGCTGCTGTTAATTATAAGCATTAAATTGTGTAATGTTTCAGCGAAAAAGTTTACGATCTAATAATTGAAGCGTAAAGTTTGTTCTATAAATTAATAAAACAGACGTTCAATGATCTTCTTAGGAGAGCTTTAAAGAAAGGAAAATAGATCGTAAGAGTATTGAAGATAAGCTGAATATTTAAGTAAGCAACCGTCGGTTATAAAAATGAATGAAATTGAAAATAAACTCAAACGATGAGAGGCATAAATGAAGGGGAAAAACTATAGAAAAATCATGAGCTTATTGCAGCGGAAAAAAGAAAAGTTACAAAATATGTATCATAAATATGATTTTAGACAACGTAATTTTCCATGATATGAACGAGCGAATATGAGCATTGAATAAAGGCATTTTCGATGCAAATTTATGCACATATACAATGAGAAAAACATTTTCATTCTGCTTTTCCCTTTTTTTCTTCTTTCTTTTCATCAAAAAGGAGAGTAAAAGGAAAGAGGAAAATTTATACATTCAATTTCTGTGCTGTTTCATATGTTTTTCATGAGATCGTTTCAAAATTTCCACGTTGCTTTGTCGTAAGGACATAAAAAAATAATCGAAAAAAGTTATTCAACTTATTCCGATATTACGTCGCATGTTTAAAAATTCGTAAAAGAAAATTCTTAACAAAATAAATAAAAGAAAAAGAAGAAAATTTTCTTATTCAAAGCTAAAGTGAACGATAATGAAAGAGATTGCTTGACATTTTTAATTTGTGGGCAGTGGAAAAAGCAATAAATTTTCACTCTGTTAACGTCATTTTTCATTATACCTCTGAGATTACGTTTGACTTTTCCATGCAGCAGTTTTTCCACTCAATTTTAGTTGAAAAGTCCTTCATAATAGACTTCCAAACAGCACAAGACTTTCCGTTGTATTGTGAAAGTCTGATTCGAACAAATTCCGCTAAATAATTGTACATTCAGGATTTCTAGTAGAAAACAAATTAAAACTGCTAAGTGCTTTTGCTTTTGCTTTTATTTATATCTTGAAGAGAATCATCTTTAATGTATGAGATTATTTATACTGAAGATGATTCAATAGATTTTCTTCAAACAACTGATTTAGGGAGAAAGGAAAAACGAAACATTTCTTATCTAAGGAATAGAATGAAATCTCTTAAAAGCTCTTGAAATATTTGTAAAGACGCTTGATTGAATATAAATTATTTTGCGACATGCATCGAACGAAAGTATTCAGAGATTTGCCTTGAAGACGTAAGAGGCACTTGCGCAGTTTATTGGGAATAATCAAACGCTTTTTCATTGTGATCTCTACATGATAAGTGGGAGAAGGAGAAAGATTACTCTTCCTAATGAGACAGACGAATTAATATTTTCTACATTCAGAAACATTTTTCTTATGTTCATATTTATTTTGAATTCTTCGTGAAGCATTTGGATTATTGAAGATTTATAGGTTCATCTGAATAAAAAGATTCACTGGAGACTCTAATTGAGATAAATTGAACAAATCTAATGATCTGTTAGGGAATATTATGAAATTTATTTTTAAGATTTCTGCCCTTAGAGGATTTTCACTAATGAAGACGGAACAATTTACATCTCGCCTTGATTTTTCATTCTAATCGCAAACATATCAATTGAACTTTTCATTCTTTCAAAAACCCAAACATTCTCACGAAAGTTTGAGAATATGAAAGCTTCATTTCTATTAATAATCTTCAACACACATCCACACACGTTTGACATGTTACATTATGTCTTGGAAATTTGATAACTTTTCAATGTCAATATTTACACTAATCCGAATAATTTTGATGATGAAGGAAGAACAGGCAAACCGGAAAGTTCATCTCTTCTTCTTCATTCCTCATTTCATATGTTTGTAAGTATATGTATGGATGTTTCGTTCATGACAAAAGTCTTAAAATGTAGGAAACTTTTCCTTTTTTATTTTGACAGGGAAGTTTTCCATAATCAAGCAGACTGATTTGGTTTTTGAGTAGAGGTGGAATCTTGTGTCACGTTCAATTCAATTTTATGCTTGCATAAATCTTCCTTCTCGTCTTCTTCAAATTTATGTAATCTAATACATCGTCAGCCATTGATGTTTGTCAAATTAAGAGACGATGTGTCGATGACTGATACTTAATTTTGCTACATTTTCCTTCCGTACATTTCTGCTATCTAGCAGCCAATAAGGGATCTCAATTAATTACTTCTTAAGCCATAGTAAGCCAGACCGCTTTCAAAACTTTCTGATAACTGATAAGACAAAAATAACTTTTGCTACATGGGAAAAGCAAACACGAAAACAAAGATTAAACCTTGACCTACATACATTCATTCTATCGTTTCTGATACATCAGAAATTGAATCTGATTGTTTAACCCGAGGCCTATTCCACTTGAGAAAGTTGCTGTCGCTTATTCTTCGTCACTTAAAAAATATTCTCGGCAATGTTAACTTTTAATGTGAATTCAAAAATTCTAACGAGGGAATAATAAAAATTAAACAGTTGATTAAATGCATCTTGATAGCTTTAACAAAATTATCATTCATTGAGTTTTCTCGTTTAGCAAACTTTTCTTTTTTCTTTCATTTCCTCACAGATTTTCGACATGTGCCACAAATAGGAAAGAAAGAAGCAAAATAGGAGAAAAATGAGAATCTTTTCTTTTATGTACGAGATCATTTCACGAATCATTGAATGATTCTCATTCTTTTTTCTTTTTATGAAAAATTGTTTCATTAAGTTTGAGCGTTTCTTGCAAAGACAGAAAAATTGATTCGTTTCGATTTCTTTTTGGATAGAATTTCTAGCGGTTTTCTTTTTCGTCTCCTGAAGCCTACGGCATTACTTAAGAAGGTTTAAAGTTTGATATCAGAGGATTAACTTCGATCACGATATCAACTTTACCAGAACATTTCTACAATCCGTAGGAGATTAAGCTGTTATGAAGATAACTTGAAATGCATTGGAAGATTTTACGGCATTCTGACGACAAATTGGGTCTCATAAAGAAGAAAAAAAAACCATGCGGCGTCTAACACATAAAAGAGAAAACACGATGGATAAGTGGGAAAAATAAAAAGAAAAATCTCGCTTCATTGACGAACGTGGATCGATTTTTTTAAGGGAGAAAAAAAATATAAAATGTGATTTTTTTTGGGGAAAATGTGGAACAGGAAATGAAAGCAGGAAAAGCCATTTAAAGTTTTTTTCTGATGGAAAAAGTTTTCAGAATTACTCGGAATTCATGCTGAGTAAAGCACGAAACTAGAAATATTTTGCATTATTACGGCGAGGTTAAATGTACTTAAATAGCAAATATTTCCATTTGCCGCTTAGTTAGTGAAACCGTAAAGTATGCGAGAAATAAACATTTCAAGTCATTAGTCATTCACATTTTATTTATTTTCAATTAATTTCAATGTCGGTCGAATTTAAAAGGTTGAAAGAAGATTTTTAATTACTCTTAAATTGAATTTCAAATGAAGCACTACAAATTCTGCTAATCCCACTCAAATGAAGAGTTCTTCATTTAACCGAATGTTTTTCAATTCAAGTGGAAGTCGTTGAAATGTTTTTTCATTAATTGCTATTGATTCTTTCAGAGTGTGTTTCAATTGTAATGGAATTCCTTTTGAGGTCAATTTGATGTGTGAACATATGAGCATAGGCAAATAAAAGAACAAACAAATTGCCAGGAAACTATTCATGAAACTTAATTACATTTCAAAAGCATTCCCGTACCAGTGCATTCTTTCCGGGAGCTACAGATCAATGGCTTTGTTACTTTGTTAACAACTTGTGAATGAATGTTAAACTTTTTGTTATTTTAAAATGCGAAAATGTAGTTTTTATGATTTACTTTATTCTTCTCGTGAAAGAATGCACGAAACTGCTTTGAACTTCGTTTCCTCCCGAAACTATTACGAACAAGTGTTTTTCATTCCAACTGGCAATTTTATGTTTCAGCATGCGGAGTGGGGTGGGTTGATGAGATATAATAAAAGTCGTAGTGAAATGTAAAATTCATGTAACACACAAATTCACAATTGCGAAACGAGTAAAAGGAAATAAAAAAGGAAAAGTGTTAAAAAGAAAAATCTACGCAACATTTACGAGCAATTTCATCTCGTGTAAATCATTTTATGATCTCATTTGCTAATTTTTTGGACATTATTTTTCTTTTTTATGGCTATTCATGTTCCTGCATAATATCCGAAAACAAATTTTTCACCCACATACATATCACTACATTCATTGCCAACACTTACTTTGCTATCTCGCTACTTCCTCCCCCGCATCCCCCGTGATAATTCGGAAAGTTTCCAACGAAATGGATGTGTAAGTAAAACTAATGAAAAACATTCATGTGAAGATAATAATCGGCTTAACATTTAACACATTTGAGGCATAAATTTAATTTAATTTTTGCAATGTTAGATGTCAGACTTTATCAAGAGTTTAATGTCTTTGCTCTTGTTCAAACATTTCTATTTTATAGACGTTGATGTTGCGAGAAGAATTTATCGATTTTAATGTAAAATTAGCGAAAATAAGCTTCTGCATAATTTCCTGTTTGCACTGATGATGTTGCAAACTAAATAATTTCACCGACAATGATGTGGAAATTTAATCAGTCCCGGTAGTTTGTAGTTGAATGGAAGGTAATAACGAAACAAATAATGGAAAATCAGTTTAGAAGCTTTAAATTCAGATAATTTTATATTCGTTAATCAGTTGGAATATCTTCCCTTCACCTTCAGTGTAATGGAAAGAGCGAACTAAAATTATTAATATTTTAGGATCTCATTAAGAGAATGTCTGTTGAAATTCACTCATGTTCGATAAACTTCATTGAAATTCAATGTTTTGCTATTCATAAATAACAAGGAAATTGTTTTTCCATAGATTAGCAGCATCCGCAATAAGATTAACGAAACTCTTTCAAAAAATATTTATTATGAAAACGTGGGAAAATTTTACATCATAGCTAAATGTAAAAAAAAATTTGAACAAGGAAAACAATAAACTGGAAAAAGTTATAATTGAAAATATGTTCTTTATGTATCGCCACAGAAAATTACTGACAGTTTACACGACAGCCGTTGATTAATTAAGAATCAGAAAGGAAACTAATTAAAAATTTTGAATTAATGTGTCGAATAATTATTTATACCTGATTGACTTCATTCCTCATAACGAACGATGAAAAGTTTCACGTTAAACAAACATTATTAATTATTCTGTATCATTTCAACTCTTTATTTTGTTATTGCCTCAAATTATGACGTTTAACTTCGATACTTTTAAGCGATCAACTCTGTTCACGAGTGGAGTGAAAATGACGGGAAAATAAGCAAAAAATTAATTTACAGCTGCTTTTCCACCCTCTCAACAACAAACCTGAACATATTTTTAATTATTCGAATGCTTTTGTCGTCACATCGTTATTTTTCCTCTTTTTCTTCTTTTATATTTTGTATTTTTAAGTATCGTAAATAAATTAATTTTCCTCTTTTCACAGTCGACATGTTTTCATTTCCAACGTCAAGCTTTTATAAATATAAATATGCCTTAAACTCGTTGTGTTTGAAATGAAAGTATTTTTAAATACATTAATCCAATCTTAACGTAGGAAAACATTAGTCAAACATCAACAAAAAATTAAAAGAACAAAAATTAAAATTTGATGAAAAGAAAATTTATTTATGTTTTAAATGATGACAAAAAAATATACAAACTCATTAAAATTAAATATATTGGCATAAACCTAATGAGAGAAGTAAAAATGAAACAATTTTAAAATGATCTACGAAGTATTTATGTTGTATGTAAATATCTATGCTATAATTATGTTGCGATGATGCTTAGATGAAATTGTAAAAAAATTCATTTTAGATATTACTTATAGACTCTTCTTTCGTTTGTATTTTAAAACTACGCTCTTATGTCGTCATTAGAGAGGATGAAACCTTTTTCTCTTATTATTTATCAGAACGACTTGTTTACGCCATTAATGCGAATGAAAATATGTTTTGCTGTTTCTTTTTGTGATATATCTACCTATTTACAATTATAATGAGAGTTTCCTTTTTTCAGCATCCTTTTTTGAAATAATGTAAATAAAGAGACTTAGAATAATTAAAACGAGAGGATCGCTTTCACATCGAGATAAAGCTCTTACAATGTTTTATAATTAATTTCATCTTTTTTAAGAGAATATGTTAGTAGCCAGAAGTTTTTTAAATTGTGTAAACGTTCCTGTCGTTGATTGATTAAACTGATTAGAGAATTGCTGATAGTCACCATCCCGACAATCTTCCTAATTATCCATTTATCAGCAGTAAAATATTAAATTTTCTTTCTACACATAAATAGATGAAAACTCAAGTTACAGAAAAAAAAAATCTTTCATTAAGATAGAAATGTTTTGATTTTAATTTTCTTGCTTTTTTATTGTCCTGAATTGATTCATAAAGAGAATTTTTCTTCTTCTAGTCATTTCTAAATGATAGCTTTCAACAAAGTTAAATTACATGAAATATTTATGCTTCAATCTCATTGTATCCTTTTTGGGGTGAATCTATCAACATATTTTACTTAACAACATTTTATTGCAAGTCTCTTTCAACCATTTCATTTCATAAATCCTTTTTTTCTAAATTTAATTCAAATGTTATTATTTTAGATATAAAAAAAGGAATTCAATGTTCTATTGTACCCATAAAAAAGAATTGGAATTTAATTAAACAAAATATAAAAAAAAAAGTCAGAAAGAAAGAAAAACTTTTTCAACTCTCAGCTTGAAACGAGAGAAAGCTTTTGCCTCTAGGACATAAAAAGCATCATCTCATATGAGTGAAGGAATATACATTAAAATAAGAGAAAATTAAAATCATTTGTCTCCCTCGAGATGTTTCCTAAACTTTCCTTCCATTCTCATAAACTTAAAAGCTTCTTTTCTTTTTCAATTAATTACATTTAATTTTCTTAATATAAAATATTTTCTTAACTCTGTGCATTCTTTAAACATAAAGAAATGATTATCTATCTCTTCTTGAAAAGAAAGTTATGACGTGCAATGAAACTTATGAAAACTAATTCACTATTTAAAGTACCAAATATAAAAGTTTTCTTCTCACTTTGACAACATTTTTTTTCGCACCGTTTTTCTTCTATCATTTTAATTCAGTCTCTTGGCACAAGAAGTTAAATAATTTCATATTATTAATGTTTTGTTTTTTCTATCTCATCAAATAAATGTTGTGTTTTGTTTTTAAATTCGAAATCACAAAGAAGATTAGTGAACATCATCTGGTTGCGGACGTCGTCATTAATTTTATGTTTTAATCATAAATTTGATTAAATTTCGAACGCTGAAAATCGGATTCAACACGCGCTTGGAGAGCATAGAAATCCGCTTACCTCAGCATTGTGCATAATTGGTTTCCGTCCTACAGCTAGATGATGAGCACAAAGCTAAACTAACACGATTTTGCACATTGGCTACACTTCCGTGCCATCTTCGCCTTCATCATCGAAACGATTTCCATTGATTGTTCGTATGAGTGGCTGCGGCGCAAGACTCTCGTTAAAGCTACTCTCAAGTGTCGGCTTCTTTTTCGGTTTCGGTGGTGGTCGAGGTGGAACTTTCCTCTCAATTGTTGCACTACTATATAAAGGCTCTCGAATTGATCCATTCGTTTTCTTTTGTTCACTATTCATATTAGCTGGTGTCGCTGGCAATGGACGATCTTTCATCGTGTATTTGAGATTAGCACCAGGACTTATCATCCCACTTCCTTTACTCGTTCCAGCTGTTATTTTATTGAGATTTAAAATCGAATTTCCAGCTGCTGTTGTTCGCAAGCCGAGATTATCATAAACTGGTTCAGCTACTTCTAGCGGTGGGGAACTGGGCGATGTTTGGAAATCACTTGCTACCGATGGAGCCCAACTACCAGTTCTTTGCTTTCGCGGTATTGTTACATATCCTTGTTTCATCATTGAAGGATAAACAATCGGTGCAGGAATAAAAGGTGAGTTTGAACGTGTGGTCGCTAAAGCTATCGTCCGACCTGTCTTGGGATGTTGCAACGTTCTGAAACCACTTGGTATTGTAGTCTCACCATAAATTGGACTTGTTAAAGGTGAACGTGCATAAATTCTCGTGTCATGAATATTCGAGATTGAACTTTGTATCGATGGTGATTGTGGGAAACGAGGAAAGGCAAGAAGATCAGGCGGAAGTAAGTTTCCACCATAACCATCATCGATAAAAGCTTGACGTGATCGGGGTTGTGTTGAATCTGACATTTGAACAGATTTCGTTTCATCATCGTTTTGAACTGTAAGAAAGGAAAAGAAGAAAATTAAAAATGTTTTTCAGCGAATGACTTTTGTAAATTTTTGTCGTAGATTTTGTTAATTTGTACTTACTAAATATTGTTTCATCCAACAATGTTTGTTTAACATCACTAACGTCATCAGATTCTTTCTCAATTGAATCAACTTCTGTTCGACGTGGTGGCTTCTCAACGGGATTGACTTCAGTTAGTAAACTCTTTTGCATTTCCATAATAACGGAACCACCATCGAGAATTGAATCATTTTGTGCTTTTCCGTTGAGTTTCGTTGTTGTTCCATTTTGTTGTGACATTAAAAGTGCATTATCAGATGACGGCTTCTTATCATATTTATTCACTTTACGACAATAACAACAAAGAATTGCTATGGTGAATAAAATGATGAAGAGAACACCGACAATGATGCAAAGAATCATGAAGAATGTGTTACTTGTTGGTGGTACAAATGCGCCACCTTTAAAATGATCAGCAGGAATGTCAAGTTGAATAACAAACTCGTCATGGCCACCTTTATTGCTTGCCTTGCAAACATATTTTCCATGGTCTGACATTCGGAGACCAACAATAGTTAACTCCGATGTAACATGACGTAAATGTTCATCTTTCTTTATTGAAACCATTGGTTCAAACGTTCTGATCTTAAAATGATCATTCTCACGCACCAAACGATTACCAACAAGCCATTCTACATTTGGACGAGGTGATCCTCTAACTTGGCACATTAAGGTTTCATTCTCTTTACTCGCTCTCACAAAAGCAGCACCGCGAGGTACAAGAATTCTTGGTCGACATGCAAACTCATCTTCTTCGACATCCGTCCAAAGTTTGTCACGTAATGCGTCTGGATAATGGCACTTTGTTTCAGTCGTCAACTTTTTGTCGATGACAAAATTGCGGAAATCTTTCAATTCGCATGAGCAATTCCACATATTGCCACCAAGTGAAAGTGCGCTGAGGTGCGTCAGACTCATGAATGTTGTCTTTTCAAGCTTTTGAAGGCGATTATTCGACAAGTAAATTGTCTTTAATGGTACATTCAGAAAGGCCTGCTCACCAACAAAATGAATTTTGTTGTTCTTCAACTCAATGTGACTCAAATGTTGGAGATTTTCAAATGTTCGATCAGAAATTTGAATCAATTCATTATCATGAAGAAGAATTTTTCTGATTTTTATCAATGGATGAAATGTTCCTGGATGAATAACTTTAACTTGATTATACGAGAGATCCAGCTCGATGAGAATTGATAAACCAACGAAAGCATCACGATCTACTTGAATTAATGTACAGTTTGAGATCAAGAGCTTGTGAAGGTTGTGGAGATTGAAGTTTGAGAGTTGATTTCTTTGAATTTCTGTTTTAAGAAGAAAGAAATATTTGAAGATGAAAATAATTTAAATGGAAGTTTGTCGATTGTCAATAATTTAACAAAACAAACACTCGACATTCTTACTAACAACTGTTAATTAATTTAAAAAGAAACTTACCAGCAATGTTGTTATTGGAAAGATCTAAAGATTGAATGTCAGTGTGGAGGTCACTTGGAATACTGATTTGTCCAGTATCGCGACAATCTGCTGTCTTCTTCGATGACTTCCAGTGACATCGACATCGATTGCATTTTGATTCCCAATCGTTCTGATCATTTGCTGTTATGATGCCCATAAGCATCAATAGGAACAACAGCACATAACTACGGCTTGTCATCATTATCATCATGTTGTTGATAGGCAATTTGTTAAATTTATCATATCAATTAAAAAGCTGCGTGATGTGATATTATTTTCAATTCGTTTCAACTTTTTCTTTTTGTTTTATTTTATTTTTTTTCTCTTTCGTGATGATAAATATTATAGACACATACACGAAGAACCCTTAATTATTCACTCCCTTAGCTTCTGAACTGCTTTATGTCGGCTGTTGATTGTTGGATTTACGTGAAAAGTTGGAATTATGAAAGCGACCTGATGGACATTCATCAAAATGTTTTTAGGTGAAATAATTTTGTTTTTGTTCTCTTCCAACCGTTTTATTATACTAGTTGATGAGCTTTCCAACTTTTCTAATTCTATTCAAGCTCAGTTACCCGCCACGACTGATAAATTAGATCTGAAACGAAAGAAATAGACATGATTTAAGTAACTTTGTCGCTTTCCGTAATTGATGTTTCAACGAGTCTGAGTCAAGTGTAAAAGAAACTTCGCTTCATTTGATGGGCAGCTTCTTGAATTACGTGATCTAAATATAATGGAATGCGTAGGAGAAGAAATATGTTCTTGTTACTTTAATCAAGAGCTTAGTTATTTATGACAACTTCCAGACCTTCAAGTTTCTTTTTTAAAAAAAAGTCATATCAGATAACTTGTGAGAAGCAAAAAAATAATTGAACGAACTTTTAACGAAAGAATTTTAAAAAAAAACTTTGCACGAAAATAAAACGTTGGAATTGAATTATTGAAATTTTCAACTCCTACGTAATAAATATAATAATAATGTAATGCATAACAAAATCAAATGATTGTTTTCTCTAGAAAAGCTTTGATGAAACTTTGTTAATTGAAAAATGTTAGAACTTTGTTTTTCCCTATTAAGGATTGGAAAAGTTTACTTAAGGAAACAAATTTCCTTAGAAGGCTTCTTTGAGTTCGTAATACAAATTTAACTTATTATAAATTTTATACAAAATCGGGTTTCGTAACAGTCTGGCTTCATGCTTCATAAATTCGGTTAAAAATCTTTCAAAGGCTATTGAATGAACGTTGAATGAAAGAGAATGAATCAAGAAGAGATTTTAGAGCGTCGAACAATTCAAAAGATTTTAGCTCATTCAAAGTTTTTCAATACGATTTCATTGCTTTTGCCAACTAATTCAAATCATTTTTTATACATTTTGCTACAGCAGAGAAAAAGTTTATTCATGATTTTAAGAAATACCGCTTCAGTTTGTATTAACAAAAAAAGAATTCTTCAAAAACGATGTTCTTTCCGAACAATTTGACTAAATCGTGTCAGAAAGCTGAAAGTATCATTGAAGAATAACGAAACGAAACTAACAAAAAAAAAAAGTTAACCAGCGCTATAGGCGGTAGAAAAATCAATTGTCTTGAATAGCTTTTTTATGAAGCAAATGAAAAGTTTAGTAGTTTAACTAAAATCGCTTTTCTTTAAGGAACTCTTCATATTGTATAAAAAACATTGGAAAACAGAAAAAAGACAGAAAGCGGAAAGTAGACAAGAGGATCATAAAACTGAAATTTGCGATGCGATAAAAGCGATTCTCAGACTTGTTACAAATAAATTGACGTCAATGAGTAAAGCGGAATAGAAGCAGTAGGAAATCACCATGAGAATCACATCCAACATATCAGCAGGCAACCTCATAAAACGAAGCACTTCAGATTTTGCTCCTCTATCGCCCGCTATCTAATGGCACTTTTCCGCCTTCTCTAGTCTCTTTTTTTATTGCAATAAAGATACGTGATGTATAACTTAATGTTGATGTATGCTTTTCTTTTTGTTGCGATCTAAATGTTTTTGAGTAAAAAGTGAACAAAAAAGGGCTCTAGTAATATGTATGCGAAATCGTGAGAAACGTTCCACTGTCATAACTTGATTTTGTGAAAAATGATTGTCTTACAAATTCTCAATTTAACCTTCAACTCAAAACTGTTTGACTTCTCTCACTTTTTTTGATATTTTCGAAGGTTCTGTAAGAAGAAGATGAGTTACATCTTAAACAATGAAGAAAAAGTGAAAACGCGAATGACACTGAGATAAACAAATCTAAATCGTTTCTGAAAGGTGAAATATTATACGCGTCTGAAAGGAGAGACAACCTTTCCTTATCTCCCATCTCACAATTCAATTTATTTTGAAAGATTCAGTATTCGATGTCAACACATATCAAGAATGATTCGAAAAGGCAAATACGTGAGTGCTCTGATGTCGTGTGACGGCAACGAAACGTGAAGAAGTCTCTCTATGGAATGAACATCAACATAAACCCAATTCCATTAATTCTGTCAATGATTTTTCGATTTGCCTATAAATATTAAGACATCAGATCAGACTCTCCCAATGTGTGCACAGCTTTCGCGAATGTCTACAATTCGCTTGAATTGTTAGTCATTCGCCATAATTTATATTGCCACCGGTCTCGCATTCGAATCATAACAATAAAAACTTGCTTTATGATGAATGGAATAATAGGCTTCGGAAACGTAATTTATAGCACTCGTTCACGTATTTAATAACGTAGAAGAAAATAATTGTTATTCGAAGAAATTAACGACTTTTTTTAGCTTGCAAATAAAGCTTTTCATGCGACGCCATTTCTTCGACGCTTCTCGTTATTGAAAGTCATATTTCTCGTGTTGCAACAGTAACATTTACCATAGTGAGCTTTACAAGCAATAAATCAAATAAAAGGGGAGAAAAAAAACATGAAAAAAGGAGAAGCACTTTGAAGCTTTTTACCAAATGTATTCATTTCGTTATGGCAATTCATGGTACAGTCAACAATTTCAGATTTTGGGGAAGAATAAAAGTGAAATCTTAGATTGGAATTTTTCTCAGGTGAGGTCGAGCGTTTAAATAGTAAAAACCTTTCTAGTGTCTGACCTACATCAATGTCACTAGAATGAAAATTATTTTGAATTTCCCTCGACGTCTAGGCTACAATTTATGCGTGTGATTGCGTTCTTTTTTCTTCAACACCCTCACCTTCCATTCCATTTCGTTTCATTCCCTTCTCTCCCACGACAGCCAACACTCAATGACGCAGAGAAACAAATTGCATAACATAATCGTACCGGGGCGAAAAAAGAAAATATCGAGAAAACGTTCTTTGCACGCTAAGCTCATAAAATTATTTATTGCTGATTCGAGCACAATTCAAATGTTTGGCCAGGGTAATTACACGAGACGATCCCAAAGAGTGCGAAATCATGGGACGTGGACCTTTGAGAACTTTGGAGACAACAGAATGATCATCAGAAAATAACCAAATTCTCATTAAATTTATCCTCAGAAGAGAAGAAAAAAAGGTCGCACTGTAGGTGGTTGAGATTTCATTAAATGGCAATTTCAACGCAAATAAATAAATTTTGCAGTTAAATAATGGTCTCGGCATCTGCTCTAGACAAAGGTGGAGTTTCAACTACATTTTAAATTTATTTATTTCTCAAAATAAATATAAAAAACGATAAGAAAAGATCTTTTATTTGCCTTTAAGATGGAACAAAAAGCAATAGAAATCTCGCATTAAAGCATAAACAATGATTTTTCCATTTTCCGTCGCTAAACTTTCCTTCACTTTCTTCTTTGAAAACTCTCCATAAATTATCCACGAGACGCCTTTCTTTCCCTTTTTATTTTTTCACTTCATATCGATCGATGTTGGAGAGTTTTTTAGTGTTAGTCATGCCCTGGGAAGATGTTTGTTAAATCGGAGATATCACTGACCTGGAATCTTATTCCTTAGCTTTAGCATACGAAGTTACAATAATTTAGTGTCTTAAATTATTTATGGTAATCACTTCTCTCTTTCTTCCTGTCTTCCATCCCACACCATCCATTCTCCGTCGTTGAATAAATATTTTCCCAGTAAAGGGATTTAATTGACTTATCCACTTTACGTTAAGGTATCTTTTCTTTTTATTTTTTTTTTCACCTTTAAATAGAAGCGTGGCGAAACGTTTCTCTATAAATTTTGCAATCGTTTTGGCGTGAAATGATTTAATGTTTTCTTAAACCGTTTTACTTATTGCTGAAGCTTTTACCTTCACCTTTTTTTCTTGATTTTACTCTCAATGATTTTCACTTTTCACCTTTTCATGAAAATCTTTTAATCTGAAGCTTGTCTTAACGTTCTTTTAGTAATTTAATTTGTTCAATAATTTTATCGACGCTCGAATACGCTTTAATTTCGGTCGCTTCCGGCAACTATTTTTGGTATTTCTATTGTGAGAAAAAAAGGAAGGAAACGAGAAGGGAAAAAAAAATAAAAAGTAAACTGTTCGTGATTTGAGCTTTCTGATTTTTTCCTTTTTGATAATATTAAAAAGAAAACAACACATAACAATGTTTTCATGTTTTACCAGCACCCCGGCACAATAGGATATCATGGCGCTTCGACTTCTCGTAACAATTTCCTAAAAGATGGTCGATTAGAACGTGAGATATAAAAAACATTTCATTCACTTCGGAAATGACGACGAGTGTCGGCAAAGTAATAAACTTTTTAATGGAGGAAAGAGTTTTTAATTAAGTGACATTCAAAGGAATAAAATCGTGAATAATGAAAAGCTAACGAGTCACGATCCTCAGAGTTCATCGTTACATCAACAACTTTCTTGAACATATAAAGGCATCAACATAAATATGTTTTAATAAGTAGATATATGTTCAAAGATCATAAATGAATGTTCTTCTCATTTCTCATCATGCATGCAAATTTAAATATGATTAAAAATACATCTACGCCATATTTCTTTCTGTCGAAAATATCTTCTTCGTCTCGTTTTTTTCACTTATTCACAACCGAATTCTTTAATACTTTATGAGTTTCTCGTCTTTCTTTTTCTATATTTCTATATTTCATTTCATTATTCTTGCAAAGAGGGAAACATGTTTACAAGTAATCGCGCTTTTCAAACCATCAACATCAGCAACAATACGAAGACACCATATTTGGGGTGAAAAATAAATTGAGAGTTGAAAGCTGATCAAAATGAAAGAAAAAAAATTCCACCCACTCGTTCACGAAATGTAGAAAGGAAAGAGAAGGTCTTTTGGGTGAAGAGACATGGTAAAATAATAATAATAAAATGTATTGCCACAATGTTGTACGATAATTTTTCATAACTCTCTTATCCCCTTAAACCTTAAAAACCATCTTTAAGCCTCAAGGATCCGCATCAGTTCATCATAATTCTGATTACTTTTGTGCTCTCTTGTTCTTCATTCCTTTCTTGAATTTACAATAAGCGGCTCCTCCCGAGCGCGTCTTTCATCATATTCTTTCACATTTTTCTTCTTTGAGCTTACAAGAGAAATTCTTGTACTCTCAGATATTTAGGCTGTTCAGGGAGTTTCGAACGATAAATCTGTATGAGATCTCAGCTGGAAAAACTTTTCTTGTAAGATTATTTTCTTCGTTTACATTATCTTGAATCTTACACTGTGGAATTCTAAACGAAAAAATAAAAGTTAAGAAGGAAAACGATGAACTTTGACAGCTTTTAGGAAAATTACCAAGAACTGTCATTAGATGTTTGCGTTAAAAGATGTTAAACATAATTGACATGTCAACCGGAACATTCCCATTAAGACGTTCAAGTTAGGCAACCTTCACCTTTTTGCCTTCCACCAATGCTTAGATTGAGTAGCGAGCTTAAAGTATGTGAAGCAAGTACCGAACAATTAATTACGCGTTTAATCTCCTTCATATGTATGAAAGCACGCACGTATATTCACACACACATATTTTCCTGCTATCGTTTGACATTGGCCTGTCAACTTTCACTTCTGTTTTCCTTTCCGTAAGCGCTTGACATGTTGTTAAATATGTTTGCTTTTGTAAACATGTTTGATTAATCCCCGAAAATCGATGAAACGATTTTGGAAAATCATGAAGAGAATGAATTAAACAAAAAGAGCGTGTTTGGATATTCATAAGAATTTCACCAACACCCACACATATCAAACACCGCAAATTGAAGCAGATCAATGAGGCTTGAAGCATTTAACTTCATAACTTATATTTTTATCATTAATTTAACTCCTTTTTACATTCTTATCGGGAAGAATATTCCAGCCATAAACACATAAATCACTTTGAATCAAATTATCTTCAAAAGCAGTGAAGTTTCTAAGGAAGCCACGAAGCTGTGCGGAATTTTACTCGTCAAAGAGAAGAAGAAAACAAGATTAAGGAATTACCACCCTTGAAACAAACTTCCGCTGATGTGGAACGAGTAGAAAAGTATAGACGTGAGTAAAAGCTGAGATTTAGTTCTATAGAAGCTTTCAAGTTTGTAGTCAAAGTATTCAAAAGCATAAATCCATAAAGTAAACTCCTGGGATAGAATGTTGGATAGGAAGAGAAAACTTTCATGATGACTTACTTACTTATTTACCATGGCACGATCAAGTCAATGAAAAAGGTCACTGAAAAGCACTCAATGTAAAATCTTCACAATCAGAAGGGAAAAGAGTGGACGCCATTAAAAGCCTGGGAAACATCGAAGTCCTATTTAGTTTAATGGAAGTTTGTCTCTTATTTACCAAGTGAACTCTTGTTATACTCATTCAACAGGGGCGCCATGCTGGGCTGTGTTGAAAACATTTACGTCACATCATGAACTAGAAATGATAAGAGGCAAAATCATCACGTTTGTTGATTGGGAACAAAGTCAGCAAACAAGAAAAGACTGTTTCTAGAGGCCTTTTATCGACATCTTTCCTCCCATCTCTTCTCCGTCTAAACAAACATTCTTTCGTAACATTTCTTAGCTAAATTGCTCAATAGACACATAAATGAAAAGTTTCCCTTCCACCAGATGCTGTGACAATTAAAGCGAAGACATAACGAAAAAGGAAAGAAAAAGGGAAACATAAAATCAACGAGTTAGTTAATGAATATCCTATGAGGCCATTTACATTTTTAGACGACTTCACAAATCTTAATCATTATTGTCTTCATCTTCTTTACCGTTTTGTGAAGTAGAAGTTAGGGAAAATGATTTTATTTTCCATCCATTCCTACACAACAACAAGTAAGAGGCAACAGATTGCAATGATGTAAAATAAACCAGCGAATTCTCAACTCACAACAATTTATTGTTTTCCTTTCTTTTTTCTTTTATTTTGAACAACAAAACTTTTGTGAAATATTTTTGAATCAAATATTCATGTTACAGTTGAAGTTTCTCAAAGAATTTGATTTTTCTTTCATTTATATTTTTTCGGCTTCTTATTTTTCTGTCATGAGAAATGAGTGAAAGAATCTCATATTAATATCAGAAAAACAAGACACATTTATACACACATATCCAGCAAGAAAAGGAACTGTCAGGGTGTGGTTACACAAGCCGCTTCAACATAAAACGGAACACAAATTTAATAAATGGTTGTTTTTCGTGGCAAACTTTCAAGACCCTTTTTTGTCGTCGTGCCCTCAAGCAGCCAGCCCCAATAGTAGCAAAAATGTTTCCATGTCGGTCCGTAAATGAGCGGTTAAACCATAAAGTTTATTTGTAATAATCTAAAAGGCATGTGGATTACACCACATCATAATCATAAATAGACGTTCCGCACATAAAAACGCCACTCGATAACTTCCTCTCTCGTTTTAACCTTCTTCCCCATCGAACGTTTTTCCTCGAGAGAAAACGAAACTGAGAAGAAAAACCTTTCACACGTTTTTGTATTTTTTTTCTTCCCCACTAAATCGACGATAGAAAAAAAAAACAAAATAAAATTTCTCTTGAAATGTTTAACGTCTAAAAGTAAAAAGTAAAAAATCAACTCGAGTCTCCACGCTATTAGAGCACGAAATTTTGTTCCGCCATAGTAAGTCGGGATATTGCGTGTAAATAGAAAGGAAAATTATGTAAATTGGAGGAAATTATGGGCCATGGAGCAATTAAAATGGAAACAACAAGCCAAAAAACAGCAACAAAATGTTTATTCCGCCATCTAACTACACAGAAAAAAATCTATAAAAAAAGCCCACAAGAAGGATTTTAAGGAAGGGCTTGGAACATGCAAACATACTGAGAACATAACTAACTGGGACAATGAAAAATGCTCGAGTGGTGAACTGAAAATTATTCTAATACGATTATGACATTTCTTTCACCTTTCGCCCTTGCCATTCCTTTTCTATTATTGCCATTATTAAGTTAGCCTTTAACTGAAGGCATGAATCGAGTCGATTAAATGATCCCTCTTTCCTTCTTAGAACATTTATTCAGAATTTCTGACCATCAGGTGCGAAAGAGAGCTTTAAAAGGAAAATTGATGATGAAACTTTTCTTTATGAAGTGCCTGTGCTTACGCCTACAAAAGTAATTCTTTAACGTTCATTTTCCATTGGTAATGATGATATGGCATAAGGAACATGAAAATGTTATTACGAGACTTTTTTTTACATATTTTCTTTTCTTTTTTTTGTGATTATCCTACAAAGCCATGGGGATAGCAATAGAAAGCTTTCTTAAAACATCGTAACCATTCGTGCAGAGTTTTCAATGTTTCGATTTTACTTTTTTTTTCCTCTCTTCTTTCCTTTCTTAACATTCATTAAAGCATATAACTCACAGCTTCATTTGCATACTTTTTCTTTCTATAAAAAACGTTCTAAAAATATTTTTTGTGTGCTTTTGCTTTCATTTGGTCGTGGAACGAGGTGCTGATAACAAACAGTCAACTCTGAATGAAGCAGGTAAGCGTGTACGATAAGATGAGGGAACAAAATGTGAAAATCCAATTTGCAGATTGCGTGCTTTTAGAAAGCAAAAGAAAATATTTCCTTTTTTTCGCTTTCTTTCCTTTCATATGAATTTTTTTTCCCGTCTTTCTTCACTCAAACAAAAGCACATGGAAATTTTTCGCGACACAAAAAAACCAGAAAGAAATGGAAAGAGAAAAGCTTTTTCATTTTTTTTTTTGTTTCCCGTCGAAAGAGTTTTTCTTCTGGATCTAAATTCTTTAGAATGAAAATGAAAGTGTTTTCAAATTGCGCGCTGAGCTGAAAGAAGGCTGGCTAGAATTTTCATATCGCAACATTAATCTTGGTTAGATGTTATCACGATTCAAACCATAAGCTATGCTTGAAGAAAAATTTTAACACTTTTTTTATCGCACGAACATTGTGAGAGGTAAAAGTTTTATCCTCGAGACGTGAGCTTTTTGTTTATGCACCTTGGTGAAAAAGAGAGAACATGAAGGAAGAGAAAGTAACCGAAAAGGTTTGTTTAGTGAAAATTCACGCAGGAAAACGACGACGAAAAGAAAAACTTTAATCAACATACTTTCATTCATTCATTCGTTATTCTATTCTCATTTATCACACACAGCGTATTATTCATGCATAACCCTTTTCCTGAGAAAACTTTCATCTCCTTCTTTATATTTTACCTTCCGGTATAAAAGTAACGAAAGAACGAGGGAAGCTTAATGTTCATGGGAGAGGATGAAAGGGCCGTTAGCCGGAAAATGTAAGATCAAGAAAATATATATTGAGCGTTTGCTTCTGTCACACTAGCAAATTATGTCATGCGCTTTGTCGTGTTCATAATTTTATGGCTAAAAGCTTTTCATGGGATTTAACCAACAGAGAGGTTAGAAAATGAAATATTTTCGAGACGCAACTGTTTACTTCTTTTTATATCTTTGATCATGTTGATTTATGCTACAGTAGAGAAAAAGTTTTTCTCATGACGCGTCGGTTGAAAGTTTTCCTTTTTTTGTTTTGTTCAGGTGTAGAAAGTTTGTTGTTTGTGTGATCAACAGAATCTCTTTATCATCAAATATACAAAGTACATTTCAATCTCTTATCATATTTTTCTATCTCCTATCAAGCTCTTTATGACAGCTCTTCATCGTTTCGCTTGATTTAACCGCCATAAGCGTTCTAGAAAGATGAGACAATCTTCTTCATCTTGTCTTGCTTTTCATTTCCCGCACCACCCTTTTATAAGAAGGGAACGTTCATATAAGTTATATATGTTCACGAAAAAGATGAATTCATGGTGAAGCTTGAACATATTTCATGTATTTACACATCATAAAAAACAATTTTCTATTCAATCGTTCGTTGCTGATTTTTCTTCTTTTCTGCTGAATATTGCTTTGCTGCTATTTACATTCGCATCCGGTGATTATGCCAGAATAAATTGAAAAGGAGAGAAAAAAAAACTTTCGACATGGAAAATCTGCTCAATCGGATCGTTTTTATCGTTTTTCGCATTAAATTTGAGCAATGAAAAGCGCTTTTCCGCATACGATTGATATGACGCATAAAGTAAACGTATTTAGCTGAAAGGAATGAATTCTTCATTGTTCAATAATTCTTTTCAACTGTGCGTGGGTGTGTTTGAGTGTGAAAAGTTTATTGAAGAATGTCACAAAACAAATCTCGTTTGTCACACTTTTGCCTTTCTTTCTTTTCGTCATTCAGCTTACCTGCTTCTCTTCTTTCAATTTTTGATGAGAAAAGTTGTGAAGTTGAATCAGAATATAAAATTTTGATTTGTTTTCTTTTAATGTTTTTTAACGTAACAAATTTCTTTTTGTATTCAAACAAATAATTGAAGAGCATCGATTTCTCGGTTGTAACTTTTATAGAATTTGGTCAGCTTTAAATACATTTACAGTAAATTTCGTTAATGGAATTTGTAATTTAATGCAACTGTAATGAACTCTCTGAAAGAAAGAAGCACATAAAAAGTTTTTTTATATTATTCCACTGCTACACAAATTTTAAAATGAATGTCTGCGTTTAATGTGCATGTAAACATAAAATTTACAGTTCGCAATTTTGTGGATTAAACGTGATGATTTTATATCTTTTTTCTGTATTCTGTACGGATGAATGTTGCGAATTGCATGAACTTACACAGATCGTGTGTCTGGCATCCATATAAGGAGTGTAAGGGCATGAATAGGAATGTTTATGACGTTAAGAATCTTTAGCTTAAAGCAGGGAAAATGAATGCAATATGAGCATGCAACAAGCAATAAATAATTATATTCCAACAAAACCTCACGAGCAGAAATTGATGTTGAGGATCTTTTTAGGATTTTTATAAACAAACATTAAACCAATGTAAAGAATGAAATGTAAACCTCGTTAGGTTTATAAATCCGTTAGGGAATTCTCATAAATCAGTTGTAAAAGTGAATCCGACAGAGCATAAACCTAAACATCCAATTAATATTTCTCCGAAGTTATAAATAAGAAAACGACTCGTTGATAGTCGACCATAAAACCAAATCGATTTTTTTTCAATGTTTGTGTCGCCATCAACAGAAGAAAGAAAACATTTAACTCAGTTTTCACTTCAATATTTATGTTATCTTATCAGTTGTTGAATATTTGATTTGGTGGCGGGTAAATGAAGCACAATTTTTGTGACTTTCATAATGACAATTTCCATTCCATCGTTGAATGTGTTTAGAATCAAAGCCAATGACATTCTGAATTAATCTTTACTCCTTTTTGATCGGTTATCAAGATAAATGGTTGTGATCGGAAAAGTTCAAATCTTTTGTAAATTGAGGTCGAGTTTAGAATAGAAAAGAAAGAGAGAAACGGTGAAGGCAGAAAGGAAAAAGGAATGAAAGAGGCAATGGAAGTATTAAGACATTCCCGATAAAATATACGACATGTAATTTAATTTTAAAGACATAAAAGTCCTTTTCAGAAGATTTCTCGTCTCTGCTTCTGAGCTTGTTGACACTCAACGACTCTCGATGGAACGCGGTAGCCAAAAATGTGGTGCAGCTATAAACGAAGATTTATTTGTCGTTTCTTTTATGTGATAACCGCGATTTAAGCTTTGAATGTATTACAAGCCGCCGTTATTTGCCTTCTTCATAAATCACGATGCTTAGAACCTTTTCTGGTTTCCGTTCTGTATGTCTTCAATGGATCTTAATTACTTCCGGATCAGGGAATATCAGCTCCATTATCTTCCTTCGAAGGGAAGACAAAACAACTCAAAGCTGAACTGGAGTCCGACAACATTTCGTTCATTCACTCCACCTAAATTCTCCAATTTCAGAGTCGACAAGAAGATAAATCTTCATATTCGAGCAACAGCACATTTAACATCATCACGATTCCCATTGGAGGAGTTTCCGAGATTTTATTCCGCTCCGTTTCGTTTATTCTTTCATATCAGCTCGGCGTTCAGTTTTTGTTTGTCTCATTGCAAAGCCAACATAAGCAAGTCGTCGAGAATCGCAAAACAACGAAAAAGAATCACAAACATTCAAAGCCTACAAAGATTAATGTACAAATTCGTGTTGTTGAGGTGCATTCAACAAACATGAAAATACGCAACATCATCATCATGTTGAACATCGCTCTTCATTCTGTTAGGATCTCCATCGTTGACGTGCTGTAACCGATCCCAAAATAGTTGACTAAATGAAAGTTCTTCTCGTAAATAAAAACTTGTTAAAAGTTGTGAAGTTCGGAAATTTGAAAAATGTGAAATGACAAAGCGACATCGACACCAACAACACCAACAACTTCAACTTTATCCTGAACATAAAATATTTTCCCTCATCAATTCTTCAGATGTCACTCGTTGTTGGGAAGAAAGAACAATAACAAGAAGACGACGAAGAAGCCGAACCATGGTTACATTAATTTCATTATTTCACGACTCTTCCTGCTTCCTTAAACATCGAACAGCTTCAAATGCCGAAACAACAACAAAATGGGTGTGACATGAACATCATTTAATTAATCAAACCAATTTCACATGAATTTATATTCGTGCAGATGAATGATAAGTAACATGACATGCTTCGATGCTTCCGAATATTGGAAATTTGATTGAAAACCAACAAACGTCGCCTAAATTCAACTCTTTAGTCACCAGAAGAACCACAAAACACTCAAGGAAATCAACATCTGAATTTCAATGGAAACGTTTCGATCATTTACTGTGAGATAAATTTTTGGAAAAGTTGAAAAGTTGAGAAGTCGTGATGTTGATGATCTCACCACAGCACGATGAACTTTAAGATTATTCCGACAACAAATGTTGATAAAACATCGATAGAAGAGAGTGCTGAGGCGGAGAATGTAAAATTTGTCGAAAACAATTGTTTACTCGACACTCAAAGCGAGAATAAAACAAGAATTCAATTATTTCTGAGATTACAAAGAATTTCTTTGATATTCAATCCCATATCGACGCTTTTAATGATTTAAAATCACAAACAAATCGGAACGCACATAAACATTCTCTCAGACTCCCTTCGACTTCTCACAACAATGAATCAAAATCAGAACGGGAATCAAAAGCAAGAAGGCATCAGAAGTGGCAACATCTGCTCGTTATTCGTTGCTTCACGATGTTGATTCTAAAAATACGAGTGGAAATTCTGTTCCTAGTCAGTTTCTCCTTCTCGTCCATCGAATGTTTGTGCATTCTTTCACATCTCACACTTTCACTCGCCAACATTTGTTCTGATTATGTTTTTGTGCAAAAATATTTTTAATTTAAGGGAGAAAACGAATGCAATGAAGCAAAACAACACACAAATGGAATCAGGAAGGAACTAATCCAACTTCTCGTGAGTTCTCCATCAAGCAACTTAACTTGAAATAAACTTCGCATCTCTTAAATCCACAACTAATGTGTTGATGTAACTTCCACATGCTTCATGAAAGATTAAAAAGAAGCTGCTGTTGACTTCCAGATTGTGTCATCTCAAGTGTTCAACTTCGCATTGCATCTTTCTGCAGTTTCAATGAAAATGTTTCCTCTTTCTTGTTAAATATTCATAAACACAGAAACTTGAAATGGATTATTTGAAATCTGAATTCCACTCTTCTTCTCTTCTTCTCTTCTTCATCTTCATTGCAATGAAGCGATCGAATATGCGGAAAAATGTTCAACTGGCAACGAGAAACCAAAGCAAGTTCTACCGTCAAGCAACAAAAGAAAGAAGGAAGCAGACAAACTGCAAAGCTTCTCAATATCAAAGTATTGCATTTTATAGTTGGTGAATTAACGCCAGAATAAACAAGTTAAATAGAAACTGTGTTAGTGGAAAGAGACCAACAATGAATTATTCAAATCTCTCAGGGGTTGCATGGTAAGCGTTTGGAAATTATTCATTGTCGTGGAACATCAGCACAACCAACTCACCAAATTCTAACGAAAGAACTTCACTCCAAAGTCGATCTGAGATCACACTCCAAAAATAACTGAAACATAAACAATTTTGAAGAATTTAAACGTTTCAAAGGAAATTAAGAAGAAAATTCTTCTTTTTTGCATTTCAACACGCATTCGAGTTTCAAAGTTAGGAAATTAATTTGATGGTGTCGTCGTATCATATGACAACGACAACAACGACTTCGTAGAACGAATAAGGAAGGGAAAGCAGGAGAAATCCCAAGAGATGACGACACACATGGACATGGATGACGATATCAACATGAAAATAATTATTTTGTTAATGAAATTGGCGTCAAGAAGATTGAAAAAGGAGGAAGTTAGGAAAGGGCAAAACCGACAACAACGCAATTGGGAAATGGAAGACGCAGTGACCAACATCTCCAGCATAAATTCCTTTCGACCGTGAATTCTTTTTCGTTATGTTTACGATCGCCAACAACGAAAGGTGAAAACTCAGACGGCGTGAAAACGAAAACGAAATTATGAGGATATGAGAACTGAAACTCATCGTGGTGTAACCAACATATGTTTCAATTCGCTTCATTTATCTATTTATGTTGCTTTGAATGCTTGCTTCAAACATTCATTGCTGGTCGTGGCATTGAGTAATGAAAGAATAAAACAAATCAAAGGAAACGAAGGAAGGTAAAACGTAAAACTTTCCCAAGTGTCTTCAATGCATCGTAAATTTCGCCCCTTACAAATTTTATTCAGTTTTGTTTTCCCTCATTCTGCTTTTCTGCCAAATGCCAATATCGATAAAATCACATTGCAAATCACTCACTTTAGCTACCAATACACAACAAATAACTAACACAAGATGAATTAATCGCATCGCATCGTGCGAGGGCTTCACATTTGTTTCCATCTTATATTTTTCTATGTTTGCTAAATTATGAGACTGCCAATGTCTGTTTATTTATTTATCTCTGTTTTTCGCTCTATCTGCTGGATATATCTAATTGGATCAACTTATAATTCACTTTCACAATAAACTGTCGAATTACATGCATGGTTTTAATCAATGATGAGTCGACGTTCGTTATTCATCGGGCATTTGTAAATAATTTCAGCGATCACATGTTAAGACAACAGCAACGCGTGTGAGTGCAATCGACATTGAACTAAAAAAAGTTTTAATTTTTATTTTTTAGGAAATGATATGCAAAAAGTTCTTTGATTAAAATCAAACGTGTATGAGAATAAATATGGCATGACATGAACGTATTATTAAGCATATCATTGCTGCTAATTTGATTTAAGCTTGAACTAAATCGAACAAACGGAATAGGAATTTATTTGAGAGTCGTTGAATCTATTTTAGGCAATTTATAAAATGATTTAAGAAAAAAGGAAATTAAGACAGCTGCTGTGTCGAAACTTCAACGAAACGACCTTAGTCTTTATATTTATCAATAAATTTCGATTATAACTTCTTGTAAAAAGCAGCAACGAAATCTGGAAGCGAAGACGAGCATTATTAATTTTAATTGATTTTCTTGCTACGGCCATCAATTCTTGTTTTTACTTTCATGCTGAAGAGAAAGAGAAGGCAAAAAAAAAAGTTTCAATAGAGAGACAGAACTTTGAATTTAATGGTATTATTGTATTGAAGTAGAGCGGGGAAAAAAGCTCGAGCGCTGTTGAAAATGAAGAAGAAAAAAGTTTCTTTCATTCGTGAATGATCTCAGCATTTTCCCAGTTGATTATTTTTTATTCTTTTCTTCTGTTCCTCGGTCTCTCAATCTTCATTTTCCATTCTTTTCTTTCATCATGACGTTGGATCCACAAACTTTTAATTTTGGCCTTTAATTGCGTCAAAAAGAGAAAAAGAATCTTCTGCTGGTCCTTCTCAATTGCCATAATGATGCGTAGAGGTGGAAAGAGCTAATATTTAATTCATTTTCACTGGGTCATCAGTGGAAGGCGACAGAGATAAAAAAAGGGAAAGAAGAAAAGTAAACTTTTTAAATTGTCACAGCGGCGTTAAAGAATTCACGACTGTAGCACTTGAAGACATTGTGATGGCATCAAAGCGTGACAAATCAACGCCAGAAGTAAATCAAACATCTCAGACAGACAAAAATTAAGAATAGAACAGAACAAAAAGAAAATTCCTTTAAAGGAAATCCGAAAGAGAAGCGAAATAAAAAATTAAATTTTCAATGAGAGTAAAATAAAAATTTAATTAAAACTTTTCGCATCCTATTTTCATTTATCTCCATGATTCTTGAAAATAATAAAATTTAGCCGCTTGAGAAGTGAGAGGGAGATAGAAAAAAATGATAATTTATTTGCGGGAGCTCAAAATGAAATCAAATAAAGAAATGAAGAAGGAACTTTTCCTGACAACTGAACAAGATTGGCGTAAAATTGCATAAATTTTCAAGTGTCCTTCAATTTTTGCTTTCGTTTACATTTCAATATCGTCATTGTCGTGAGTTGTGATCGTGACGATGTTGACACTAAGCTAATCAACAATATAAAAAGATGAAGATATTTCTCAGATATCGTGTAACATTCATAAAGACTGACGACAGTCTAATTAGAGTGAAGGTAATGAACTCAATGATACTTTCTTTTGTTGTTTGTTGCATGACATTCAGTTCTTCTTTTGCTATTTTCAACTTTATTATCGCCTGTATAGTGTCATCATCATCGCGATGATACAAAAAGTTAAAAGAATGAAGAATGTGTCTAATAAATCATTCAAACGAATCTCTCTCTCCGCCTACACAAACTGTCATAGTTAATGTAAAGCATGGAAAGCCCTAAAGTGAAGTCTGATTAGCGGTTTATCGGATGAAGCATCAAGTTTCAAGAATATCTTGAAGCAAATTGGATGGACTCTTGTAAGTGTAGTGAACCATACAATTCTCATACTGATTTTCATTTTTCTGCTCTGTATCTCTCGCTCTTAGCAAGATCAGGTCAGAAATCAAAAAATAAAGAAGGGATAAGTGGTTTTGAAACTTTAGAATGCAAATTGGATGCGAACTCTCTTCACATCTCCAACATTTGTGTTCAAGTAATTTAAATTTTAAATTTCGCTTCTTCTTTCAGTTTTATTTTCAATTCGAAATCAGACAGACGAAGGAAGAAAAGAAAGCAGAAATGATGTTTCTGAGACGATGGCTTGGCATGGCATGGCATTGAAGTTGTTTTAAGTTTTACGATGCAGCATATGCTCAGAGTGGTAAACATTAATTATGTTGTAAACATTTATTACCTTTTTTCTGCTTATTTTCAGTTGAAAAATTCCCTCGAAGCAGAAGTTTTCTTAAGAACTCTCATTTGGTTTTACGATGTATCTTCTTCCGTTTGTTTGCCACTACTGAGTACTGACGATGTTCTGTTGATGTTACTGTTTCTAGATTGTATGTTGTATCGTATGTAATCCTTTTTGAAACTTTCCCTCCTTCGTTTTCACAATTCAAATGTAAAATTCATGTATTCACTTCTTTATTATTATTCTCACTGAATCACATTAGAGTTGGTTGCACAACAAAACACGAAAAATTATTTTCAAACTTTACTGCTGTTGCTCACATCAAAATCTCATAACTTATGAGACTATTAAGTGCGGGTCGGTTTCGTTATCAACAAATTGAATTAATTTCTATTCTCGATCATTCCCATTCGGATTCAATTTGATTTCACTTCTTTTCTTCTCTTGTCATCAACTCAGCTATAATCTTTTTCAATTACGATTTTCTTCTTTTTTTCTGACCTCTGACATCGACTTTCAGGCGACTAAATAGAATAACAAAAAGAAAAGAGAAAAAAAAGTGAAAAATAAAATAAAAATACAGAAATTTAAATTTCATTTGAGTGAATTTTATTAACACTCGACCCGGTTTTGTGGCTTTTGAGAGATTTTCTTCGCCTGTTTATTTTGTGATTGCGCAACGTAACAAAAACACGAAGGAGAAAAAGCCACAGATATGCTTTCAAACAAAATTCAAGTTAAATTCCATACACACAAAGGAAGGAAAATAAAAACAGCATGAAATTCTTTTTGTTCATCATTTTATTTTTTACTTTATCAGCATTCAGTCTACGAATGACTTTCTTGAATAGAAATAAGTCAACAATTTAAAAGATTCTTTTCATGTTTGTTCTTTGAATCATAATCTTTTGTTTAAACATTTCATTTCGCCCGACAAACGTCCCAGTGGTGGAAGAAAGAATTTTGTAAGACACGAATTGAATGCATTTCTTAACTGTTCACTGTTTTTTTTTAGTTTACGACCTGCACCGAGAAGAATATAAAATGAATACTGGTTGACGATACGACGGGGAAATATTTTGACAAACTGTTTTATGAAACTTGTTTCGGTAATATCAACAAACTATTCGTGGTGGCGACAATGTCAAGAAGTAAAAAAATGCTTTCATGGCAACAAACTTTGTTTAATTCTTGATGTCGCAATTAAGTTTTGTTTTTATTATTATTTAACTTTGCTGTAGCAGCGGCGCCGAAGCATTTCTAGCTGGGAATTTCTTTTATTTACTGGCATCACACGCATAAGCTCATGAAACTCGCATTCCGGCTATGTTACAAACAGCTTTGTAAAGAAAACGAGAGAACGAAATAAAAAAAGTAAAAACATTTTTATTATCCTCCCTATTTAAATATTTCTGTCTCCAGTTTTAATGTCAATGCGACAGCGAGTCAATAGAAGGGCGAGGGCGGTGTTATTATCGCATATCTTGTTGAATATTTCTACATAGTAAGTATTTGAAACGCGCTCCGTTTAAAGAAATGAATGTTATTTTAAGAAGGGAGGGGAAAAGCGAACTTTCATGACATGTAAATTTAAAATTCTTACTTGCAATAATGTTCTTCTTATTTAACAGAAAATAACATTCGTCGATATTCAAATAATTTCACTCTTTCGAGAGTTAAGTAGGGTGGAAAGTCAATTTGGAGCCATACAAAGGATTGCTCTCAATTTACAGACAGAAGGTCGATATAGGAATTCTTTAAAGCTTAAAAGTTAGATTTTGGATGTTTTCAAGCAAATCAAATTTAAATTAAAATTTAGCACAATTTTTACATGTAGCAATTTAGGCTTTTTTCCCTACTTAAAGCGAAAATTTTTAAACATTCGAAAGCGAGGGAGTTTCCTTTTTATCTCTTTTTAAATTTGAAAAGCTGTTTTTATAATAAATCCAACTTTAGTGACAAATAAATTCCTGCAAACTCAACATTTCGTATTTTTTTTGAGTTTTATTTATTTTCCGGTAAGTTCACATTTAGATTTTTTTTACCGGGTGAAATGAAAGATATGAATTCGATACAATGGATATGCTTTGTTTATGGATCGTACAATCGGTGTTCATTCAAACAGCACGAAACTGAAACTACACCAATCAGTTGAACGAATATTTTCATGATTATTTTTCCTCTTCATCGTTCGTGGCAATAAATTCTCCATCAATACAGAAAAAAATGTCACAAAATCCTTTTTTTATTTTTAGTAAAACATAACATGCAAGCAAGCAAAACACTTCGATTATTTTACTGTCGTTGTACGTTTTAATATCAGTGGAAATTTCCGAAATTTTCATCTTTAGTTACCGTTCACAAACCAAGGGAGCCATAAATGTTTTCCAATTTGCTGGATCGTGAATTATCATTTGATAGTTTCACTTGATGTCCCTCACTGTAATTTCACTAATAAGCTAGCGAAGGCGCCATTTATTGAGATGATAAGTGGATTTAAAATACAAACAATGAATCGATTAATTATTTATAAGTTCTGTCAAAAGACTGAAATCAATTGACTGATATATCAGTCAAAGAAGTCTTTTCGATAGTCGCACAACAAAGAAAGTGACAATAATCCATAAATATTCCATTTTTAGTGCTTCGACGTGAATAAGTTTTTATGTTTATCGAAGCTGGAGGGTGAAAAACTCGTCCGATCAAAAGCTTCTCTTCTTCATCTTTTTTTACGGTTTTTGAACATAAATAGAGAGCGGAAAAATTGTTTTTCTCGTTATTCGTTCGTGAAAATGTAAATAAATATCTACCCAAAACATTGAGGAAAGGAAGAAAAGAAAGAAAAATCCCACAAGAGGGAGGAGAACAACATGGAACATAATAATTTTCATAGCGCTCATGTAACATAGCAGAAAATATTGCCATTGAATAGATTATCATAATCGTACGCAAATGAAATCGATTTCCAATTCAATTCAATAACACGGACAGTGAAAACTCTTTGAAATTTATGGTTTTTATTGTAGGCTGTTAAACAACGATAATCTTAAAAGTTAATGATGAGAACGTTGATGCATCGATTAAAGATGGATACGCAATTTAAATAAATTCACCTTCTGTTGATCTAGAAGGTGAAACATGTTTCAATAAACACAGAAAAAAGCCTTCGCTTGAGTTCTAAAGAATTGAAATTATGTTTTTCTATACGATTGGTGAGGTCAATTGTGAAGTTTAATGGACTTTTGAATCAACCATGTTGTGTTAGTTTTGTGGTTTTTATTCGGTCGATTTCGCATTAATTTTATTTATGCTTGAAGCAAAACTTCGAAACTTAAGTTCAAAACAGAAACTGTAATAACACTGAGAAGTATTTAAGAGCTCGCTAGACCGGTTTTTTTATTACGTTTGTTTGTATGCTTGCGTGTTTTAATGGTGGATGTTGAACTCTATCTCCCAGTGGTAAACGTTTAAATGAATTGTGGTGATGTTTGTGTTGATTCACACAAAATATCACAATAATAAAAGAATCGGGAAAAATATCGAATTGTTCAATCAATTGATGAAGCTATCAATTTTCTATCAACACTCGACATAAACATACATGAAAGATCATTTTTCTCACCGAAATATTGAGGTCGCTAAAATAACATCGACGACACAAATTGTAATATGATAATTTCAGTCTTGGAATTTGAAACGATACAAAAATAATAAATAATTTTGTTGACACAATTTATCACAAGTTTAACATGAAAAAAAAGAAAAGAAACAAATTTCAAATAATTTTGATGATGTCAGTGAATGATTGAAACAATGAATCACGGCATACATGAAAGACTTAAGCGTTTCAAATAAATTTAATTATTTTCCTTTGAATTTACTGCGTTACGTCAGACTTCTCAAGTGTCTGCTTTTGCTAATTTGAATTTTTTAAGTGGAAACATCACTCCAACTTCACATAATTCATTTTCTGTTTTCTAACAAACAAACAAAGAAATTCTTTTTTTCCATCTTCAACTGTTTTCGCAATAAAATACTTCATTTAATTTCAGACAGTTTTCAATATGCCTTGAATGCTTAATCATTGAATTTGTTTCATCAAAGGTTTGTTTTGAGTTTCAAATTAATTTTCCGATGAATTCGAGAGGAATGAATGAAAACATTTAAGCTGTTCTAATTTCCCCTTGACCTTCAATCCATCATCAATTCCGTCACGTAAAGATTCGGCTAACTGCACCGAGATGAAGGAAGGCAGACGTTCTGTGTTTTTATTTTGTAGCTGTATGGATGTTAAATCGCTCATACCATAAAAGAGGAAAGAAAAATTATACATGTAGAGAGAAATTGAACCTTTTTTTTTGCTTTGTATCTCATGATGTTAGGCTCACGTTTGTTTGTGTTTTTCTTTCGTCTCTTATACACGTATTGTCATTACAAATACTTTTCAGAATGAGAAGCAAAAAAGAAACGAGAATTCATTCTACTTTATAAGATTTTCAAGATAAAAAAGAAATATTCAACGAGGGAGGAAGAGAATAACATTTAAGCTGCTCCATTAAAATTACGGCTGTCATGTAGCTTACTGACATTCCCGCTATGTTATCACCAAACTCCATCAATAATAATAACACGTTTATCGTCGTTGAAGTAATCAAACGTTATGCCCTGTTATTAATCTTCGAACTGCAATTAAAATGTAAACTTGACACTTGACAGAGAAGCAAGCAACTGTAAACGTCCTTAGAATATATTAACCAACACATATTTAAGCCTTTCTCACATTACTCTTGTGAAATGAAGGAAGAAGGAGAAGAAAAAGGCATTCTAATGTCCACTTTGGGCAACAGCTTGAAAGCATTGCTTTAAGAAGCAGAATTGCTAATGAATTATTGATTTTCTCTTTTCTTTCTTCTTCTGAATGAAACCAACGAAACAAGAATTTACATCGACAAAATTTTTTTATTAAGCTTTGTTTTGTTTCGTGCTTTTTCCACACTGAGAGGCAGTTTCATGTTTCGTTTCGTTGAGCGCAAAATAACAGACGAAAAAATAAATAAATGTATTAAAAAAAACACAATGAAAGAATAAAACTCTCAAAGTCATCACGATTCACATTTCCATTTCGTTTTCAATGCTTTTCTTAGCAGTTTGCAACATGAAAGGTATAAAAGATGCATTTTTTCATGCATTTCATGTTACCTTATGAATGTTTTATGAATTCAAGAACATACCTACTTTCTTTTCTCTTTGATAATTAATTAGTGTAGATTCTACTCTCTTAATTAAAAGAGTGAGTTGTTCTTTCGAGATACATTTGATCACTCTGCATCACTTTAATTCATGCTTTATGCACTTATAGATTATACTTTCTATCTTTCTTTTGACCTTTCATCACGTTTTAATTAATTCTTTTGAAGAACCTCTTCTTATTCACACTTTTTTTTATATCTCTTATCTTAACGCTTCACACTTCACTTTAATCCAATTAGTCTGATACAGTTTAATCCTCTGTGGTAAAATTTGTGAGCATTCCGGAAACGGAAATAATTTTCTAAAATACTTTTCCGATAGACGTTTCTGAGTAATTTTACTCTACACGCAATTTGAATACACGTCTTGAACCTTTAATTTCTCGGCAACTAATGTTTACGACGATTTTACAATGCTGAATGTAGTTGAATATTGGAAGGAATTTCCAACATTTCCAGTCGAACGAAGTAATCCGAACGTGGCTATTCCAATAGACTGGAGTTCGAAGAGTTTGTACTGCAATTTGTTCAAATTGTGTTAGTGTTAGTGAAGTGAGAGTAAATTTGGTGTTTGGAATAATTGAATGCTGTCAAAACCATAGAATTGTGACGGGCACTTTACTAATGATATTTATTAAACTATCAAGATATCTCTCCTTGGATGTTACAATTTATTTCTAAAGTCACGCATACATGTTTTATAATAATAATAGCGTCAAGTCGTAATGTGACTTATTTATATCCAAATAAAGAATCAAAATGTATTGAGATGAAACAATAACATTTTTTCTACACATTAACAAAAACTAAAGTTATAAATAATTGATTTATTGTGTTCGTAATAACGTTGCGCCATAACGCGTACACATGAAGCATGGCTCGTAATCATAATAAAACTTCTCAATTTCTCAAATCATTGTAAACTTTGTTTAACCCAGTTATGGAAGTTCCTAAACAACAATTTTTCAAACACATTTTTGACCAAAACAACGAGTCATTAACTTAACATTGAAGTGTGTTATTTATGTATACCTTTCGAGTACTTGCCTTTAGCACCACTTCGCACAAACGTAAAGTGTTATAAGCTGAAAATGTTCTATAATGGAAATTAGGTCAAAAATTCTCACCATTGTTTATTAAGTCATACATGGACGGAAGGCGATTACGAAAAACATGAGAAATCTCTTCCCCTTAGATTTAAACCTTCGTCAAAATTAAACAACTTTTATCATTATCCACGTTCCTTCAGTGACGGTGCAGAAAAAATGAAAAAAGGTTTTAAGTTTCTACGTAATAAAGTTTCGTTTTAACCCTTATTTAATTTATTTAATTAATAAATAAGAGACTTCAGCAGAAGCGCACAATATAATGGGAAAATTGGGATATTTGAAGGATGGCTTAACAAACAATTAAAGCTTTTCCACTCAAGCATCCAGCCACCGTCGCTGTATTACTACAACTCACAAGCCTCTTTATTTTCATAAGCAAATATGATGTTAATTTGTAAGTAGGACGTAGGGAGAGCAGGAAGTCGACTCGAGGCAAAACAGCAAAAAAATTAGAACAGTAAAAAACACAATGCGCCCTACGGCAACAGCACATGAGAATAAAACATTGTAATTCCTCCTCACCCCCACATATTTTGTGGCAGCAATATGTCATACAATCTAATGATTACAAATGAAGGCAGAGGAAAAATGTTTTCCTCTCTTTTTTTTTACGATCAAGTTATTGCAAGCAGTCAAGATATCTTATGAGGACTACTAATAAAGGTTTTTCTTTTATTATGCGGGGAATTTTACATTCATGTGGAGTTATTGTTGTTGCTGTAGGCAAATTTTATAGAAAACCTTTTTCTCATATCAGAAACTTGAAAGTTTTTCGAAACTACGCAGAAGAAAGAACAAAACTTCGATCGAATTTTAATCTTAAACCTATTTCATCATGTTTTACATATAATCAGAAGAAGGAAGCCACAGCTGACAAAAAGTTAAAAAAATTCTTATTGGGAACAAATGGTAGGACATTTTTTATCAAGTCATTTTCCAGATACCAATTCTAATTTATTTATTCATTCGAATGGAATTTTCTTTTTACGAGTTTGTTGACTTAACATTGCAAAAATCGTGGCGGAGTCGTCGTCATTGTTGTGCTATAAATAATTCATTAACATGGAATAAATCAAGAATGAAAAGAGAAAGTCATAAATTGAAAGCAATTTTGATGAATATCAGTATGGATAATGATTTCTCATAAATTCCATTTCTTCATGAGCCTAAAACGAAACCTAATTAATCAATCTTCCAACATCATTTCTCTCAATCTGGTCTCCAATCACTAGTAATCAAGTCACGAGAAAATTACTTGAGATTGAAAATTCATAGCCTCTCAAGTGGCTTTAAAAAGATTTTCTTTTTTACGGAAAATGAAAACGTGACAAGAAATTTTTATTTTCATGTTTCGCATCACAACGTCCTATTTTTCACTCTCAGGAAAACGACCACGTGCCATGTTGACGCTAATTCGGACCAATTTTTCATTTTTTTGTTCTTTTTTCATTCACGGAACAAGCGCTAACTTTTGTTTTGTATGATAAATGTCTTCATTCGTTGTTGTTATGAAAATAAAAACAATTTTTTTCATCTCCAACTTAACTTTGTTTGAAAAGGAAATTTGTCGTCGATTGTTCTAACAAGTTTTCACTTTTGTTTTGATGAAACTTGCAGTCTTTCGATTGATTCAATAAAACAAGAAGAAATTCTGTTCACGTGGATGAGTCGTATTATTGAAAGCTCAGAAAGTTCCATCATGTTACTTAAATTACAGAATAAGTCATGAAAGTTTCAATAACATGTTGTGCGATCAAGTTTTGTTGTGACTAACTTCGAAACAATGAAATAGTTCGAAACAGTCAATGAATGAACAATAAAAAAAACTATTTATGAAAATGTCCTGATGCTTAAATTATTCAGCTTTTTGATGGATGCAACTGTAGTAAGTAATACTCCAATCATCACGCTAGAAAATCATTTGATTGACGCTGACACCGAATGTGTGAAAGTTTACATTCAACAGACATGCATGCTTGACCTATGTCTACGTGCTTAACAAATCAATACTTTCTATACAATCACTATGAAAACATGAAAAAAATAATAAACAAACAATAAAAAAATTTGAAAACTCTGTTCAACTGTTTCATTTTTTCCCATAAACCTTTGAACAGTCGAAAGCTTTCTTCGGGCTTACCTTAGTGATAAAATATAAAATCGATTTCAATAACAAACAAATCCACCTTAAAAAACAACCTTCGTACCACTCAACTGCTTTTCTCCCTTCTTCAATTATTTGTTGAGTAATTAATTGAGATTTTGTTTAGTACTTGCAACAATAAAAGAGGATTAATTTAATTTTATGTTCTAAGGGCAATGTAGGAAACAACACAATGATAAAATCAATAAACAACAAGCCGAGAATAAGCTAAGTAGCTGAGAATATTGTGTGACTATACAGCTGGAATATATTGTTGGATAAAAGCTGAATTAAATATCTAACAGAAATCTCATTTAGGAAATAAATTCGTTATTTAAACGAAGTTAGCTTTAATAAGGTGAATTATTGAAACCTAAGTAATTAATTAATGTTTACTTTATGCCAGTTGCTTTTAATTAACATTTAATCAACTCTGGTGAAAAGCTTGCTGAAATGTCATCTCATTGAAATTCCAAAAGGAATTCGTAGCATAACACAAATTGATAAATCGGAGTATTTTCTCAGATGGATGATTTATTTCGTAATACGAAGATTTCATCAACCAGTCTATGCATGTTAATTAAGTTCAGATGTTTCAAATGAATTTTAGAATTAAATTCGCTACTTAGAATTCTCTATGTCGATGAGATTTGTCTTGAATTTCTTTTCAATGCGAAACGTCCAATGGAAGTTACATACTTGTCGTCAACAGTGGATGGAATATTTATGAACACTTAAGGGTAAATATCCTGCTCATAGACTACAAATAACACAACTTTTGTTTATGAACTGAAGAATTAATGCTTAAGTTGTCTTGTTCAGGTGTATGTTCTAGGTTGTGATATTAACTAAATTAATATTATTATGATATTTACTAAACACGCTAAATAAACAAATAAAGCAACAAAAGAGAAAAATTGAAACGTAATTACAGTGACACCTTTTAATGACTGTTATTAATTCTCTTTCAATGGCAGGTAAGGAAGTTATTGTAAAATAAAGGCGTCAATGAATATTTTTGTTATGTGACAAATCAACTTCTTTTCAAACGACTCACAGAAAAGCAATTAAGTAATCGAATATTTACTTTCCTTACTTTTTTCTCCTTTGTTAAGTAAATTCCAGAAAACAGTTTCTAAATTGTTTATTTATGTTTCATTAAATAACATTACGATATCTAAAATCAATTGGGTTATCCATTTAAGTACTTTTTATGGGTATCACATTGGGCCTTAGATGTAATAAATAGTTTGTTGAGTGAAAATAAAATTGTTTTGGATCCTATTGGAGATAACTTTGACGAAGCTTTAATGTTGATAATGAGCTTTTGATAGCGCACAATTTATGATTTTATGTATACATGGACTCAGTTCTAAGAATTATGGCGAATTACTAATTAAATCACGCAGCCTAGGATACACAACAGACTATAAAAGCTTTCCGATCCTTTAAAATCACTTTGTATTAGAACATGACATTCGCCTGAGTATAATCATCAATCACTTTAATTACAAGCGACATGGGCTTAAGGTTCGGTAAAAGCATGGATAGAATAAAATTGAATTAGGACAAAATTGAAATAATGATTAGATAACTTACGAAGGAATTTGTGGAGTTGCGCATTTGTCAAGCTGTTAATTAATTCATACAATTTGTTTCATTATCGTGACCTTAACAATTTGTTTCGAAGCTCGAAATGGAAATTTTTTTGGGTGTAATAAAAATTTCAATCGAATGACATAATTTCAGCTGTAAATTCGTTAATTCTACACTAAAAATAATTAAGAATATTTGTGATGGAGATAATCATTGAGTAGAAAGTTTCAAAACCACGAGAATTTACAAAATAGTTGTCGACTGCTATGAATTCTGTATGAATTTTTAATGCTACCTGATCGTGAATTTCCTAATAAACTTTTTATTGATTTTGAGTTAACTTCAAAAAATAACAAGAAGAATTAAAAAAGGACGAAAATGATGACAAAAAGAATTCACGTTCAATCGAATTTTTCTATCTATAGAGCTTCCGCTTTCTTTTTCGGCATCTCTTTTAAATGTTGATAATTCTTTGGACAAAACGTTCGTGTATCTCTTCCATCTTGTCTCCTGTTTATCTCTTAAGTCATAAATGGATCCACTTTTCTCAACCAGAAAACAACCCAACGTTAGGTTGCGTTACGATATGAACTCGATATCTAGAAATGAAAAGCAAACCCTCAAATAAATATCGGCAACATATTCAATAAACATAATCATAACAATGATGATGGAATCGGAACTGAAATCTTTAAGATTTCGAGTCAGTGAACCAATTTCTTCTTGTGTTCTTATCAATGAACGAAATAAAAAGAAGCAAAGGAAATAAATACGGATTTCCAAGAAAAATAGAAGAAAAGAAAATAAATGCAGTTATATTGAATGTTCTTTTTGTTCGACAAACAATGAATATGTAGAATGTTGATACGTATGTAAATATTGAGAGTGAAGTGAATAGAATATAGAGAGAATCCTACAAATAACAATCCAACTTCGAACATTTCCGGATTCAAGTTAAAAGCATTGTTATGTAAGTTAATACATTTAAGGGTATGAAAAGATTTTTCTTATAGGCCTTTGGTCTGTATGTCGTTATCATCGTTGGTACTTCGGTCTGATTCAACGTGACCCTTGAGTTTTCTACTCATATTTTAGACACAACAAATTGAAGTTTTCACTTTGTATTCCTTTTTTTCACAAATTAAAGCAGGCATCATCCAAAAACCTGATTAAATATAAAAAAAATATTAAACAAAGTTTAGTTGTTGCTTGCGAAATCTTTCTTGAATCGAGAGATTTTCTTTATTTGAAAGTATTGAAAGTTTGAACCTTTTCGAAAGTCTAACCAGATGCAGACGGTTTTGAATACTAAATAGATAAACCTTTTTTATTTTTTATGTTTTCTCAGGCAGACAAGCGGGATATCATCATCCATATCTTGTACACGAGAAGCAGAAACTTATCAATAATGCAAACATGTCTCAAAGGAACAGGAGAAGGTTAGATGAGAGGAAATTATAAACAGGGATAGTAGAGATAACATCAAGCTTATGTACAGCTTCGGGGTGAAAGCTGGGTGAAAGCCACTTTTTATGACAATGTGAATTAAATTAAATTTTCATGTTATTAGAGACCTAAAATATCCAATTAAAACCGTGCGCGTTACAACTTTAATCTGATGTAAATGTTCTTCCATATTCTCTTACAACAATTGTACTTCAAACTGAATATTCTACATAATCAACCTAAAGTAACATGTTGTTGTTTGCATAAACTCTCAAGCATTTCATATTTATCATGATATCCAGTGAGTATCCATTGAAACTTTTCAAAGGAAAAAGGTTTCTTTTTTGCAGATCAGATCCAGTTTAGAGATTAGGAGGATACGAAATTATCTGCTGATGACAAATATTTGTCTAAATATTAACGACAAAACAAAGGAATAATGATACAAAAGGACAATAAACCGATCCCAATACTTTCCTTTGATATGCAAAATGAATTTAAATTGTGAAGAATTTTCAATTACTTTAATTTAATACTTGGAAAACACTTAAATGTTAAATGAAATTTTAATTAATTAATATCTGTGGTAAGAATGAATTCTTCATAAATTATGAGTTGAGCTCATTGTAAATTTATTAAGATAACCAATTTCATTAGCTGATCATAATTTATTTTGATGTTAAACAATTTTCAAGAATATTTAACATAAATATAAAGTTTGTTGTGAGTAATGAAATGTAATAATTCGATTTTCTCACGTTTCACTCTTTCACTTTGAAAAATAAATATCATAAAACATAAAAAAAAGGTTAAAACACAGTCAGAAGAAAGATAAAAAGTTTATGATCCACAAAAGTCAAGTTATTAAAATAATGAAAAGCTCCTTCTTCGCCATCTCAGCTTTCTGATAAAAGAGAAAACCAAAGGCGACAAGGGTTAAAACTCGCTGAACCTTGTTAATCTTATTGTTCTTAAATATTTTTAATTGCTTTTTTTATGGTAATGTCTTCTAATTGCCAATGCCATTTTATTGCATCGATAAGAAAATTAACATTAAGCTGCAAAGCTGGAAAGCGTAAAAGCTTTAATGAGAAAAAAAGCAGTAAAACTGTTTCAACATTGAATGCTTCAAGAGCAACATTATGGAGAAAGTCTAAAGTTGTGTTTTGAATATTAATGAAAATCGTTTCTTTCTCAAGGTGGAATGTGTGAACATTAAACAGGTGGATGTGGCATTATCTTCCAACAGTAAATAAACACTCAGTTCTTCTCATTTCATCTAAAAGTTTTCTAGAATAAGTTTAAGGAAAGCAATGAAGATTGCATCATGTGTTTACTTAGATACATCTAGTTGAAAGTTTTCCCTTCGGCTTAAAACACCAGAACAAAAAACTCTGAATGAATTTCTTTTTCTCATATAGTTGGATGACTAACAAAATCTATGGAATGAAACTTTTTAAAATGAATCCTTGAAGGACTTAAAGGACTATGAACAGGAAGACAAATTGTGTTAAATAAAAAAGAAACTGATATGAAATTGCTTTCCATGTAAGAGAATATCTAGTGGAAACCTTTATTTAACTTTATGTAGGATGAAGGAGAGAAAATTGTTTTTCTATGAAAACTTCATCACTTTTTAGTAAACAATGAGATAAATATCAAAATTATACCCTTAAGCATGTTCTATGATTTCAGCTTATTTCTACAAGTTTTCCATGCATTTTTACTTTTTTTTTCACTTTTGGCGAGATGATGAAATTTTATAATGCGATTGTGGTTGATAAAAATTACATTGCTATAAGGTTTCTTATCAGGATCAAAATATTATTCTCTATGCTTATCCTTTTATTGTAAGAAAAAACTTATACTGTGCAGCTTATCACAGATTACAAAGGATTTACAAGTTAAACAACATTGTTGAGAAATGCATGTTTGCCTTAATGCATGCTCTTAAATACGGTAAGAAAAATTACCATGAAAACTAGATTGTTAGCTAACAAACTTAACTTTCACTTCAACATTGCTGAAGGTTTTTTTCAACCTGAATTCCTTACTGATAAAATGTGAATGAATTTTGTTTCTCATTCTTCACGCGTGAAAAATGTTTCCTGCTAACAATCTCAAAACTTTTCAACCTCTAACATCCCCTCAAACCTCCCTTGAGATTAAACTTGCTCAAGCGCAACTGATCTGACAGATAAGGAAAGGGTTTCAAGCTAATGATCAGTTGTATAACTTCGGTAGTCACATGTATAATTAATAACAATTCAGTTTGTAGAGAAGGGAAAGTTTGCTGTGCAAAATGTTTACAATCTCAAAGTTTCTTTCCAAGCATTCCAGAAAATAACGACAAAGTGAATTTTATTTAACAGGAATTTGAAACTACTTATGAAAGAAAGTTTTTGATTTTATTTACCTGTTCGGAAAGTCAGATTATTAGAACATTATTTTTCATCTTCTTAAGTATTTTCCTATTTAAATTTCTTAAAGTTTCTTGCCCACTTAATAAACTTTAAATTACTTTCAATTTAAACTTAAGCAGACTTATAAGTTGTTGTGTGAACTGAAAAGCAAATAATTCTTAGTTTTAACATGTACATCGAAAGGATTGTGATATGTAATTAAGATTGTTTCACCTTAGTTAAACTTTATTAAATTTGCAACTTTAGTAATTTAGAAATTCTTCAAAAATGTTTAAAACAATTTTGACTACTCAAAGATTATTGAAAACGAGAGAATGATGCAAACAAATCGAAGTTTTCAGAACAGAAAGGAAACAAAATTAAAAGAAATTTTAAATCATTCAAATAAAATGAATGATTACGAGAGCGAAGTTTTTAGAAAGCTTTCCAGTTGATTATTCTTTGAAGTTTTTCTAAGATTTCATTCCATTAATAATAACATGCCAAAAAGCAAGAAATTTATCTTGGCGCCATAACGACTCTGTTTCACTAAACAAAAGCTTTTTTTCTTTGCATAAGTATCTCTTAGCCAATAAAGCGAAACGATGAAAGCTCGATAAGAATCTCATCTTATGGCAATTTTGGATTACAAATGTAATTTGACTTACATCTTGTATCAAATTACTCTTTTTCTATTCAAGAAGATTTATTATCATTTGGTTTTGATGAATTTGCTATTGGCAATTTATTTAAAGATTTTTCTACAAGAAATAAGAAAGCAACGTCTTGGAAACAATGATTCTCCTACGCTGAGCTTCATTTTATTTCAGAAACAGCGAAGACGTATTCCTTCAACAAATAACTTTGACTGAATAAACTTTTGGAAAGATCAATATTTACCTTTAAAACCTTTCTATAAAAACGTAAACAACAAGAGTCCTTAGGTTTCTGAATACCTAATTGCTTAATGCTACAACGATATTCATTACAAAGAAAGAGAGAAGAAACACAAAAATCGATCTGTTTCAATTGAAATATGAGCCGAAATTTCGATTAAATCTATCAGCTTAATTAGCAATCTATTCAATATAATCGCTATCAATCAATCCAACATAAACACAGAAAAATTTTCATATTATATCTACTTTAACACGTTGTGTAATGAAAAGGAAATTCCTACAAATCCATTAGTAGTAGAAATCATTACAGAAGTGATAAAGACGAAAATGAGGAAATGAAATGATTTTCCTCATGTTAAATAAGAGAAAAGTACGATTGTTGAAAGGAAGGATGTTGAGTTGAATTGTAGTCACGAGATTAAAGATTTTATTTGTCTTTCTTATCTTGATTTGAAAAAGCTTTGCGTTGGCGTAGCAAAGCGAGGGAAACAGCGAAACGAAAGTCTATGAATTCAATTTTTAACCCCGCAGCAATTTAATTACCATTACTCGTCATTCTTGTTAGTTTTGTGTGTCTCGCTCCGGGAAGAGTTTTCAATTCATCGCTTTGTGCATTGTAACATTTTTCATGCTTAACTAGCGCGCAACATAAATTTTAATGTATTTCTCCTTCCTTTCATTCTCACTGTGTCACGCTATGATGCTTTTCGCGTGCGGTTTACGATTGCATAAAAATGATAAAAAACTTTGTTGAAAATGCGACAACTTTTTATGTTGTCATAATGAACATTTTTTCTCCTCGTTTTTGAACATCGAGCGGCTTTCATCCAAGCATAATCATAAAAATAAATTCAGTTTGAACATTCTTTTTTTTCTCTATCATTATAATGTTAAAAGTTAAGAGGAATATACTAAAAATGAAAATAATTTATGAATCACTTTGTCTACTAAATTTATTATAGTTCACAATATTTTAATGTTGAAATATAAATGACATTAATTATAAATCAAGTTTCATCACTGTTTTCGATGAGTTACCTTTTAGACATCGTCAGGTTATCTTTCCATCAACACAGATAATTTTTAATTAGTCATTGTCAAAGCATGTTTTTCACTTCAGAGTCGAATGTAACTTTTATTTTAAAACCTTCACCTCAAAAAACCATAAACATAAAACAATGACAATCAACAGATTCTGAAAGTAGAACGTGACTTCGTAGTTTTGCATGCGGTCACGAATGAGGCCAAATAATTGTCCCACTGACAACACAAAAAAGCTTTTAGTGATCATATTTATACCGATAGCATGTGGAAGTTCATCTCTTGAATGAAATTTGTCGCAATATTCAGCAATTGTTAAATAAAGATGAACTATGACCACGGCGTGAAAATATCCAAGTATGTAATACGCAACAAGTCACGAGCCAATAAAACGATTCAATAACATATGTTGTTGAGACTCCAATTAATTCTAATGTCACTAAAAGTCATTCGACATGAAAGTTTTAAAAGATCCGATATAAAATGAAATGTCAAACGTGAGACGATATTTGATATTGCAAGTAGTGATAAACATAGTGCAGTTTGTGTGGTTGTCAGTTTTGATTTCTTCTAAGAAATTTTCATGTTTTTCTTCATTTTCAAATAAAATTCTTCAAACTTACCTGTAGAAGCAATGAAAGTACCATTGATGCGTCCATTACAATAATATCATCTCCACTTGATAGTCCAATGTTTAAAATATAGAATCTCAAATCTTTTATCAAGCACCATTCAAATGCTCTAGAAAATCGATTTTTAAAAGACTCGTTTTGCTTTCCTGTCAGCAATTTCGTTTTATTTTTTGCTTTATAAGCGGATCCTTTTTGGTTGCTTCTTGAACGTATTGAATTTTGTAGCGTGTCTGTGAATTGGATGGAAGAGAAGTGCTCCGAACACTCCATTCAATGCGAGTCCAGCAAATATCAAGAGTGTTCCTTTCGATCCATATAATGGCATTAGAAGTTTTATTACCTGAGGTAGAAGAACTTGTCCAACTCTCGTTCCAGTCATTGCTAAGCTTACTGCCCGATTTTTCATTGTTGTAGAAGATACGAACAGACAGCTAAGAATGATGCCGTTCCCATGAGACCAAAGCCGAGTCCCATCATGATGCCATAAGAATAGACAAAANCCAGAAAATAACCCAACGTTAGGTTGCGTTACGATATGAACTCGATGTCTAGAAATGAAAAGCAAACCCTCAAATAAATATCGGCAACATATTCAATAAACATAATCATAACAATGATGATGGAATCGGAACTGAAATCTTTAAAATTTTGAGTCAGTGAACAAATTTTCCTTTCATCTTTCTTCTTTTATCTCTTCATATCAAGGAATTTGAATGGAAAATAAAATTCTTTTGAGTATCTAATTTTGAATTTTATTAACAAGAAAAGATCATGAAAAATGCATTCGTTTGAACTTAAAATATTTAATTGAATAAAATGATGATTTTAATGATAATTCCAATCACAATTCTCTCCCTCGAGCTTTGACGAGAACTTAGAACATGCAAATGAAGTGCACGAGCTTCGGTTTTGAACGTGATGACCCATGATGAATGAAATTCGAAGCACATGACATGTATATGGAAGATTCATGCGGTTCCTTGTCATTTATAAATGGAGATAAATGTTTACACAATAAAATAATATCCTTTCATTCACTCCCACTCCCATTTCATCATTTTATATGGAGGAAAATAATCAAAATTCCAAATTTGTGATGTGCGTGCATGTTTTGAATCTTCATGCATGTACCCTTTTCTGACCTTTTTACTGTCATCTCAATCGTCTCCTGTTTTAGACTGAGAATCCATTTATGCAATGCTTCTCTGACCGTTTCATGAGAGAAACGATGATTAGAATTTCAGACGAGTTTTTGAGTGAGTCGATGCGAAAAAGCGTTGACTTAGAACAAACAGTAAGAAGAAATTGCGTCCAGAAATTTGATCAAATAAAATATAGATCCGATTATTTATTAGCATCATGATGTCACATATCTTCATTCAAATCCTTTTCTATCAATGTGTTTGGACTATTTAAGGGACATCATCAATGTCATATATCGATTCGTTGCTTCGTGTTGTGGGAAGAATCATGAATTTTTCATACATCAAAACATAACATTTCACTTCGATGAATGCCAAATCTTCAAAATGCTTCTACATAGAAAGGTATTTGATGGAACTACGAAAAGCCAATTGGCAACATAGAAAAACGACAGGAAATAAAAGTCATTTGCTATTGAGCATGAAAAATCGAAGACTAGATAGCAAAAATATTTAAATGAAACAGAAATACAATCCATAAATGTGAACGCAAATAGAAGTCATGTGTTATGTGAGCTTTTGTAGCTTTGAAGAGGAATTGAATTCAATTTTGTGTTGCATCCAACAGTATCATGTTATACACTTTCATGTTGTCGTTTAAAATAGAGCGTTAAATTAAGTACATTTTGTACCTTGTTGTCAGAGCTTCGAAGCTTTGTTGAGTTATATGACAACATTGAGTTTGAAATAGATATTTATCAACTGAAATGTATTGTGCGACAACCAGAATGCGAATGTGTGAAAAAAAAAGATTTTTAAATATTTAATGGCTGACAATTTGAAATTGTTTCGAATGCACGAGAAATTTACATGGACAAGTTTCCCTATAAATTTTCTACATGATGCGAAAAGAAAATTTGCAATTCTGGATTTCATTTAAAGCCACGAACCACAAGAAAAAAACATCGAGCAGCTTCGAAATCATTTTTCATTCATTTTCTCGTTTAAAACATTTTACCGTTCGTTGTTGTATAAAATTGAGATATAAATATTTTACATGAAACGAGGTTTTTCCCTTTTTATCCATCACCAACATCGATGTAAAGAAAGTGAGTAAAAGAACAAGAAGCTTCCCTCATTTACCCTCGCAACAAACCGCATGACATCAGAACGATGAACTGAGCTTCATCGTTTTTCGGAGCAGTTTTACAAGATGTCTATCTTTAATACATTGTTAAAAGCTTTTCATGTTTTTATATCTATTTCAAAGTTAAATATACATAAGAGACATCGGTTAACTCAGACGACGTAAAAGTTTGAACATATTGACTAATAGATATTTCTTTTTATGATGATTAGTGTCGTCAATGAGAATAAAAATATTTATAGTTTAAACATGAAACATAAATAGTTGCCAACGTCACAAATAACTTTCAATAAAAAATTAATAAACAATAAAATAATTAATTTTAATTCGTAAATAGAAAAGAATAAAGAAAGTTATCAAATGATGACAAAATTGATCACAGTTGATTATTTTCTTACGAATATTCTTGCTCATTAAGCTTCTTTCTACAGAATTCTCTTGCTTTCAGCAAACATTTATAAATGAAAAGAAAATTCTATTTAAATGATTTTACTTTTCTATTTACGTTTCCAATTGAAAGCAAAAAAGCTCAACCAAGAAAAGCTGAATGTAAAGGTACGTTTGATGGTTAATTAAAATTTAATCTGGTTTAGGAATCAATTTCAATGTTTATCTTTTCGTTAAATCGTGTCATGTTCCCTCAAAAGCCATTGAATCCACAATTCACATCTACTTCTACTTCAAGTCATTTGAGTGTCATCGTTCAATTAAAATTTGTGATAATAAATTTATTAAATTCAATGAAGGTTTGATGTTTGTGCATGGAAAGCACATTTCAAGTTTCAAAGTACCTGGAATGAAGCAAACCATTACTTTAATTCATTCTACTTTTCACTCTATTAATTGTAAAGTGAATAAATATAACATGAGATTACTTTCACACAGACTATTACTTGATAGCTTTACGAAGAATGATGGAATTATAAACACATCGTATCTCTCTTTATACGATAAATTTGATACAAAGGAATTTAGTGGTAATTACCCTTCCTAGTAAATAACGATTAAATAGCAGTTCTGAAGTTCTGACACTAGACGTCCATAAACATCATCGCCTTGCCTTTCCTTTTCTCCATTTCCATTATTTTCTTTGTCTTTAACTCACAATATCAAAGCTCAAAGCTAACTCATTCATGTGAATCATGAAATCATCATTTCACATAAATCATTCAACCACTTTTGTGTTTCATTTGGAAACGCATTTATTCGCATTATGATGGAATGGCTTCAGGAAATTTTCAGCTCGTGTTCATGAGTGTAAAGGTGAATGATTTAACAACAGTTGGGGAAATGTTCAAGCACTAAATTGTTGGTAACTGCGTGTGATTAAGACATTTCCCTATGAGGTTGCCTTTGTTCTTGATTCAATTAAATAAAAGTTACTGACCATTCAAATAGGAAGTCAGAAAAGGAAGAACACGTCGACATAAAATCTGATTACAGCAACCAATCATTCTCATTCGATTTCTATTCTTCACTTCGACATCCGACGCCGATAAAATCAAATTTTCATCGATACAATTCCGATTCAACTTTATGCTTAATGCAGTCACGTATATGTTTGTGTGTGTGGATTTGATGAGCCACAAATTGGACATTGCAGAAGAAAAACGAACTGATTTTGAACGGAAGGAAGAATGGAATAATTTTATTTCATTTTTGTCGTTTTCTTTCCCTTGTCTCCTTCAACGCCTTTCGCTAGATGAAAAATCGATGGCAAGATGGCTCACAGCGAGATTCATGCAACATCATCATCTCCCAGCTGAGTGTACAATAGGCAATTTTTTCAGAGACGTGGGTGATCATAAAGAGAATAATAAAATATTCGATATGTATATATGAAATAAATAATTAATGAGTGTCACGGTTATGTCAGTTATGATAAATCCAGGCTTCTGTTCATAACTTCAAGAAGAAGACTTTTGTAAGAACAATAAATTTCTCGTGAAATTAAAGCGATTAGATTTGCAACGTGTCTGAAGAATTACATTATAAATTTGCACAGAATGAAGAAAACGCAATCGTGGGTTGCCAGAAGCGAACAGGAAAATTAAATTGCTTTCGTCCTTATTGGATTGCTGTTTGTGAACACGGCGACATGCACGGGGTTTTGATCAACTTTAGAAACATGGAAGCATAACGAAACGTGTTATTTGGATTGATGGGCTCTTGAGAGTTTGAGAAAGATGTATGTGAATATATTTAGATACAAGCATAATGTAAAGAAGAGTCTTTTCCTAATTCACTTACGTATTAATCACATCCACATTCCCCCGTCTGACATTGAAAGAAGAGAGAATGGAAATCCCAATCTTACCTTGTCAATATTCAAATCGCGTCTTTCTGGCAGTTTAGAGATTTACTTCTGACATTTAAATGAGAATTTGTTTCCTTTTCTTCCTTTATAATTGTAATAATTTTTTTCATGTAAACAAATTCTTCAGGAAAAAGCCCTTAAAAATATGAGATCAAAACGAAAAATGATGAATTCGTAAAGATATCTGGGAAAATATTCTCAAAACTGACAAATCCTTTTTCCATCACTCAGCTTGATGTCATTTTTTTATCGAATTCCTTTGAGACAATCTTCTGGAGATTTGAAATGGGTCAAAGATAAGAAAACGGGTTTTTTTCATTTCTTTTATGGCAGCTGAGAAACACGATACGATGATTTGTATTCTCCAAACTAAATTTAAAGATTTTCTTTCGCTTGCACATTGAAAAGCTTTTCACACTTCATTCTCTTTCGGAAAATATTTAGAAAACGATTTTTAAACTTTCAAAGTTGACAAAGTAGTCTATTAACAATTTTCTTTCCGAAATTTTAATACCTTCATCTTCGTTTGTCATAAAAATGTTTATGAAGAAGAAAACTTTTATTATTACGTCGTCTATCGCTTTACAAAATAAACCCAACATCTCAATAACTGAATTTTGGTAAGTATGTTCTTGAATCAGGCGCTTGAAATTCCCAACGCTATATAGATGCTATCTGTTACGCAAACAAGAGCCAAGGTAAACAATTTTCCACTTTCCGATAACCTCCAGAGATGTTAGAAGACGAGGATGAATAAAATGAATATTTCTGATCCATGAAACGGTACGTGAGATGTGTCGCGTAATATTACCATCATTTGAGTCAGTTCTGGTGCTTTCGAAAATTCCAACAAGAACAAAAAGCATACCGAAATAAAAAGCAGGATTTTCCTTTTCTTGTTTGTTCTATAAATTTTATCATTTCCCCTCCCTATAATAAAACGAATTAACCTCTCCGTTTATATTGTTTACCCAAAATTATGAAGGTCTTTTGACATTGGTTTGTGTGGCGAACCGAACCAATGGAATTTAATCTACGAAATAAAAAAGAATCGAAACTTTTGGTATCATCAAGTCAACTTTTAAGTTCACTGCTTCTGTTTACAAATGACATCGATATGACAATTACGAAATGTTACCTAACATTCCCAAGCAGAACTCAATAAATTTATGTGAATATTTAGGAAGAAAAATTCTCCTCTAAATATTTGAATTCGCCACGAGTCTATAAAGTAAGTGAAACAATTTCTTCATCTTTTCCTTAATTTATTAATTTCCATCATGAAAGTCGAGGGAAAGATTTGAAAGAAGAATCACAAGAAGAAACAAAGAAGAAAGAAAAACAAATCACCTAGGAAATGTGAAATGGACCGAAAAAATCTTGAGATGCTTTTAAGGAAATTTCAATTCTTCTCAGTCGTTTACGTCGCCTACACCCTCATTTCACATTATTAATTTTAGATACTGACACAGCGTTACATTCTGATACTGATACAGTTTAAGTCTTCGTTGCTGTTTCTCACACATAAATTAAACATTCGCTCATCGAGACACGACGAGAAAAATTGCTTACACAGTTGAGGCAATTTTATGCTTGATAAAAAAAGAGAAACGTCCCAGCCACCAGGTAAAAAGTCAAACAATAACAGATAACTGCCAACAATGTTTTTTTTTTCGTTTCACTTCGAAAGCTTTAGCGGAGTTTTGTAACATATGCGAGTTCGTGCATGGTGAAAAAGTCTCACGGAGAAATTAGCCCTCAGCTGTGCTTTATATTTCTAAAGCACTCCACTCACTTGTTTGTTTAATAACATTGCAAACAATCAACTGAATTCGTGTGTAAAGCTTTTCAATCTTTCATCGTGTACGATTGTTGTTTAAGTTTGACATCCTAAGCGTTTGTTGACGTTTTATGAGTTCACATGAATGCAAAAATAACCACATACGGATAAGAGTTAGCGGGTGACTAGGAAGTGGCTGATTCCAATCAGTAAGTAATTGTGTCATATTATAATTGTTAATGGTTTAAGGGAACGGCTTTTCAGACAGATATAATTGTTAAATAATCCAAACAAATTTTTTCCCAACCTTCAGTTGTAGTAATTCAACTAATTATGAACAAAAGGTTTGCAGAAGATATTAAAATATTAGTTTTATGTTTGTTGAAATGACAACACGAGCGTGCAGACTATCATGAAATGGAATGAAAAGAGGAAATTATTGGATAAATTAAATTTCAAAGAATTTCTTTTCCACAGCACCTCAAAGTATGCAACCAGTGCAACTTTCTTATAACTTTCATTTCCTCGAAAAGGAAACTCCGGAAAAACTAACTAATGGAAAACAGGAAAATTCATGGAAAACTGGAAATATTTATCAAACATCTGTTTTTTTGCTTCATCTCTTGTTTGTTTTACACTTTTGAAAACACTTCACTTCAGTTCTTCGTAGATTAAACGACTAAGGAAGAAAAACAAAGAAGACAAGAAAAGCATGAGACATAAGTAAAGTTAAAAGCTTCATGCCTTTAGGCTCACTTAATGCAGCAAATATTTACATCATGTGATTATAATCAATATTGATTTCTTTTTTCGTGCTTCTGATAAAAGAGATTGTAGGGGTTTGCTGAATAAACAAAACTCAAATATCAAAAAAAGGAAGTCTGAAAGATGATACTTTATCATGCTTGTAGCTTGAGTCATAAGATACGGGTTAATGTTAAATAATTAATTAATTTAATGTTCTTTATGAGAAACAAATAAGCATTCTAGGGTTGTCTTATTCCTAGGAGATGATGAATGTAATTTGTTTAGACTCAGAATGTTCATTTTCGATTCGTCATCAAAATATGGAAAACAATTTGATTTGGGGATTTCATTAAATTACGGGGACAGGAAATAAGCAATCAATCAGCCATGAACCATAAGAAGATAAGGTCAGAAAAAGAGAAAAGGTTGTTTATTTTCTTCGTAAATAAATGAAAATCATTGATAAGAATAAAATCTTGCTGACTTTTCTTTATTTCTATTGATTGTCGTTTTCTTTTTACCTTTTCTTTGCTTTTTAAATTGAGTTTAGACTGAGCAAAATAAATCTGTATTTAAAAAAATAATTGATTATGAGAGTTCAAAGAAGCAAGGAAAAAGTTTAGTGAGTTTGTTAAAAATTACACAGTCTAGTAAATCTGACTTGAATGTGATTGATTACAATATAAGAAAATTTGGAGAAAAGTTTAAGATGAAACATTTTTCAAGAAGGTACTTTAAAAGATCAGACCTTAAAGCTATGTAGATAATATCTACTAACTAAAATGGTATTGTATAACATTTTTTCTCTCTTGATGTGAGCTTGTTAATATATTTCCACCTGAAAGCCCTTGAGTTTCAGCTGAATGGGTTTCTTATTAGAGCTAATGCCAAAGGATAAAGAATCTTGGAGAGCTACGAGAATGAGAAACTCATGAAAGTGTCATTTTGCTGCTTTATTCCCTCATAAAGGCGAAGTGTCTTAGAACTTTCTTCGTAAAATTTGAGATCATCAACTTCATATTTTACGGTAGATTAACTTAAACGTTGTAACAAATCTTAAAAGAAACTTTTGTTACAAAACTTGCACATTGGTTGAATGAAATGTGTCACGATAGCTCATTCAACATTGCAAAGCACCATCAAAACATTAAACAATTCAATTGTTTTTCAACTTGAATGACTTTTGTGCAAGAGTGTCTAGTTTTGTAGTGAAACAACATGTGACAGACTGAAAACTTAATTATCTAAAAGTCAAATCGTTTCAATATAAAAAATGAAAATTGTGTAATAAAAAACTGATTCAGACGTTAGTACAATTGCCTGAAGTTTTATATTTTTGCTTTTCACTCGGTGTTTTGCATATTCTTATAAATGGCTTCAACCACTTTCGAACAAGTCGACTGTAGGGCAAACTAGAAAAGAAAATTGTAGAAGTGGAAATTGCTGGCAACATTTCATGTCAGAAAAAGAATAAAAAAATAGAAAAATCATGCAAATAACAACAAAAGACAGAAAGAAAGCTTTTTGCTGTTTGCTTTGAACTTATTCAGAATTGTTTTTATGCTAGAAAGAAAGCGACTAATTAAATATTTTATATCATAAGAGGCTTTTGGTTCTTACATTCTTAAAGCTTTTAACATTCAAGAAAATAATAAATCGAATACAACACTGAAAAACTTTTCCAAGAAAAACATTGTTTCAACATGAAAATATGAAGCTCATAAAGCATGGAAAAGTTTTAGAATTTCTGTGGTTAATGTGGGAAAAATCTACACAAACTTTTCCGACTTTAATTTGCGATTAAAGTAATTGAAAAAGTTTTTTTTTTCGCGTATTCCCTGGTTTCAGAATATTTAATATAATTACAATTATATTTGACTTTGCTGTCTCGAAGGAAGAACGAGTTGGTTTGATTATATTATGGTTAACATTGGTAATGTAGTGAAATTGGAGAAAGCGCAGACACTTCACGAAAAACGACTCGACAAACAATTAAAGTTATTTCGAAAAAAATTTATTATGTCTTGTAATGCAAAAATATTTTAAGTTGAACAGAAGTTGATGTCATAGACCAGATAACTAGCTAAGTAGTTGAAGTTTTATATTTAACTTGGTTTTATAAATTTGTTCTTAATTGGCTTGCTTTGCATTCCTTTTCGCAGATAGAATTTCATCGTGTTGGTGATGCTTAGTAAATTGGCGGCTAAATATCATGTAAGTCGGCAAATAAATAGCATTATAAACTTTATTATCATTCCAAACAGATTTAGTTTTCCTCTCAGGGCTTAGCGATGTCAGCGAAAATGTGAATGAATGTTCTCGAAATCGTACTACATTTGCCACATGGTATTATCATTTATCGTATTACATTAACCAGCTTGAGAATAGAATTCTTGCATCCTTTCATTGTTTTCCTCTCGTTTCTGTTGGAGATCTAGTAAATTCTTTCACGTTTGGATATGAGAATAAGCAGAGGGCGGCAGTTTTCTTGATTTTATTTCTCGGGCCCAGAAAAGCTTAATAACTAAGAAAGGCGCCCGAAAGCAAATGTTTTTGTTTATTTGTTTCACTCGAAGGAAAAACCAATTAAATGAAAAGGTTTTTCTTTTCGCCAACAGAATTATTGAATGGAAGTCTACAATGTAATTAAAACTTTTCCCACAAGCACAATCCAATAATGAAAAAGTTCCATGCGTAAGTTTAATTGAATTATTCAACAAATTAATTGAAGATTGCAATTAACACTTGATGAATCATTGCACAATTGTAATTTTCTCATCGATCTTCCTGTTGCACATTTTTTTAATTAGTTTCATTTCCTTCTTTAGTTTTGAAAAGAAATTTCAAAAGAAAAGCTTCAATCAAGGATTTCGTACTGGAAGTCTTGCTGGAAGTGATTTAATTCCGACTTAAAAAGTATCGCAAAGTTTCTGCTTTTATATTTTCTCTTTCAGGAGTTTCTTCATCAAACTTTTTCACAGTTCGAGAGCTTTTTATTCATTCATATAAAAAATATAAAAGAATTGTATGTAAATATTTGCAACACGTTGAAAAAATCATCGTGATATTGCATTTAAAATAATTTTCTTTAAACCAACCGTTCGTTTACACTCAATGCGAGATGAAGTTAGAGAAAAACTTTTACGGTAAAGTTTTTATTTTATATATTTTTATTTCAAATGTAAATTCACTCGATGGAAATCTGAAGACCCGAAGCAAAACTTTATTTAGATAGTTTTCCTTGAATATTTTTCAGAGT